TCGAATAGAACTCGATTCAGAGGTTATTGACCAATCTGAATCTGATGGCAATGCTTATTTCGTCCGAAAAAATCATGTTTCAGAGTCATGGTACCCCCTCCCCCCACCTACTCCACCAAGAAGCATGATTTTATGTCAATACAGATGTGCTAAGGGATGTTCCTAGTGTTTAATGATGATACAAATAGATTATAGATGGATTCAGAGTGTTCTGAACCAATATGGAATGTGATGTGTGAGTTTGCCTGGTACCCCCCCTCAAAGATCGATTTTTCTAGGCTTCACATGACTTGTCAGCACTTCAAAAGTATTCTTCCTGGGGGTTCTTGATGCTTCTGAACACGATGGTAAAGCCAGATTTGTCAGAAAAAATCAGGTTGTTGAGATATGTAGGGTCCCCCTCCCCCCTCCTAACTCATATATCTTGGTATTATATAAATACCGGTATATAAATAAGTGTTCCTACTGTTTTAAGAGCATATAAATCGATTGGAAATGGTCCCAGAGTGTTTTGGGCCCATCCTGATTAAGATATGCGAGTTTTCATGATACCCCCCTCAAAGATCGATTTTTCTAGGCTTCCCATGACTTGCTTGTGCTCTAGGAGTATTTTTCCGGGGTGCTCTTGATGTCCCTGAACAAGATGGTGAAGCCCAATATGTCAGGAAAAAATCAGGTTGTGAGATACAGAAGGTCCTCCCCCCCCCCTCCTACCCCATATATTTACAACACTCACATTTTCACTCACCAAAACCGATACTGAAAATGGTTTGTCCCAGTGTTTTTAAAGCATAGAAATCGATTGGTGATGGTCCCCAGGGTCTCTGGAGGTCAGCATTGTTGACCTTGGCTGGTGGGATGAAAAACTCAGTATTTTGACATTATCTACCAGATCCCAACCGCCGATTTCTTTCATTCCGGGCTCATATTAATCCTTGGGCATCCCTCTAAAATATGTACCAGCCCAAGAAGAGAAAAAATTTCAAACTTTGAAACCTATTTCTGTTTTGACCATATAAATGGTTGCTAGTAGTCAAGCCGCTCCGAATGAGAGGAATAGACATCTATATATACTACTATGTGGTTCTGGAGAGAAGGATCATTGCCTGGCTAGAACTGGTGGATGGCTATATTCTTTTCCAGGAATGTACAACGGTGCGGCACTGGAACCATAAAAGTATGTCAATTTTTTTTGTGGTTTTTGTTATTGAACTTGTTTTGGACAGGACTCGAACTGGAGGCTCAGTGGTACAGTAACATGGCACGAGTCCCCCGCCAGCAGAGAGCCCTCTGCCACCGCACGGCTATAGACGATAACGGAGTCTCACCAGCTCTGTGACGACAGATGACGACGACGATAGATGATGATAGACGATAAGCGGCAACTGCCGGCTTAGATAAGCGGTCTGGACCGCACGTGACATGACATGACGACATAGGTCTAGAAGACCTATTTATGTTATCAAGATAGAAGGCAAGCCTCGTGTTGCCTCATGTACTGATAGAAGGATACCACGTGGATCCTATCTCTGATGGAAGCGTACCGCATGGACGCTATCTACGATAGAAGCCCGCCTCATGGACGCTATCTCTGACTCGAGTAGATAAGCAGATTAGAACCCAGCTTTGAGCTGAGCTTAGATACGATAGAGTAGCCTTATATAAGGTCGAAGATTAAAGTAGACATTCCTTACTTTAATCTTACTAGGTACTACCCAGAAACTAGTCTAATCAACTAGGTTTACCCTTGAACTCCTTGTCCCGCTAAAGCTACCTGCTCGACATCGACTCGTACCTTCAGTGACGCCTCTCACTGTCTGTAAACCGCTATCATCTCGGCGTAACCCCTCGTTAACCACCACGAGCTACGTTCGAGTACGCAACCTTTGCTTGTCTGTAAAGGCCGACGACTCTCAGCACTCGGTACCACTGTCGTGGTTGTCGCTGTTTAGATCATCCTAGTCGCACACGACCGTTTGTCGTAACACTCAGTACTGGTGAGCTAAAGATCACCATTCTGATGGAAGCAACCATTTTCAATTGCACCAGGAAACACGCCAAGTACTTTCCCCACGGGATTGACATACCTCTCCAGGATGTCAGAACTTTGTGCATTAAGTTGAATTGGTATCGTGTGGGTGAGTTCTTCAGCATTATAGCGCCTGAACAAGACGAACCTGAGGAATAAATAGAAGCATCCACCATGGAACGCTCAATGGCGGCTTTGATATTTTGGAAACCTGATGTAGAAACTACAATACAAAGAGGAACAAATGATGCTCCTGACTGTATCTGTAAAAGTTGTAAGGTCGTACGTTGCCTAGTCTGCGTTACTTGAGGAGACAAGTGTGTTCGACCCTAAAGGGGAAGTGAGTACAGCGAAGATCTAGGGGTATGCACGGAAGCGAAGCGCGAGAAAACGCAGATGCGCGCAAGGCGCAGGAACGCGCGCGCGTAAGTGGAAATAAGAGAGACTAAACTTAAGTGATGATATGATATAAGATAAGAGAAGAGTGATGCGAAGTGTAAACAAATAGATTTCTACTGCGAGTTTCTAGGTAGTAAGTGGGTGGAAAGTAACTAAAGTAAGGTGAAAAGTGCAAAGTAGGAAAAGTCAGATCCCTAATAGTATGTACTGCTGGCACTTATATAGCGCGCCTAAGCGTGGTCATGCGGAGCCAAAGCGCTACCGAGTAGGTATGCAAAGATATATATGAGTGAGAAACCATAATAAAAATAATGGTGGAATGATATGCTAATAAAAGAAATGGAAATGTACGCACTAGAGGGCTTGGTGGACAGTGGATGGATGCTTCTAGATGGCTGGTGCTATAAGGCACTCAAGCGCGGGAACGCGTGCGCGCATATACATCGTGAAGCGCGGGAAAGCTGCGCCTCATATAGGAATCGCTGCAGATAGCACACAGAATGATGCTGCAAGTTTGTGCTGTATACTTCCTAGTGTAAAGTGCCATATCACACCATGAGAGGCATGATTCTCTACACCGACAAAATGAAGGAAATGGCCGCTGTAGGCATGCACGCTGATCTCAAGCTACATCTTCAAGTTGATGACCAAAACAGAGGACTTTGCAAGACATGATGGAGCTATGGATGGAACATGTACCGTCATCTATGGTACGTGAGCCTTGGAAAGACTGGAACTATAAATTTATCTTGAACAGGCAGATTAGCATATATTCTCCGTACGATGCTATTTCTCATACCAGACATATCCTGATTGAATATTCAAAGGCCATCACGAATACCTAAATCACCATGGCCAACCCGAAGTGCGCTTGATGTGCATTCGGTGGCCGGGAAGCGTGGACCCCTCAAAAAGTCTCCCTTCCTGACTGGCACTGCAGTTGCTATGTTTTGGATTCCATTCCTAATGCTAGATCGTCTTAAACATGTTTATGTTGATGGTCTCATAAATGGGGTGGACATCAGGAGATTTACTGATGATTTCAGCGCCCAGGCCAAAGCTCAAACTACCGTGGTGAGTGCTACATCGTGGCCTAATTGAGAACACTTACTATTTGTCTGACAGGCAAGTGTCATTATGGCGGTCAATGCCAGCATCCTTGCAGTCCCAGGTCTAGGTACACAACTGGCTATGAAGGCATTGTGTTCCATCTCCTTCATTCTCTGTGTCTACAGCATCATCGGGTGTGCAATTGCACAACAATTGGTTCAAAGCTTGAGATACCTTGACTTTTCAGTGCGATCATCTTCTTTTTTTTTGTTTGCAGCCTGGTCTGACAATATCGATTGGATAGGCATATTACTTACAAGAGGAGATGGGCACTTTTGTGATCCTTGTGAGTATACTGATGTTCACATTCCTGATGAGGTGAAATAAGGTATTCATCGCAATGAGTCATTACTGACAGGCGCACTAGAGTTTGGCATTTGCCATCATTGGAGTTCTAGCAGGGATCTTCACTGTTGAATTTGGCCTTCCCTTGTCCGAAAGGATAGGATGCGGGCTGATCCTTGTTGTTGGGGGAGGGCTCATGATTCCATTGACAATGGCCAGCTTTGGGCCTGGACTGATTCAATGATGGGGTTCAATACCCTTGTGCTCTATATAAACACTACTATGTAGTCCAATATTGGTCCAATATACATGAATGCCTCAGCTTCCATGTGACACTGTTTGAGCTTGTGTGTGAACTTGAAGTTGTTGCCGCATGGAACGTGAGTACACACCGGATATGACTCAACTGTCTGCCAAAAGCTACAGTTCCTTACTGATGTGACCAGTGAATCTCATCAAGATTCAGTTGGACATACACGACACAGAATGATTGATTTACTATCCGCAGTAGTATGGCAGGTATATATCTTCGTCCCACTTCGCCTCCCCTTTCATCCCTAGATGTCACGGTTGGTAGCTTCTTAGAGTATCATCATTCGTTTGGCTGATTTAAGTTGAGCAGGACCCTCCAGCTCGCACTGTCCTTGGAATGTTGCTCATGGAGAGATCCAACATTTGAGCCACTGGTAGGCTTGCTATAACTATGTCACCCTGAGTCACTATCTCGTTGTTCATGTATGGGAATCCAATATGTGAGTGGCCTCATTTCCATTGCAAGTGATCACTGACCAGACTGCAGTTGCCATCAAATATGTATTGTTGATTGTCAAGTGCCTCTGTGTCATATCCCGCGTTCCAGACCCAGACTTATCACATATCATTTCCGGATCCGGCTGACGTCTATCTATGTCCGGATCCGACCCGCATCTAACTTCCATGCCTTATCCCTTTGTATGTTCCTACTCCGGTTAGACTAAATCATTTTCCGTACCTCGTTTCATTTCCGCCCTTTATTTTCCTCTGATCTAATCTCCGGGTTCATTTAACTATTTTCCGATAGACTAGCGTTTGACTTTTCTATACGCTCCGTCCACCGCTTTGTATAGCTTCGGACTTCGCATCTTAGTAGTATATAAACCCTGTAGAATCTATGTACATCTTTAGTTCGAATATTATCTTAGACTCTGCTCATTCCTTCCTCCGTCCGACTTGAGTTATCCTCTCGTCGACCTCCGCTCGTCTTAGGATTGATTCCTATTGACTTATCACCTCCGCCTCTACCTTTGGTAGTCCTCCGCTGTTTCCTTTCTAGTTCGGACTTTGTCCGGATTAGTCTTATCTCTTGTTCCCGAACGTCCGCCGGAATTCCCGTGCATCGGACATCGGACTCCGGACATCGCCCGACGCCCTCCGGACATCGTCCGGTAACCTTCGGATATTGTTCGACAGCCTTCGGAAGTTAGGGGCACGTACTCGGGTAAGGGGCGCAGCGCACGAGCTGAAGCCAAGCCCTTCGGATTTGACCCTTGAGCACGTTCTTAACACTCTGGCATGACAGACTGCTACAGTCCACAGCCCTATTTGTTCCGAGCAATCTCTCATTTGGTTTAGACTGGGCAGTCATGATCACGAATGAGGTGCCAGCAGTGACTCGTTTAACCTTCATCTCACTTACAAGTTATGATGCCAGTTACCATGTAGAGAACCTCACACAATCCACTCGTGTATGTTCCTCTTTGCTGGCCCTTAGTTCTAAAAGAGCATTGATGTTGGCAGACTCGCTATGGGACGTGAATACTTCTTGCTCCTATATGGCTTCAACAGCCAGAGGAGAAACATGAAATGTTAAACCTCATCAAGCCATCCGTGTTTCCTGACCTCAGAAGCCAATCCTTCCATTAACAGCTCACACTAGTCGTGCATCATCATGAATGAGATCATGCGATTATGGCTCCCGATGGCACCACGCTAGAGCATTTCCTATCCTAGGTACAATGCCGTGGATCACCTGTATTTCTAAGCCCTCTTTCAACTGCAGAGCATGTTATTGCTGTAGTACAAGGTACACAGTACACAATGTCACCTATCTGATTGATTTGTTTTGAAGGTAATAAACTATCCACCAACTTGGTAAATTGCGGAAGATGCAGACTCTTGGTAGATGAGTGCTATTGGATGCACAACCTTTGGTGAGTTGTTTTGATGGACTTGCTGCTTACATGACCCGGCTCGCTCATTAGACATTTGAGCTTAGAACTCATCCTTCCACCTATGCAAGACCACTCGAGATCAGCTATTCAACTGCAGAAGGCTCAACCTATCCAAGTCATAACAGTTTGAGGTGGCTTGAAGCTAGCTCAAGCCGTTGTTCCCATATTGTTGGCTTGTGCTGGTTCGTGCTGGTCCAGGTGGCTTGCGGACTGGACCAAGTTGCACATAGGTGACTTGGTTCATGGAGACCACCAAACTGCTGGAAAACCAGTAAGAGCCGAGCCTGTCCAGCCATAGCTAAACCATGACATGACTATCAGCAATGGATACAAAAGACAGACCAGTATCTGAACGTACTCCTAGACACAGAGGTTCCTGCCAACAGAATATGCTCATATGTGAGAGCGATGGGGACTGCAAATGTAGTACTTTGCTTTATGAAGTGTGGGGACATGGTATACTGGTGGTATACAAGAATGCAGCGCTTGGTGTAGGAAAGTAGCGCACGCTTGGTGCGGAAGAGTTGCACTTTGCATAGGGAATGATTGGAGAGGTGTTTAGCACAAGTTGTGGATATGGCTGCTATGAGGCTACAGATATGTCAGTCTCTACACTGCATTATGACAAACCACACCGAGTAGGCAATACTGGTGGTACGACTATAAGCTTCTGAACTCGGTGCTTTGTGCCACAAGCATGACATGTTTTCCCACTTTGAGGGGCCTTTACCCTTGTAAGCATGTGACTCATTCCTACCATTTGCAAGCCATAAGAGATTTATTAGAGATCACATTACGATATATGCCGTTGTGAGCTAGGAAAGTAAAAGCCATTATGGTTGAGTGGTAAAGATGGATCATCGTATTGAGATCTTGAGTTCAATTCCTGCCATTGCCAATTTATATTTTTTGAATTTTGCACCATATTTCTGAGCATTATGACTGTATGCGGCCGGGAATACGACGAGAAGATGACACAAGACCATGGATGGACAGAGCAAGACGAGGAGCACGACAAAGATATGAGGCCAAAATTTCCCACGGTCTGATGAAAACGCGTCCATGATTTTCGAGTATTTTGGTCATATGTCGCCGGGATCTTGATGCGATGATGTCGTGAGACCATGGATGGAATGACATCGACAAGGAGCATGGTTTTGGACTCGGACAAAAAAGTGATTAATAAGCGATGACTAAGGTGATGCGCCACTTGGATGACAAGAGTCCATTGATAAGCGATGACAAAGGCGACCACAAGCGACCCCCGCTGAGGCGGACGAAACGACCACCCTGAAAGCGACCCCCCCCCGACGGGCCCCATGCGGAAGGAACGATTGCGGGCCCCCAAGAGGGGAGTCCCCTCCCAATAGAACATTAGATGGCATATATTGACGCTACTGTTACAAGTAGTGAAGCAAACACATCGTCGACGAAATTCTTCGATGATGGAACTGATCTAAAGTCGTCGCAACACTCTGTGTGAAGTGTGTAATGGATATCTCAGTCAGCCTGGGCAAGTGTCTGCCGCGTAGGAAACAAATGACCTATGCTTCTTATTTTACTGATTGTGGCACGACACAGGGTTCTCGCACTAATGATAGACAGCGACTTTCACGCTCGTGATGGTACTGATGGCCCTCCATTTCACTGAGTTGGCCCGGGTGCAATCTCCCATTCGCAGGATAATCTAAACAGAAGACGGTACATAGAGCACAGGAAAACGTGGTTGGCTGCCATTCAAACGCATCGTGCCTATGTAAGGTCAAATATGTCTATGTAATACACACTGCCACATTTACGGAGATTGTTGTGATGGTTATCAATATATAGTCTACCATGACATTTTAATAAGTTCATCGGTTCAGTGATGATAGTATAGTTCGTTACAGTAGGACCAGGAAACTCTTGAAAGTCATGTTCAGATGAACGTCGACGAAGTTCGCCAGCTTTCCCACACAATCCGGTCAATGACCGTGAACTTGGTTCACTGACCAGCAGAACACTGTTCGGAGTCATGTGCCGCATATATTCACCTTCGAGGACTACACCGACGAAGAGCTCCCTTCAAGTCTAAGTGCACGATCACCGAGCTAGCTGTTGCAGGATAACGACCCAGGAGCACCGATTTCTGGCCGGCGATGTTTCTCTAGTAATGCAGACTTTTGAAATTGATATAATCATTCTCCGCTCGTGCGTTGCATTGATGGTGGTAATACAAAGTGCTACAGATTTGGCTGGTGTATCTTCTTTGGCGCTATAGGTTGACTAACAACACCTAAAAGTGACCACCGATGGCCTTGGGTTCGTACCTATAAAGGTGTCGTCAATCTCATGTCTAGTAACCAAGCGAGCAGAATACGCACGGCTCCTCCAGGTATTTTATTTCCTCCGGGGTAAGCTCAATTCCGTCGATGATACTCTCCTGCAACCTCTGTACAGAACTGATACCAACGATAGGGCTCGACACCTTTGATGCAACCCAGGCTAGCGCAATCTGGCTCATCTTGATGTTTTTCTTCTTGGAAAGCTCTTCCACGCGGTTGATGATAGTCGCGTCTGCACTGGTCACCTTTCTCTCCAAAATAGTTCCCTTGGTAGAATTATGACGCATTGACTCTGTGCCAATGGGACGTGCGAGAAGACCAGAATATAGAGGAGCATAGGGGATGACACCGATACCGTTGTATTTGCAATAAGCGAGCATTTCGCGTTCCTAGACGTGATGCTAAACTGGAGAGCAAACGTTTTGATTTTTAGGGACGCACCTCCTCGCGGTAGAGTAGCGAGTACTCATCCTGCATGCTGATAAACGTCGTCCAACCATTGCGAGCTGCCACGTCATTCAACATGGCAAACTGCCAGCAACGCATGGAACTGGCACCGATATAACGGACTTTACCGCTCTGCACGAGATCGTGAAGTGCTTTCATGGTTTCCTGAGGGGTGACTGAAGGGTCGAAGCGGTGTATCTGCAAGAGATCGATGTATGAGGTGTCGAGACGAGCGAGGGACGCGTCGACAGCGTTGAAGATTGCGGTGCGAGATAGGCCAGATTGGTTGACGTACTCGGGCAGCTTATTGAGATCGGGCATGAAGAACGTCGGGAGGGAAGGATCGTTTGCGACAAGGCCGTAGCATTTGGTGGCGATAATGATCTGGGAGCGAGGGATGTTGTACTGTAGAGTTCGTACATTAATCAATGTAAATTTAGGATATCGGTAAGGCACACCTTTTTAATGAACTTGGCGACGAGGCGCTCCGACTCACCGTTTGAATAAATGTTAGCGGTGTCGATGGTGTTGACACCAAGATCCCAAGCAGCCTTCATTATTTCAATAGAGGGCTCCTCGTCAAGGACCCAGGGCTGTAAGATATTGAGGATGTGGTTAACGAGTCGGGGATAGGAAACAATGACATACAGCCCATTTCGGGGAACCGAAGCTCATCGCACCAAGCTATGAAGAATGAATATTAATATTAATAGAAGGTGAATGCCATACGCTAGCATCAAACTCACAATTGGGACAGAGACTTTGAGACCAGACTTGCCAAGGGAGCGGTACTGAACTGTAGACATTGGGTGATGATGAATATAATGATATGAAACTCCTCTGTATTTAAACGAATGACTCAGCTTGTTGACATGGATATGGATGAATATGCATCCTAGTACTCAGGCTGATCATGCCGCAATGTGGCTCAAGAAGCAACTCCCGAGATAGGCCAGGATAGGCCGGGCACGGCATTGCATCAAAGATGATCAAATGGCTTCAATTTTGGATAAGATTTCACTGGTCGATCTCGAGAAGTACTCGGCGTGTTTTGAGACTTGACAACGAGGACAGCAGCAGCCAGCGCAACTACTATGCATTATTACCTAATCAATACAATAGCACACCGACACCACACAACGTGGTCGTCACCAACTTGTTTTCCAATTGTTCAAAAAGTTTGTTCTTTCGCAAGCTCGTCCGACTCCAAAGATATCGATATACTGGTATTATATCCTTTGCTTAAAACATATCCTTCGATTTCGTTTCTTCTCGTCTATCAAATAGTAATGTGAGTAACTTGTTGTATTGACCTGTTTACAAGCGTTCAATTCCTTGCTTGCTCGACGACTCTAGAACCTTGCACGTCCTGCACGATCCAGTTTTACCCAGATCTCGTGTATATACCTCTAACTTCTTCTGCTACTTCGTCTATATAATCATCGCTGTTTGTCACTTCAACTGTGATGACTCGATTTGGCGATTTCCAAACACTTTGCTCCCAGGTCCCGTCATACACCTGGTGCAATCTCTTTTATCGCCAGGTCTGCATAACCCCATATTCCTTACCCATTCGCTCACCTCATTCCCCCATTAGTTACAAACAAATGATCCAACCGCCTTGACTGGTCTATCTCAATCCGCCGCCTCCGCCCCGGTCGGTGTCAATCCAGAGTGTGGGATACCAAAAGTGAATACCAACGGCTCTCTGGGCAACATCGCCAATATCATCGCTTGCGGTCTCAGTTTCTTCATTGTCGGCGCTTTGATTTACTTCACTGGAAGGCGCAAAGCAGCAGTCGGTTAGTCTTCTTACTTCTGCCAAACCGACTTTTTTTTTCGTCTTCAACCACATGTCATATCCTTCCCCACATCCTTCCCGTTCCTGTCAACTAATCTTTTGATATCACAGGCCGTATAGAACTGCGGATATTCTTTGTCTTGTACCTCTTAACTCTTCCATTCCAGTTGATTACATCCGGTTCCTTGCTTACCCAGGGCTCGACTGCCTTGGTTGCGCTTACTGCCATCCAGGCTGGTCTCGTCGCTACATTATTCTGGGCATTGCTCGCCAATGCCATTGTAGCAACGCAAATCGTGGAAGATGGCACCCTGAGCTCAATAGTAGTGCGTCTTGATTCCGTTTTCCGACGTGCAGCCAGCTCTGAGCTCACCCCCATCCCAGCCCTTCTCCGTACTTTCCGTCGCATTTTTCGTCGCAACAACCTATATATCCTTGGATGTCGGATTTACCTTTACGCATGTGCTTGGAACATCAAATCCACCCCAATCTATCAACAGTATACCACTCTTTGTCCTCACTAGTATCTGGCCAGGAGTGTAAGTCGCGCGACCTCATTGCAGCTTCTTTATGCTCACTCCTCTGGGTCATCTTTGTAGCGCTGCTTTAATCTATTTCGGACTTATGATGTACATCGTCCTCGGGATTCTGAACGAAATCCGACCTGTGTGGTACTATGTCATCGCAGGCATCCTCTTCGTGCTTAGCCAGCTCGACTACTTCTTACTGAGTAAAATTATATGTCGAGTACGTGCTGCATGAAGGATAATACGTCCAACACTGCTGATCGGTCGGTACCTGCAGGGGTCATCAATGAAAGTTGACGGCTCGTTCATCGCCACAATACTGGAGACCGCATGCGTAGTCACCCTATACTTTGCATGGCGAGGAATTACAGAAGGTAACGTCTTCTGTCCTATCTATTTCAACACTGCTCATCTACGTTTCAGAGGACTGGGATGACAATCTCTACTACCCATCATGATTATGTTGTTATGTTTGTGATTTTTCCTCCTCTTATATACACGCGATACATGTTACTCCTCGGTTTACACGCTTATTCGCCTCTCCTTGCATTCTGCTTATGTATGGTCACCAACTTCTACGCGAAGTTAGCGCTGGGGCTGGTCGTGAGGCGCTTGGGGGACAGGTTCTGGTTAAAAAGAGGCTTCCCAGTGGCTCGCTGGTACTTGGACCAATTGTATTTCTGTGGGGTGCATACCCAAAATTGTTGTGCTGTAATATCACCGTGATATATACCGTCGATGGTGTGTACAGATCATACATATCTAAACGCAGTCACGGTGAGCCAGCTATGCGAGACACCGTCTCTCAATAGTGTAAACATGTGTCAGCAAATTTAATTACAGTGAAAGGAACGTTCACAGTGAGTGTGTAGTAACTGCCTGCAGTGCATATTGATACTTAGAAGGAAGGAAAATACTTTAAAAGGAGGGTAAACCACAAAATAGTGTATACAATACGTCGAACTCGGGCCAGAGAAGCGCCAAGAAAGATACCGAAGACCCTCACATCTCCTCGACGACCCGTTGGGTAATGAATGGAGTTATTTCAATAGAGACCCAGCTGTCGTCGGTCGACTCTTTTGTGAAACGACGAGATTTTTTGGACTTGAGGCTACGTGAAGGCGATATCGGGGTGGAGGAAGTACTAGTGGAAATTGGACTTGTCGAGCCTGAGCTGCTGCTATATGAAATCGGAGAAACTAGAGTTGGACAGTCACCAGGGCGGCGTTTTCTCAGGCGTCGGCGCGGACTATTTGGGGGAGTGGCGAGGTTAAATGTTGGCTGGTATGTGTCCGCTATCCATAGCGGATGTGGTACACGACTCCCAGGAGTCTTTTGTTCCACACGTGGGACATCGACATAGGCAGACGTCGAGGTAGTCGTAACGGACCAGTGTGATTTCTGTATCAGTGGTGAGATGTGAAGCAGCCTGGTACGACGACAGACGTACCAATTCTGTCTGTTTTGTAATGACTGGTATATTTTCGAAGAAACCCTCATCTGACACAAGATCTGACTCCAATGAGTGGTCAGCCTGCGCCTTGCACGAGAGTTCTGCGTTGAGCTTATCAAAAGATGGGTACCGGCGTGATGGCCGCACAATAGAGTCTCGCGAATATACGTCTAGTCCGTCCAACGTCGAGGATGTCACCGTATTGGAGTGTTTATGTCGCTTGCAAAACTTTGAACTCCGCGGAACACGATGGAGGAAGGCTTTGAACGAATCTTGGAATGTTCCAATAGTAGCTGCAGTATTCTCTTCTGATGTAGTATATCCGTCGTGGTCGGCTGCGACAGTTTGAGAAAAATCATCGTCCGAAACGTCAGGAGTAATAGCTCCTGAGGAACTGTCGTATTCGTCGCTTGAATCGAGTAGGTGTGTTCCGGAAAATGTCACCATCCCGTCATCTGGGTCCCATACCGCTGCAAAGGTCAATGCTGACTTTGGTGAGACGACAGGCGACCATTGGTTGCCACTGGTGTCCGTAGAGGCGCTGGTGCTACCGAAGTCGAGCGAGATAGATAACTACGGTCCAGACAACGAGGAAAGTGAGACCGACTGTATGCGGACATAGAGGGGTTGCTCGATCCTACCTTGTTTGAAACACCTGAAGTGGAACTACTTTGCATGAGACCGTTGTCCATCTAGACTGATAGTAAAACTTCTATGGCAGTGTTAAAGAGTGAGTTAGAACGAAAGGAGTTGTCGCAAGAAAGTCTATGGCGTGTGGTAGCAAGAGAGTCAGTCGCTCGCCATGCTTTCAGGCACAACGCGGACGCACCTGAGGTCGGTGGCTAAATTGTTGTATGCCTGCACACGCGTGGATCCGATGGCCGAGAGGAAGGAATAAAAGTGAGAGCGGAGGTGAGGAATGCACTGTATTTTATAGATGATCGACTAAAAGACTGAAAGTAATCTTGACGCCCTCTTTGCCCCGTGGATCAATAGAAGACTTACATACTTGGTTACTTCCCTCACTCTGTGAGAATATTAAAACGTGCAACTTGTCGAGGCCCCTTCGACTCATCCGAACATTGACCCCATTTTCGGTTCCACGTAAACGAAGGCTGTATCACCTTCCATAGAAGGACACCTGCCCTTTCTTGTAATCACAGTTCAGTTCGGGTCATAGTGTCAGTCTCTAGAGGGATTGACTTGGCTAACCCTTCCAAGTTAGTCTTCAAGAAAGGATTCGCAAACCTCTGATTGCCCATATAACAACCCCCCCTAAACCCTTCCTGAACTCAAGAAGAGTAATAAAGGTCAGGTAATGCGGGTAAAAAACGAGACAATGTCCGTACCTTATCCGTACCGGCAGTCCGCATTCCAGACTCGTGTAGATCATATGAGCATTCGGAAACGTCACAACGACTCAGAGTGCCCTGCAATTCGCGGACATTGGAGGGCGTGCTTTTGTCGGATGGAACAAGTGAATTCGGGCTTCTTTGCTATGATCGGCGACTAGAAGTCACATCCTTTCACAGGGAAACTTCTGAATATCTTATTAGCGCGTGTGAGGTTACATGCTGCCGGGGAAACGTGGCATTCAAAAATCGTATAAGCTTCGGATCACCGCGCTGTATACGAATGTAATTTGAGTTTTCAGCCGCCTAGTGGGAATCGGGCCGCCGACGCGGAAAGTCGCCGGGACCGATGGGAGGGTTGAAGGGATAAAACACGTTACGATTCCTCCAGTGAAACTGGGATCATGCACCTCAAAGAACGTGTTTGAGGGAGACTGTGACAGGCTTGCGCAGCGAGTGCACATTTCATGGTGTGCGGTTAGAACGGACAGTCAGTGACAGAACAGTTAAGCGGGGTCGAAGGGTCTGGAGTCATGAGCCCTTGAGCTTGAGAGAAAAAAAAAAGTAGGACGTACATGGGTAAGGAGCTGTAAGAGAGAGCCGAACATGAAAAAGGCACGCTTATAAGCGATTTCTAAATTCTATAACTAAACGATCGACCGAACATTCAAGTTCGCTTTCTCATGATCATGATATCGATCGTTAACGTTAACGTTAATCCGGGGAAAGTAGCTAGTCATTCACATGCTCAGGAGACTAATCTATGATTTTGGATTTGTCGCTACTATGGGTAAGCAGGCCACATCGATAGCCCTTGTTTCAATTCTTGTATGATAGTAAGCATATTATTGTAATGGTGAGACAACGACAAAGGGTCGCGTCTGGTAACGGCAGTCAAGGACGTTGCATGCAGCACAAGGACCTCGGTATTAAATCCCTCCAAACTAGATACTATCTCAACGCTCACTGGACGCGCCCCTCGTCCATGTGAGCCAGGTCTTGCTGAGCGCTCAACAACACCTCCTAGGAGTTTCATCAGTCAACCTCGTGCATGGCTAAAATATCACTAACCGTTACGAGCGCTTGTCGCGCTTCGTCCTTGATCTCCTTCCACCTACCCTCATAGGTGGACAGCAGTTGCTCATACTCATGTTTCCGAGCCAATGACCCAGTCCTGATGAGAGATTGCAGAACAAATATGCCTGCAACCCACTCCACTTCGTCTGCCTCCCAGACTGCATCGCGTGCCATCAACTCCGACAGCGATTCGGCCGTGCCGGCGTAGTCGCCACGGAAACTCAACAATCCAAGTTCCAGCGCTGCGCCATGAATTTGCGCCCATTGGATATAGTCTTTCCGCTTTTGGCGGTCTGCGGCGATACGCTCCATTTCATCGCTCATCGTGGTCCCGCTTGCCGGGGTAAGGACCGGGTACCATACGGACGATTTACGAATTGCCATCTGCAATGCGCGAGGGCCGGCAACTGGACCGGAGACACCTGCATGCACGAGCGTCGCCGGGAAATACCCACATGCTTCGGTAAAACGACGGAGGATAGTTATGATCGTGTCGTGGTTTGAAGCAGTCCGTGAGGCTGTCGGGGCATTGAGAGATGTAGTGACAGCCGCAAAGAGAGCGTCGATTATGGGATTTAATGGTGTGGGCGAGGGGTGTGACAGGACATAACTTTGAATGAGCGATGAGAGCGTCGTGACGTCTATTCCTCGCGTAAAGAACGCCTCTCTCAAAGCATTGGGGCTAGCTTTTAAAGCAAGCGTGGCTGCAGAAGGCACTGATACGTTAGCCTGGAAACTGAATTGTATATGACCAGTAGGCGGAGGAGGAGGTACATGTTGTTGAGATTGCTGCTGCTGTTGCGATGACGAGCTGGCAGTTTGGGCTGCTATGTCGTTTTGGGCATACGACACAGTTGTTGGAGTCTCAAGATTCGGGCTCCATGTTAAGCTATTGTGACCAGGGGACCCAGAAACTATAATGGAGATCTAAGGATCAGGAGAGTGTACTGATTTGAGATCCAAACCTTTCTCAGCTGGCTTCTTGGATCTCGTTCTTCCCTCAAGCTTTCGTCTCGCTCGGCCCACGGTATTCTTGTACCAATTGTATATTTGCTAGGGTCAATAACTCCATCAATACATTTTCGCTTCCTCAATTAAAGATCGGCTGTAGCTGCCCTCACCTCCCGGAATCTTGGCTCTGCCTCGTCGATGCCCTGGAGGTCTTCGGGCATGCCGAAACGGACAAGGAACTCATTGGCGCGGTCTAACGCGAACTTCTTGGCGTCGCCTCTCACATGTCCGCGAGTACGTGTCTCGAAGCCGCTTATGTGACTTCGCAGAAAGATGAGCTGTTCGTCGGTATAAGCCTTGGGCAACCTGGGTTTGCTCACCCTGGGATCGCTGGCCATAGTATCGTGAAGCTGACACAAGGTTCGCTCTCAATTCACATCCTTCTTCGGTAATACCCGAAGGATCGTTCCAAATGGGCCTATGCTTATCACCGCGCGGAACTTGGGCGGACTCTTTGAATCATTTGTGGTTTCGGATTACCTTAGGTTCAAGCTCAAGGTCAAAGAGTGCCATATCATCGTGCAATGTTTCTAGAGTAAGTAAGTGTTAGCAGGGATTATATACGTAATATATATGTAGGTGTGTAGTCTAACTTTCGGAGAGCCTGGGCTTGCGGCAGATTGCGAGGTACATGGGCGTGAAGAGCTTCAAAAAGATCGTGAGCCTCCGCTTAGATATACAGAAAGGCGCTCCAACATACCTTTGTCTGGCCACCTTTCACAAGCGCATCAGCAGCAACCTTCAGGGATTCGCCAACATCATAAGTGCCTTTGGGCAAAAGATTAAGCATCTCCATGAATTTGATTGCAGTGTGTGAAACAAGCTTGCCGCTCCAGCTCATTCGCCAAACGGTAAAGTAATCCCAGGTAGTCTGGGCTTTCCAGATATCGCCTTCAAGTGGGTAATACCATGGAACTTCGTCAGGACGTTCAGCCAAATCCTCTTCATGCTCAATCGTGAAGCCAACGTTGACCATGGCTTCGCGGGCTTTCTTCAAGTGGCGCATCTCTGGGATACCATTGCCAAATTCAATAGCATGGGCAAGTTCCTTGTGCGCAGGGATTGATGGATTCCATGCATCAGTCATGCACCACTCGTAGACGCCGAACTGTGGACTAATGCTCAGTGTATTGAACTTTGAAGGCAATGACTGACATACGACTCCTCCAGGCTTCAGAACCTTCATGATTTCCCCGTACACTCCTTCCCACGTGGGTGCATGGACAGTGGCTTCAATAGCATACACTGATCGCGATGTGCTCGAATTCAACAATTTCTCGAGAAACTGCACAAACACTCACCAGCATCGAATGAGTTCTCACCGAACTGTTCTGACAGCTTCATAAAATCACCCTTGGCAAAACTTACTTGGTCCTCAAGACCAGCCTTCTTAGTGTACTTCCGAGCACGCTGAACCTGGAAATCATTGTTGTTCAATCCAACGATGTTGACGTCGGCAAACCGAGCTATCTCCCGTGCGGGACCACCGATGCCGCACCCGACATCCAGCACGCGCATACCAGGGCGAAGCGACATTTGGGCTGCGAGGTAGTGCTCATGACGGGCCAAGGATGCTGCAAAAGCCTCTCCTTTGTAGAATCGCGAGAAGTGGAAGGACTGCGCCCAGCCATACTCATACAGCTCCGTCGCTCCATCGTAGTAACCTGCGTCTTCTGTCACTAAAGAACCACTCGAAAAAAAATGAGGTAATACCGTTCACAACGTCGGTGTAGCTCTCAACGCGGTTTTGATTGTCCACTTCACCTTCCTTACCAAGATCCTTTTGCCAGAACTTGGTGTAGTTCTCGACGCGTTTTTCTTGACGTCCGTCGGCGTACTGAGTGAAAACCATGTGTCTGCAGAACAAAATAGCGTAAGTAACGAATTGAACCACCACGACAACAAGAAATAGGATAAGAGGAGATGCTGGAGTAAAACTCACTGGGCTAGAGTGAAATGATGAGGGGACGGGCCGACCTTGCAGCCTCAGTAATTTCAGTACTTAAATTAGGTCTCCCCTAGTAAGCAGACCCTTTCATTTATAGACGAAGAATGGTTCCTTGATCATGATGTGATCCACTGGATGAAGCCTTTACATAATTATGAACCGACGGGAAAAAATCAGGTCATTGTGCGCGGATCTGAATCACGTGGGCCGAAGTATTTTGATAGGTAAAATAATGAAGGTTAGCTTCCCCCAGTCGGTCTATTAGAAGGAAGACAGACGTTCCCTCAAACTGGATGTAAAGTCTACGGTCACATTTGTGCCAGATGCGGGTCGAACCTTCAGATCTCAGAAATCTCGGCGATTGTCAGAGTCGGAGTCACCTCTTGCAACAAATCTCGGACATTGAAGGGTGGGTCCCCACCACATCGGCTCGAGTGCTTCTCAACTACCCTTTGCGACTGCATATAGTACGCACAGTCATCACATTACCATAATGTGAAGGAGAATATAGCATTTGAAGTTGGCGAAAAGTTTCGGATGACCATTTTGTACGGCTTTGGGGTTGAGTGTTGACAATCATGACGATAGAAGGTGAACCGATGAGAGTATCGCAAAAACGTTGTCGGGTGCCCTAGAAGGCGTTATCAAGGACAAGGAGACGAGAGATTAGGCAGCGGAAAGTTGAAGATAGCATAACTCTGTAAGAACGTCATTCTCTGATGTTGGAATTCGTGATTAAGGGAAAGCGGCGATACTTTCACGCTGTCGAGCGTAAAAGAGTCTATGACCCTATCTGTATCAGATAACCGTGCTCTGAGGACAAACTATAAAGAGTCAGCTAAAGACGGTCCAGGAGATGCAGCGTTTTTGCAACAAAATAGTCGTTGCAGCGTCGTATGGTGAGGCTGTAGCTGCCTCACTCGAGGGTGCATGGGTGGACTCTGGAAATTCAGCGCTCGAGCAGTTTGGTCCTTGAAGCTAAAGATTAAGTAGTTTTAAGGAACATCATGATGAAACACGGATCCCTTATAGTGTACTCCCGGGAGTATTTCCGAACGGGGGAATGTGACACAGCCTTCAACGTCAAACTTGTCACTGGTCTGAACGGACATCCAAACCACTCTCCACCCCGTCATCTCTCCCTTGAAACTATAGCTAGGAACCGCATATCTTTCAAACTGAACGTGGTATGCGATGAGCTCGGCAGGTGGACTTTCTCGCAGGCGGGTGGCTGGAGCTTCATCGTCCTCAGCTTCGGATGACGCCCCAAGTCCTAGCTGGACACCAAATGGTCCCAGCCCCAATGGAACAGTTGTAACACACGCAGGCTCGGCTTTTGAAGGCGGAAGCAAAGTGGCCTGTGATCCTCGCGACCTCGATCAAGTCCAGGAAGACAGTCGCTATGGTGGCAGAATGCCTCGGCTGACAATCATGGAAGAGGTGCTCCTTCTTGGTCTCAAAGACAAACATGTATGTCTGGACCCTCTTTTATATACCTCCTACTCTTTATTTTCTGTGCGCTGTTCTTTTGGGTGCTATCTGCGCTTTCTCAGGCTACCCTGCCTCAGCAGCATAGCATGCCTCTTACATTACGGCGCAGCGCTGCTTGAGCCGGACGATATTCATGCACATGTGTCCTCATTGCCACGCCCTGACATAAGTTCTTTGTAGGGCTATCTCTCCTTTTGGAACGACAGCATATCCTATGCACTTAGAGGGTGTATTCTCATCGAGCTCGCCCTTCGCCGCCGCATAGCTCTAGTCAAGGATCCAAATCAACGGCGGAGTCCGCTCGCAGACAGGCTGGTTGAGGTTATTGACGACAAAGCGACTGGTGAAACTATCCTTGATGAAGCATTGAAGATGATGAAGGGCCAGGAGACGGACAGAATGTCAATAAATGGCTGGGTTGATCTTTTGAGTGGTGCGTTTATAATTTTATAAGCATTCTATGTTATCATTGCCGCATTGATGTTCATGCCATTGCTAAGCTGACTTTCTCCATAGGAGAGACGTGGAATGTCATGAAAATTGGATATCAACTTAAGCAAGTTCGTGAACGTCTAGCAAAAGGACTAGTGGACAAGGGTGTCCTGCGTACTGAGAAGCGTAATTTCTTGCTGTTCGATATGGCCACACACCCAGTTGCCGACGTACGGACGAAGGAAAGCATTGTCACACGGGCGGTATCGCTGCTTACTGCGACGACTTCTGCAGTACCACCGAGCGCTTTGGACAAGGAAGGAACTCAATGCAGGGTCACGCGTACTGTTTGCTTGGTGTGCGCGGCATATGCTGCCAGTGTCTTGGACAATGCGTTTGGTAGATTGACATATGAAGACAGAGAAGCTGCCTTTCAGAGATGTGACGAGATACTGGCGGAGTTTGCTTGCTGGCCATTCGGGTCAACCTCGGCGACAGGAAACGGGGGTAGCAAAAGGAGAGAAGCTGTGAATATTGGGATGGGAAATAGTGCTCCTAGTGGGCGGGAGAGTGTGCTGGGTCTTGTGCAAGAGGTGAAGCGGGAGATGAACGGGGAGGATGACCCTTCGTTTCACTTAATTGCAGGAGTTCTCGAAGTTCTTTCAAAATTAGACTCGCTGTTGTGAAGAATGAATGCATAATTTTTTTTGGCGCTCGCTGCGCTTTGTTCGTACTTGTCCATATATACCTGATGATTGATATTTATACACTCACTTTTTCACCTGGACCGTTATCTGTAAGGTTAGGCCTAGGTCACTTGGCGTGGACTGACAGCGACACGCTTGGCTTTGTAAGGGTTTAAATTCTCAACAGGAATTGGCGGCTGGGGAGCATACGGTTGTGTCTATTAACCATGCTGACACCTGGCGTTTCTTTGACGACATTCTCAGGACGCGATCAATTTCGATCACATACGACATACGCCGCTGGGTAACGCTGTACTCTTTCAGCCTTTCAGGCCCTTTCAGAGACTCTCACCACTGCAGAGGTCCTTCAACTCTGCGGATATCCTATATTATTACAATTTACCATCAACACAACAAGATTATCAGAATCTTACTTAATGGGCATTCAATGCCTCGGACTTGCACGCACTTGATCGATTTTCCCGCTAGGAATTCACTGGGTAGATTTTTGCCTAAAAGCTCATCACGACTCGTCCCTGATCACCTTTTACGAGAGTATTCGGTCACCCACAGATTGGTCATAAAGCGCGGGTTGTTATCGCATAAATTCTTCATCGCTGTCCATACCCATAATCGTCCTCTACCGGTGCCCTCGGGCATTGACTCACATGGCTTTCAGCGTGGTCTTCCATCACGATACTACCGATCCGCTAGCGGTTATCAGCGCACCACCCCCGGACGAATCTTCACACGAGCGAGCCGCCAGGGAAGAACGGGAGAATGAGGCTCAAAGAATAAGTGATCTCATTGACGACGAAATTCGCGCTGAACGAGCGGTAAGAAAGAAAGAAGAGAATACAGTCAAGATCCTACTGTTGGGTCAGAGTGAAAGTGGTGCGTCCATTCAATTCTAACAATTCCCCTGGCATCTCAAGCTTCACAACAGGTAAATCGACAACCTTGAAGAGTAGGTTACGTTGTCTTCTTATTCCGTCATCATTGAATGGGCATCGTAGATTTCCGCATGCGGTTTGCCCGAGATAGATGGATAGAGGAACGAGCGTCATGGCGAGCGGTCATACTGTTAAATCTCGTTCGTTCTGCAAACACCATCCTTGATGCGCTATCACAGGAGATGGATGATGCTGACCCAGACGAACTCGATGATGCATTCAAGTTCGACGATTACTATCGTCAATATAAAGTTCGCCTGAACCCACTGCAGGCAATCGAGAGTAATTTGAAATGCTTGCTCGGTGCCACCGAAGACATCCAACCACGAAAACAGACCTCTCCAACAACAATCGCACCCACGGGATCGCCGGAATTCTTTGTTCGTTCTCGGACTTGGCGTAACTTTCTTCAAGCAACCCGAGGTCCCGAGTTTTCGCGACATTCCTTCCAGCAGGATCTTCCCACTTTACTCGACAGCACAGACGTGATCGCGAAGGGCAAAGATGACATCAAGGCCCTATGGGAGGATAGTCGGATACAAGCCATGCTATGGAGACGGAGGACCCGGCTCGAGGACTCTGCCGGCTTGTCAGCCTATTCATATTCCTTTCTCGCCTTCTCTCTCTGAATTGCATCTGCCCGCAGCTTTTTGGACTCAATCGACCGATTATCGGCACGAGATTACGAGCCGACAGATGACGATGTCCTTCGTGCTCGATTACGCACGCTTGACATCCAGGAACACGAACTAATAGTTGATGACGGTGAGTGAAGCGTGAGATTTTTCGCCTTTGTTTTCTGAATCCATTTTTGCCTCAGAGACCGATGCTCCGAAATGGAAGATTTTCGACGTTGGCGGCTCGCGCACACAAGTCCGTGTTTTGCCGATTTTCCAATTCATGCTCATCGCCGATGATGTCTGCTAGCGTCACGCTTGGCTACCGTATTTTGATCAAGTCAATGCGGTCATATTTCTCGCACCAATATCGTGTTTTGACGAGCGACTTGTCGAAGACCCCCGTGTCAACCGTCTGGAGGATTCCTTCATACTCTGGAAAGCGATATGCTCCTCCAAGCTTCTATCGCGGACGATCCTCGTCCTTTTCCTAAACAAGATGGACATTCTCGAGGAGAAAATCAGACACGGCGTAATGGTGAAACGCTTTCTCCCCAGCTACGGCGACCGGCCAAATGTGACGAATGATGTTGTCAAATGTATATATTTCTTGCTGTGTTGCGATCTTTCAGTGTGATTAAACGACTTGCCTCTAGACCTTCGACAAAAGTTTAAAGACACGGTGAGGTACTGTTCTCCGGAGCCGCGGGTATGTCATATATACCCGACATCCGTCATTGTTGGTTCTTCCCTTTGTTTCAGGCTGGAAGTCTTGTTAATCTTCATTTGCTTGATAGGATACGAAGAGTATGTCTGTGACACTAATATCTGGTACGCGCTTCTGTTTTCTCTTGTGGTTTAACAACCTGTTAAATGATGGAACAACCTGGCAGTGCGGGATGGGATCTTGCGCGAACACCTGAAGCGGGCGGATTTGTTCTGAGCGCGAAGTAACAGAAACATTTGTAATAACAGATCACATGCGAAACCTTGGCGAAACCTGACGAAGATACGACAGTTGACGATATAGATACATCATACGACAAGTGTAATTAGTACACGATTACCCCCTTGCTTGCCGGATCTACCATATCGTAGGTATCTATAGGGACCCAGGGTATAATACAATCAGTATGGACTTCTCACATGATCACACGCTTAACTTGACTATAGCGGTCTCCATCCCTCGCCTGCTGGCCATTTGAGGTTGTCTTTTTCCTTCAGAAAGTCACGGTGTACGCCAAAGTTCTTCATCCGCTCTAGGTCTTCCCCTGAGCTCGGCTCATCGTCGGTAGGAGACTCCGTATTTGGATCACGATCAACATGAGCACCGTCGTCGTCCTCGCGACGGGTATCCGTCATCAGCCCCTGCTCGCCCTCCTCCATCCACCTCGCTGGCGCATGCGAATGGTGAACGAACCCCCGCCGACTGAAACCTGCCTCAGCTTTGTACCGCGCCGCATCCAGTTTGGGTTGGGCTTTGAGTTGAAGATTTGAGATAGTTTTCTGGATGTGGGACATTGGTGAGGCGTCGGTGGTGTCACGATCTCTCGTGAAGGAGATGTGGCGAGAGAGGCCTTGGAATGAGGATGTTCGTGTGTGTGAGGGAAATGCGGATGTGGGGAGTTCCGTTGTGCTTGACGCTGCGGTGATCTGGATGCTCTCGGGACGCTTGCGGCGAGGGGGAACTGGGGGTGTTGCAGTGTGGCGCATTGACTTGGACCGCGTGGGACGCGTGGAGGAAGACGTAATGGACTCTGCTGTGTCGTTTGTAGGTCTGCGATCCGGGTGGGTTGGTGGTGCAGGTAGATGGGATGAGATATCTGGTGTCGTAATTAAGGAGTTTCCGGGAAGGGTTGGTTCTCTGGTGGGAAGTGGTGGGCGGAAAGAGGTGGGCATATATGAGGATTGGGTGTTTAAGCTAGCGCTCGCAACTTGGTCGATGGATGGCAGGGAACTCGAGGTTGATGATGGAGAGCTGGGTGTTCGTCGACGGGGGAGCGGAGGTGCAGGGCATGTGTCTTCAGATCCAGACGAACGACTGTCGAGTGCTTTGCGGAATTGCTTTGTGGGACTTAGGCTGCGCGGCCTACTGCTCGCAGAGGAACCAGATGACGTTGTCTTGAGTACCTGTAGAACACGCGCACGATCCAGCTGTTCTTCAACACGCTTCAAGTTCTGACCGTGCTTGCTAGCCTCCAGTGACTGCTTCATCAAGGGAGTCATGATATGACTTGGCTTAATACTGCGAGGAGTATCAAATGGAGCCGGAACAGGTGCATTTCGTGACTGTGCTAACGATGGGCGACGTGCTTGGGCAACCAAGGGTGCTGGTTTTCGAGGAGGAAGCGGTGGGATGTTGGCATCATTGCGCTCGGGCGATTTCTGAGCAGCGTCTGTCCAATTTGCTTTGTCGCGCATCAAGAACGGATTATGGCTTATTTTCTGTGACATACGGGAGGGTATGACGGGAGGGGTGTCAGATTGATCTTGAACAGATGACAATGACTGTTGTGTATCGGACTCGAGTGATTTGCGAAAGGGATTTGTATCTGGAGAGGAAGAGTTTGAGGATGTGGCATATTGTTTGGGTCGGTCTGGATGAACAGGCGGAGCGTGCACTTGACGCTTTGAGGGAGAAGTTGATCTCGAGCGTTCAAGAACTTCTGGGGTAGGGTGGGCTGGAAGGTATTCGGGTCAGTGCTGACCGAAGGATGAGAAGGTAATACACACACCTTGGACAAACGCAAGAGTTCTATCAACGCGTTTACCTGACACAGCGTGAAGGACAAGCCTGAGTGCAGCAAAAAACTGGCCACCGGTGAGACAATCTGTGTGGAGCAAGTTTGGGTAGAAGAGTTTCAAGATCTAGGCGGAACGCGTACAGTTAGGACATGAAGAAGGCGTATGAATGGCCGAACCTTGTCGATATCTGCAGTTGGTAGGTTGGGATATCTGCCTCGTAGCCATGCTCTGACTTCGCGGACGCCAACGGACATGGCTTCAAAGTGGGCATCGTCGTGGACAGTATCAGGTGAAACGGCGAGATCATTGAGAGATGAAGTAAATAGGTTGTATTCTAGATCGTTGAGAGCAGACACATGAAGAATTAAAGGTCGCATTGGAAGTAAGAGAGTCTTTGCATGAGCAAAGCGCGCGTAAGTCTTACCCGGCTCATCATGAGCACGTGCCTTGAACCACAACGGTCATGTCAGAAGACCTTCCACCACCATACACCCCAGCTACTACAGCACCACCCATCTGGGAACCTCACTTTATAGATCTAACCCAATATTCCTCTCTTATTGTTCGCAAGCCCCTGGATCCTCCACCTGACTGCTTCTCCACTCCGTCACCTCCAAGAGTGAAATCTAACGATTTCCCTCCATTCAGAATCCCCTGCGTTGGAAACAACCTCGCAGATGGTTTTCGCATTCTTTATCCCTCGGGTCTACTTGAGAAACATGGCATTCAACAGGCAGACTGGACTCGCTTTCTAGAGGATCTTGGAGTCTCTGCTCGTCTGGCGGGTCAGGGACTTAGCGCAGTTGGTTCTCGTGTTCCCATAACACCACACCCAGTCCGTGGTATATTTGGCACAAGAGCAACTGGGGTCGCATATGACTCTCAGTTTGCGAGAAGCCCTAGGGATGAGGTGCAGACACTCATTACCGTTTGGAATCAGTCTGCGTTTGAACGACGCAAATTACGTGTCACTCTGCACATCACAGGAGGGCTGGATAACAGGGCCGCTTACGAGCTTTTTGTCGAGTCTCTTTGAAATGCTTATGATAACCTTTATCCATATCACCAGAAATCCTTTACATTTCAGCATCGGGTGTAACACACGTTATATGTACGTTCGTGTCCACACTTGATCATCCTCGCACAACTTTTGCAATCTGATTCACGCTACTTTATGAACAAATTGTCTTTGAAGCTCCTAGTGGGACAAGCAGCAGTGCTACTTGTGATTGATCGACTTTCATCTGAGTTCAGTCACCGATAGTGCCAGAGCGGTTATACAACATCAAGAGCGCCAAACCATCCTTGTGTAATTTGCTTTCAACAAGTCCAAGTTCGCAATGATGAAGGGTATTCAGCCTACAATTGGCCTAGACCAGCACAGCGAAGAATCTGACAGTTCGAAAGACCGGAACGTGTGCATACATGAATTTGATAGTCATATGCCGGCCACGTTTATCATACCCCAAAAATGATGGCGAGTGAGCAGCTGAACTTTGAAGATATGGGAAACAGCTCAACCTGTATTGGGCCGACAGTTCTGGATTGTCGATGACATACACATGCATGCGCAAGGCAGCGCAACCCACGCATACTCGCGAGAGTCATGGTCAAGGGACTTGTTGAGATGTTGACGGAATCCGGATATGGATGAAATTAACGCGAGATGATGACCACCAAGAAAGTTCAAGTTTGACAAGCATAACCCACATGGACACCAGTCACTCAGTGTCCATGGTTTCTCTCAGATCGGTCATGCTCCCCTTGGCAAGATTCTCATTTTCTTTACAGTCCGGCCCACTTCGTACCGGAAGTTCCTGACCTGGGAACTTACAAGCGTGCCCATGCCCCAATATGTGATAATCGAGGAGTCGGGATTAAAGAACCGTTTCGTGGCCGTTTGATCAGTCCGAACGACGAATGAGGTCTGCTCTGTGCGAGTTATGCAGTGGACAAGATTCTCGTCCGGGGGGAGTTGGACAAAAATGACCACCGCAGGGGTCGAACCTGCAATCTCCTGATTCCTTCGTTATCGTAGTCAGACGCGATGCCATTTCGCCAGGCGGCCGTGCTTTTGACATCGTTCCTGTTGAAAATGTCACTCCGGTTTCTTAAAAAAGACCGGCAAGTTATTCAAGGGCATTCTGCTCAGGCAAAGTGTTAGTCTAAAATTAAAAAAATGCGCATGATAAACGCTTTTTATCCGTGATTATTGTCCGTTGGGGCGGGGGCCTATGTTAGACAATATATGCATGATAAATACTTGATTTCAGATGTCACACCTTGCAGAATAGTTGGCCCATTGAGTACGGAACCACGACAGGTGGTGTACTGTGCACATGCATGACAACCTATAAGTACACGGATTGTAAGTAGTCAGGATCGATGTAGACAACCGATTCCTCCGGTATATTCGGAAACTCAACCGCAATCAAACCCCCGCTGTTTATCAATGACCACTTCGTGAATTTATTTTCTGGGCGACACACAATTGTGATCCCAAGAATGTCACTTGGTTGAAATCCCGGTGGGAAAGTTGACTTGGGTTTCCGCGCCAGAATGAAGCCAGCTGATTTGCGCCGGATCCCAAGGACTTCACGTAGTCCTTCGATATTTGAGTAGTTGACAACTCCGAGTGCATAAACCCACGAGTATTCGTCAGACATAGCTTTTCCTAGATGGACCATATACGAGTTAAGATACCATTCCTTCTCGATTATATATCAGACTCACCAATGTCTTCTGGAAACAAATTAGTATGGTCATATGAAGTGAAGTCAATTTCAATGGTCGGACACAGCGGACACTTGAGTTTGAGTTGGGTACTCGAGCCATCAAACCGCCTCCAAGAAACATTGAGTGGGAGTATCGCTAGAGGCACTCGTAAGCCGAGGCTGGTCATCGTCATCTCGAGTCGCTCATCGTCGAATTCCAAATCTTGACAGTCAACGTAGCTCTGGGGCGATTGAGGAATAGCGCGTGAAGTGCAATGCTCTGCAAACTGGCCCTTCCAGTTGAAGACAGAAGGATCACCGGCCTGCATGATTGCCTCAATGAGCCTGCAGAAGGCGCGGTCTCCTCCCTCTCCGTAAGCGACCTGCAGGCTGACGTCAAACATTCCCATTAAAGAATAAGCCACATCTTCGGCCCTTGTTGTCTTGCGTCTCGCTGCCCATGTCATTCGTTTATCCACCCTGATAGGACCTGGTGTGAAGAAGAGGTCATCGAAAGAGATACCAGTCGCTCTTTCCAGAGTCTCCATTACTTCAGTCGGTTCCATGTTTTTGTCATCTTCATCATCTGTCATGGGCGTCCAACACTTGTAAAAGAATTTGATCTTCTCGGGCGCAAGGAGTTCTTGCAATGTCCATCCCCTTGTAAACCACTCATCATGCTCTACATCTGCAATGATCTCGCTTTGCGCCAGGTGCACGATACAAATGGCTGAATTGCGATACCATCGAAACATGGAACGAATCGACTCGTCTAGCTCGGTACTGTTGTTTTTGTCGATACAGCAGGTGTCTGACCACGCAAATTCCATCCCGTACTCTCTGGCTTTTTCGCAGAAGTTCATCAGCTTCGTGTATCCCGCCAGGCTTTCTGCTATGTTCGCCTTCATATCATCGTAGGTTGGCTCTCCTTCATCCAGCCATCGATGAGATAGAATGGCGTATCGTACGCTTTCGGAGGGGTGATACAGACTGTCCTCTAGTGGTACAGAGCTCCGGAAGTGCTTCTTGACATCAGTGCGCACAACAAACTTCATGTCTGATAGACGTATGAGTCGGATCGGGATATTGTTCATCACATATCGCTCGAATTTGTCGAGATTGCTCTCCTCCTGGTTCATGGTAGATCCTACACTGCTAGACATAAATCATTATAGATCTGCGCGACAAAATGATAGAGAGAACCAACCTCCTTTGTGGGTATCAAGAATCGTTCCGCCGGCGCTCCGTCTGCACGATAAAGGGGCGTTGCAAAGGTCCTTAAGCTCGACAAGCTAAAAATCACCAGGTGAGACTTCAAACATCTTCCTTTGGGCCAAATCCTGACTTGTCTTGGACCGGTGATACAATGGTATCAAATGGTACTTGGGTATCAGTACGCTCAGCGTCCGCCAATGTGTCGGAGCTCCTTCACCTGTCAATGGAAAATGTCAGTTCCTCTGTGTCTGCATTATAATTCAAACCCCACCTCAAATGTCCTAGTGGTACGATATCTTCTTGCACAATGCACAAATTGCACTGAGCGTAGTGTACATAACTTCAATGAACTTTGTGTGATGACAAAGCAAATTTACCAGAGTCACGCCGGACACAAATAAGTTCCAAGTCGACTGTCTAACGTACTATGCACAATGTTGGGGTCTAAACCGAAAGCTTACATTCATGGTCAGACATAATGACGGCGGCTTTCTCAACACATTTAAAGTTACCCTCTCCTCTCTTCGGGCCACCAACGTGACACACCTCCAATCTCAGGCTGTACACTTTTCGTAGCAGCAAATGTCGGGTGACCCACCCCTTCGCCAAGTACTCGTTTTAACATAAATCGCCGCCAACAGCTCCAAAGTGTTTAATCAGAGGACTGTGGGAACAGCTAGGTTTTGTATCATTGGTATGTTTGAGATTCTTTTATTCACTAAATTCATTAGCCTGACGTGAACTAGTCAGTACAGTGCCATCATGGGGGCCTGCCAACGGAACACTGGGTCTCCCTACCCGTTGAGTAGTTACTTCAACGTTCACTCGATGGCAAAGCGGACCACCAATGGAAACGTACCTCTTGTCAACTGCAATGCAGACCTCTGGTCTGGCAAGATCGATGTGGGCACGCCCCCTCAAACGTTTACAGGTTCGTTTGATTAATTCACAACATGATACAGTCTAATCTGACATTCTGAAGTGGTGTTCGATACTGGTAGCTCAGACCTCTGAGTTTTCTCAGAAGTATATTCCTTCCATCTACCGAATGTCTTGTCAACTGTGTTGGGCATGCACAACACGACCCTGCTGCATCCTCGTATGCAAAATATTGTGGCCAGTCGCTCGTGCTCATGTACGGCGCTGGGGAGACAGCAGGCGAGGAGTACGTCGATGACGTTTTTGTTGGAGGTTGCGAAGTTAGTTGTCTTACATGTTCATTTTCTCTCTACTAATCTGGTTTATCAGGTTGCGAATCAGGTCATTGGTGCCGCCTGGGCATATTCGCTAGATTTCAGTAGGGACAGGTCTTTCCGGTCTGGCATTCTGCGAAATATAGGAGTTAGAAGGAAGTCCACTCTTCCAAACACTAGACGAAAGTGGCAAGCTCTGTCCCTTGACAGTTTGACTTCACAGGTTTATGTAATCACACGCATTTGAAAATGGCTGCAACCATCGATGTTGGCTCTGCTGGAATCTGGGGGAGTTCAGGGAACACGAACGTTGAACTCCCCCAGATCCCCACAGTAGCAACATATGGAATCAATGAAGGCAAGGCTGTTACAGATCTCATTAACGAGAACACTGCACACCCTCAGACTTCAAGTTAGTACCGGTTCAACACTTGAGTTCGAGTTCGTGTGGTGAATATTTGCACCACTGTCAATTCACTGTTCAGTTATACTAATTCTGGAGCTCACTATTGCTCATGTTGAAGGTGCGACAAACCGTGCCCACGTGCTGTATGCAATTGGTGAGTGAATTCTGTTTCGGCGGCAAGCCACTGTTCATCGATCCCAATCTTACTAGATGCGACCAGAGTTGTTGAAGTTGGCGACATCCCAGCTGCCTTGGGACGAACTCCGAAGAACTGTGTAGTACGACAATCATGTAATGCTGACCCAGGCAACAGAGAATGATATGACCGAACCGCGGATTGATGTTCGACTGGCGTACAACATTCGTGCATGTATAGGATAGAATACATCATACCAGTACTTGCTGTACGTGGTATAGGCAGCGCAGTGACACAACAACAGAACATGGCAGCAGGTCAACCGAAGTCAGCTCACAATACATCCCCATCCCTTTTCACTTTGTTTTCCTTCTTGTGTACTTTCCGACTCTTTCCCCTCTCCTTCTTCACCTCGCTTCATTTCATTTACATTCCCTCCACCTCCTACACCTATACCTTGACCATCCCCTCTCGTTCCTTCATCTTCAGTTTCATCACCCCCTGCTGCTCCCTCACTTTCACTTTCACTCTCATTCTCACTTTCACCTTCATCATCTTCCGATCCTTCACCTCCACTTTGATCGCCCATTCCTTCACCTTTCCCACTCCCCATGTTCTTGGTGGCGGTAATTCTTGAAACCCTGAAACTCGTTGAGTAAATCACCCATCTTTAAATATAGAACGCACCGTTCAGGATAATCGGGTGGGTACATGATGACGATTGGAAATACCCTGTATAACTCTCCATCGGCACATTCCAATACAATACCACGGCGAAATGCTTGTGCTCCTGCTCCTTCACCTTCTTCCATCACTTCTGGTCTATCTGTACTTTCGCCAACATCATCCACAATCTTATTAACCTGCCAACGCCAGTTATTTGGCGTCCATGCGAGAATCTCTTCTGCTCGCTTCTGAAAAAGCTTGTCGGAAGCTCTTGCATACTTCAATACCTCATATTCGCCTTCACCATACCCCCGCGCACGAAGTGCTGCCCATGCGACATTCATAGCCAAGACTGAATCATGCCGGTTCGGAACGGTATCCAGGATCACGATGTACTTCACTGGGAAGTTCTTGAAGCGGAAGAACCAGCCTTTATTTTTTCCGCTGTTCAGTATTTGAAGATATCCGAGGAATGGGTAATTTCGTACGCCTGGCATCTCACAATGAGTGCCATACAGTACATCGACCGCAGATCTTGAGACCGTCCACTTGCCAGAGCCTGTTGGCCGATTTGCAGAGAGCGCTGGGGGAGCTTCGAATTCCCGAGTTCGCATCATTGGTAAGACGTCTGCGGGGAAAACTTCGACTTGGCGCCCGGGGTCCGTCTCAGAACGTGTTACTACCTGGAAGAGGTCGGGTCGCGCGCGAAGCTCTCGTAGAAAAGCATCATTAAATGGATCGGGCTCGTTTCTGAGGGCGCCAAACATATATCCCCTCGCCTCTATCTCGCACCAGACGATACATCCCGGCCTCCTCCCTCGACGCGTGGTTGGTATAGGACCAGTCATGTGCGGGGGCATCGGGCCTGACACCATGTCAGTGATAACCACCCCAGAGAGAGAAAGATGTTTCCTGGGCACAATCGCATCAACCCCATCGTACTGTTTGCTGCAAAATGTCGAAGGTGGTAACATGCCAATTGCTCCAAAAGACAGAAAATTGACCATGTCATCGAATTTATGGCATAAACGGACAAATCGGTTCTCCACATCAGCGGGCGGCTGCAAAATCTCCAACAGATACTAATTAATCCCGTATAGTCAGCACCAGTACACAGGAGGATCGAAGATACTTGCCCACCAAGCTTCATTGGGGATCGTGTGTGTGTGGGTACGGCTGTATATCCACCCCCCAAGCACTTTGTGCCGGCTCTCTGAACAGCATGAGAAGATAGGTTCTGCAACTTGAATATGCACATCACTTACTCAGACTACCAAAATTAGCGACGTTACCCCCCTTCGACATCATAAGGGCATCAAGCACTGCGTCTTTAAACCACGTCAATCCAAAACCTAATTTATTTCTGTCGAACAGGAACACGAATTTGAATGCATCCTCAATCGAGAAGTCATCGTCCAGCATGAGATCCTGGAAGGAGACCTTGTCGAGGGTTTTGAAGAAAAAGTCTGAATCGTGAAACATAATCCGTCGTGCATATTGTTGGAAAATGTTATGTAGGACAGTTGGGTCAGGCTCAAAAGTCGGATCAGTGTCGTCTGGATCTGCTTCATGACGAAGGCGTGTGAAAAGACCAGGATCTGTGATCATTTCGAAAATAGTATGCAGTATCCGAGCTTTTAGCCTGAAAAAAAATGGATCAAGAAGTACCATCATATCAAAACCCATCTCTGGTAAGACTTACGCTCGGTGCTCAAGATCAATTAGGTCCTCATCCGCCAACGCAGGGGATCCCGTAGACTTTTTACTAGCGAGAAGCGGACATGTAGAGTTCTTTCGATCGTCGGGAAGGGTTCGTTGAGCTGCTTCAATGATTTTCTCTGTGGAGATCGGTACATCATCGAAGTCGTTTGGTGATTGAACCGGTTTTATCCACTCGGAACCAGGATTATTGGCAATGTGGAGATCCAACGCCCGGGCTTGAAGATTGCCGAGGATATCAACTGCTTTCGACATTTTTTTCTCGAGAAATTTCAAACGAGCCTTGTGTCCATCATCGACTGTAGGCACACAGTCATGTTGGGTGAATAGAGCGGGGGAACTTAAAGGGCTCACTTTTCAAGAAGAAGCGTCTTTGGTGTATACCCCTGCCAGTCCTCTCCACTCGAATGCTCTCGAGATATTTGCGCACCAAACGGGCCTTGTTGAGTGTCAAATGCAAATCAGTGTAACATTGAATTTGCTCCTTCGTCGGGAGCTCCAGGGTCCCAGATTCGATATCGTCAACAACCTTGGAGGCATCCTTGTACTTCTTATACATCGTACGGTACTGGGCCTGGTGGACCTCACAGCGCTCGAAGCCTTCTGTCGGTGGCTGGTCGCAACGCGTCATTTCGTCCTCCTCCAAGGTTGAACATGAGATTGGGTCTACATCCTTTGACTGACTGGATGAGATATTGGGTATCTTCTTCCTGCCACTCCCCTTGCCCCTTCCCTTGTTCTTCTTCTTAGAACCTGTCATTGCGATGCGTAGTGGTGATGATAAGAGATTACGACACTAGTGGGCGCCTGTCCTGGCAGGTTGGCTTAATTTGCCCCAGGCATGATACTGTGACTCCCACATAAGAATAGACCCGGCGCGCTCCCATAGTCGATACGCAGAGACAAAGGACCGTGCGAACAAAGAACACCAAGAACAGCCGTGTTTAGGAGTACCGATGGCGCCTCAACCTGTCACCTCACCACAACACTGATGTAGCGGGAATTGAGTATTTAATTTCCTGCGGCCTCGTCACAGTGTGGACGCCCTCTCTCAGGTAAATATGGAATGCTGTCTTAGGTGAGATCAGATAATATACTGCATATTACTAGAATGTTACCTAGACAGAGTAATCAGACTAAGGCGCATGTTAGTGTATACGCGGGCGAGCAGGAAACGAGCGATGCACCGTCAGTCCAGATTACGGACTGGGGGACTCAGCGAGTCCATATTAGGGAGTTGTATAATGCAGCATGATCCGCCAAGCTCACATATCCGGCGTAAGCAATCCGAGAGTATAACCTACAAGCGATGACCTTTATTGTCATATTGATATCCAGAAGCATTTTGAATGCCAACCAATTCGTGAAAAGTACAGCTGGTCGCCATAGTGCTGGAAGAAAAGGATGGAAAGCAGACCTGAGAGCGTGCGTCAGTGCTGCACAGGTGGACACCGAGCCGGCGGCTATTCGCGCTTAGGAAATCCGGGCGCAGTCAGCATTAATGGCTAGGTAGTCTGGCATTTGTTCAGGAGCGCAGCAACCGCTAAGTCACTGTCAGGGAGAGCAATATAGTCGTCGTATCTCCAGTAATTTTTATTGTCGTATTTATATCTAGGAGCATTTTGAATGCCAACCAATCCGTGAAATGTACAGCTAGTCTAGGCTCGTGACCAGCCTGGCTTATTACCACGGACAAGTCGGGTGAAGCCAGGCTGGACCGTCGATCTCGGAGAAATTTGGCAGGCGAAGCACGGAGTTTAAATTTTAGCAGGTGCCGGTCGTGCTGCTTTAGTTGATGCATCGACAACACAAAGTCCTTCATTCACATCGTACAAAGTACTGTATGCCTCTCCAACATCATAGCACATCGAGCAACTGTACTGAATACTGAATAGGGTGATAAAATGATACCATTTAATGCATTCTACCCGCCCATTCCACAATACCAGCCACCTGTTGAACCATTGATTTGGACTGTCGACCCTTCGAGCCTTGACCAAGATAAAAAAATCCTGGCCATCCTAAAAATCCTTCGTGGGCTTCGGATGACGGTCGTGGACCTCATGTTATACTCTATCTCTGGTAAAGCCTCCATGGTAACTTGGAGAGAGGGTTTTTTTCGAAGCAATGCCCTTGTCCAGTTTTTCAACGTGTTGCATGCTGACGAGCGAGCGAGCTGTCTTGTCCGGAGAAAGAAGTAACGGGAGAATCATTGCGGAGGGTCTTTCCGGAGCCTGTCGCAGCTCGGAGCACGATATTCCTTGCAGAAAGTAACGATATCATGCATTTGAGCTGAAATAATTTAGGATGTTGTGTTCCTCGTGAAATAAAGTCGAGTTGCGCGAAAGCTTCGAGAGTTTGTTGGCTTTGTTTCGTTGAAAGGGTGCTCGTAAAGTCCACTAGTAGATTGTTAATAGCCTCTAGAGCAGCGCACGACAAAGGTGGGACAGAATTGATCAAAAAACTCATGGTAGGAGGTTAACATAGTAGCACTCAGTCTAGACGCACTACTCTACTAGTACATGATGAGTATCACCGGCACGACCGGCACCTGCTGAAATTTAAACTCCGTGCTTCGCCTGCCAAATTTCTCCGAGATCGACCAGTCTTACTATGTCAAACACTTAACAACATAGTAAAGACTGGTTACGAGTCTACAGCTGGTCCCCATATGTAGTGCTGGAAGAAAAGGATGGATTCCAAGCAAATATGAGACAGCCTTAGCCTGAGGATGAGAGCATGCGTCAGTGCTCGGCAACTCATGTTAGATTAGAAGATGTATTATATATCCATGTCATCGAGCACCCGTAAGCATATATAAGCTGAGTCATGCATCAACCTATGCCAACAATGGTTTAAATACAGGGAATCATTAGCTTGAACTTCTAGCAAACCCATCTCCGAGCATCAACGCAATGTCTAAAGTTCAGTACCGCTCCCTTGGAAAGTCTGGTCTCAAAGTCTCTGTCCCAATTGTGAGTTATAAAACGCTTATTGATAACCCACAGCGCTCGCCATTCATTAATATTCTTCATAGCTTGGTGCGATGAGCTTCGGTACTTCGAAATGGGCTGTATGTGATTGTCCCCTGTTCCATTCACCAGATCCTCAACTTCTTACAGCCCTGGGTCCTTGACGAGGAGCCCTCTATCGAAATAATAAAGGCTGCTTGGGACCTTGGTATCAATACCATCGACACTGCCAACATTTACTCAAACGGCGAGTCAGAGCGCGTCATCGCCAAGTTCATCAAAAAGGTGTGCCTCACCGATGTCCTAAATCTACATTCATTGATGTATAGACTCCATAGTACAACATTCCTCGCCCCCAGATCATAATCGCAACCAAGTGCAATGGCCTTGTCATCAATGATCCTTCAATACATGCGTTCGGCGGACCCGGTCTCGATGGGCTGCCCGAATACGTCAACCAGTCTGGCCTGTCTCGCGCTGCAATCTTCAACGCTGTCGATGCGTCCCTCGCTCGTCTCGATACCCCATACATCGATCTCTTGCAGATCCACCGCTTCGACCCTTCAGTCACCCCTCAGGAAACCATGAAAGCACTTCACGACCTCGTGCAGAGCGGTAAAGTCAGATACATTGGTGCTAGTTCCATGCGCTGTTGGCAGTTTGCCATGTTGAACGACGTGGCCGCTCGCAATGGTTGGACGACGTTTGTCAGCATGCAGGATGAGTACTCGCTGCTCTACCGCGAGGAGGTGTGTCCCTAAAAATTACAAAGTCTGCTCTTCAGTTTGACATCACATTCAGGAACGCGAAATGCTCGCTTATTGCAAATTCAACGGTATCGGTGTCATACCCTGGGCTCCTCTATCTGCTGGTCTCCTCGCACGTCCCGTTGGCACAGAGACGACGCGTCTGAATTCTCTCAAGGGAACCACTTGGGAGAAAAGGGTGTCCAGTGCAGATGCGACTACCATTAACCGTGTCGAAGAGCTTTCAAAAAAGAAAAATTACAAGATGAGCCAGATTGCACTGGCCTGGGTTGCATCAAAGGTATCGAGCCCTATCGTGGGTATCAGCTCTGTACAGAGGCTGCAGGAGAGTATCATCGAAGGAATAGAGCTCACCCCGGAGGAGATAAAGTACCTGGAGGAGCCGTGCGTGTTCTGCTCGCTTGGTTATTCAACTCGAGACTAACGATCACCTTTACAGGTATGAGCCCAAGGCCACTCGTGGCCACATTTAGGTGATCACAGCCTACAACGCCCAAGGAGAGATACCTGTAGCACTTTATATTAGTACCACCGTCGACTTAAACGCAATGCACTGAGTGGAGAATGATCATGATATCGGTTTCAGAAGCACTGGAGTTCTATACTGACGGATTTGGACGGTATGGGCACAGCGTAAGACAATTGTACCCTTGAGTATACCGTGACCCTCGTTGATTCGTTCGAACACTTTACAAGAACAAATTATTTAGCGAATGTAGGACGTGAGTGGCTGTCGAGTATTGAAAGTTGAAAGTTGAAACTGCTAGTGATAAAGTTACGTCACGTGAACAACAATTCTTATTTAAAGTTAGTTTCCCCTCACTGACTGCTGCCTGAACGTCAAATGAGGCAAGGACTCCCAGGGCTTCAATGATTCAGATCCTGCTCAGGTCATGGAACTGAACTTTGATTCATTGGTGTGCCCTTTGAGTTGACGTATCGACATATACTTAGATGATCCGTCTTGGTCGGTTGATCGGAAGTACTATTTCAATGTGTCTGAAGCCTCTCTTTGAAATTTGGCTGTCCACGCACCTTTTGTCAAGATAGCAGTTTGTTTTAGGAGTAGTCATCCCAATGTCATTCTTCACCCCCACCCCCACTCCCACTCCCACAGACGATAATATTTCCTGTCCAACCTGGACCCTCGTTTGCGGGATCGGTCTGATAGTTATAGCGGGCATTTCTTTCCCGTGCTGGGGAGCAATTTTGTGGTTTACGCTCATCTGTGTTGTTTCATGTGTGAGGGGTGTACTTCGCGCTATACGCAGTGCGCTCTTCGGTAGAGCTTTGAATGTGCAGCTAGAACCTACGGAGGATGACGGGGTACACGGAGGAGGTGGAATGTTAATCCCTCTAGTGTTTTGCGGGACTTGGATGAGACCTCGCCGAAATGAGGAAGACGGGAGTGTGGATCAGTCTGAATGGTCAAATATTCAGGTGTGTGTTGAATTCAGCTTCTGTCACTTGTATGATAATGTTCGATCATAGCCTGTATCTGCATCTTTGCCTGTCAGCTCTCAGGTTGCATGTAAACCTGCTGTTGGAGTTGGCAAACCTGAATCTGCGGTATCTGCTGATACCTTCACACGGCCATCTCCCCATGATTCCAAGTCTTCTTCGCCGATTAAGAATCCCCCAAAAGCCGCAATGGTCGCCGTGATGATCCAGATGCCTTCTCCCGTTTTCCGGTGTCGAAATGATAGAGAGGGCCATACATACAACCCCGCTAGATCAGACAATCCGTTGTCAGAGTACCAGATCGGCGTAGCACAGGTTCAATATGTGGACGCTCGATGTTGACGCGATCCGCATTTTCTCTTTTGCTTTTGCTGCTTGTCTCATCCGCTCGGTCATTGTACCAGGGTGGTCTGGCGCAGTAGCAGCAGTCCTGGCTCGTGGTCCTAGAGCCGTAGCCTCCCTATAGAGGCTTGGCCTTGGGTTTCCCTCGCAGTCCGTGCCCATTCCATCATGAATAGCTTGTGGGTGCTTTGTGTTCGAATTTTAATCTGTATAGTAGCAGTATGTCCCTTGCGAAAGAATTAGTGTTGTCAGACTGCAGATACTTGAACTCACTTTGATAGATCAGCTAGTTGTTTTCGTAGCTGCCTTCTGAGATCATTTACTCGAGAATGCTATCTCGTGTATCTGAAAAGCGATCAGGGAGAGCTTACTGTACAGGCCATCGAGCAGATTTCGCAGGGCAAGCCCTGCTCATCTTGGACTTGAATGTCAGATGGCTCGTAGAACGTCGTCTCAGGGTTGCTGGATGACAGGTGGCGCCTCTGGATGCTTGGGGGGCCTCCCATATTGTATCCCGAATGCTGGCATTCGGAGGGTTAGCTTATGATAACCCAGAGATTTTGAAAAATGACTGGTTTCGCGTATGCTCAGCCCAAGCTCAGCATATGTTGTGTGCAAGGGCCTTGTCGCAAATAATCCATCCATCCACACGTACCTTATGCCCGGTCTGAATAAGCTGCCCAAGTACGTCAACCAATCTGGCCTGTCTCGCGCTGCAGTCTTCAACGCTGTCGACGCGTCCTTCGCTCGTATCGACTCCCATACATCGATCTCTTGCAAATCCTGATCACAGTCAACCTACAGCGTCAAAGGAGAGGTCAGCCAAAATATGTAGCGCTTTGTGTTACCACAATCACTGCAATGTACTGAGTTAAGAATGATTATATCGGTTTCACAAGCCTGCATTACCAAGAGATCCTACCGATACAGTAGTAAGATAAACACAAAGATATAAGAGAATATGATAGGTGAGGGTAAATTCACGAAGCGGGGTCATGTAATACCGCGAGGAGATATCTTTCATCTGCAAATGAATAGTTAATATAGTTATCCGTCAAAAGCAGATACACACCGACCAGGCGAAATCATGATTTCATGGCGTTTGGTACGTATTCTCATGAAGCGAATCTGGTCCTATAACAATGTATGAGCAAAGCATGAGATATGAACATAGTTGCTACGCACTCCATCATTTTCCGACATACTCACTTCCTCCAAGCCTGCCTGCACGCTCTCAACCATCTTGCCTATGACGCTCGCATACTTCTTTCCTTGTTCTCCCTCAAAAATAACGCCTGAATGACGTATGATACTAACATGGTCTCCACGCGAGAGTAAAAGGTATCCGAGGACAGAACGGTGTGATGATAGAAGAGCGAGCGTCTGCTCGAGCTCTGGCGGCATGATACTAGGCGTAGAATTGTGAGTAGCACCTGTGATATTTGTGCTCGTCGTCGCTGTTATGCCTTGTACTGCCTATATGCAGGTTGGTCAGCGAAATGGAAGGAAGGAAGAGGGAGCAGAGTCAGCAGACCATTATGTGACCGGCTCGAGCGCGCAGATTGACTGGATCGGTGGTTCAGGGCATGACATTTCGGGTAGTAAACGTTGTTTGGGTTAGAGGGTGTTGCCAAACAACCACCTACACCTGATTTTGAATTTCATGCTTTCGCCTAGACCACTAGCTACTAGTGCTCCGATATTATAACTTATGGAACCTCCGATTGTTGCTCACATGAATCCATCAGAACCAAAGAACAAACAGAATCCGTGGTCATTCAACCACCGTACTCGAGCTCATTATGCATTCGACTCTGGATCTGACTCTGAATCCGAGGCCGAAGTTAACTCTCAAGTCAATATTCCTTCTGACGATACTAGATTCATTCAAGACCTCGATATCTCTTTGCGGCATGAGACTGTGGAGTACAAGCCCAACCCATGGAGTATTGCGCGTATCAATGCTGTCAGTCGTCCCCCGAATAAGGAACCCCCCAAGCAGGCGATCTCAGAGGACATACGACAAAAACCACAGCCACGGGCACCACGGGGTCGAATTGTGGATGCATTCAAAGTTCAGGCAGAGCGCAAGTTGCGTCGCGTACCCCCTCCTTTGAAGGCACCCAAGGTTACAAAGCCCAAGTCGAATATGCCTCAGGTCTCTCGGGAGCACCAAGTTTGTTCACAAATCCGGAGGATGAGTAGCCCTGAACCAGGGGACTACTCGCAGCACGATAATGCATCGTCTCTCGCCAGTGGGTTCCAAACCAGACCTTCGGACATGCCTGCTACCTTGTTGTCCAACGCTCCCCAGGGGGACTTCCACGATCTGCGAGTTCAACCTCATCCGGATGTCCCAATATTACCCTGCACTACATATAGCGAGCGCGGCAACATTCAAATGAATCATGAACGAAGCGAAGCGCATATATCCACCCCCGATATGAGTCTGTTGCCACAATCGCAATATAACATGCGATTCATGTCTATGTCATCTCCGCTTAGCAGCCGCGACTATCGAGTGAATGCTTCACACCTTCGACAAGGAGGTTATCAATCTTCCCCGCCAAGACCTTATCATAGAAGTATCAATACTCCCCCGAGAGTGCTTCCGTGTAACCAATCCTCCTCACAATTTCGCCGTGGCATACATCTTACTGGTAATCGTGAGTACCTCGGTGCGCTTGCGTAATATATGATGGACGTTTTCTGCAACTCCGCAGAGCGTTTTCAAGCGTTGTCTGCATTGCCCGTTCCCCAGGTTCCAGCGGCGGGGTCCTACCGCACATTGCCACCTGCGATGGTTGAAGTAGAGCCTCCGTCAATGCCGCAGTGGCTGGCCTCCACCATTCACAGCTCCCTCAACCCTCCACTAGCTCAAGCAGAATTTATCGAGAGAGTTTCAAGCCCGGAGCAAAACCATAACGATCTTATGTCACTAGAGTCCAGGAAGCGTCCATACCGATCACCAACGCCATCTCCACTGCCACAACGTGCCAAAAAGTCTACGCCGAAACGTAAAATTGCGGCCTCGTCAGTTTCACTTGGTGATCACCAAACTTCTGTATACACGTTCGATAACGATCCTGACGCTAACTGGAGCACGGTCACGAAACCAGGGAAGAAAAAGAGTAAGAATTATAAGCCTAGTCACATATCGTCATCAGGACCGTTCAGTCTCCGTCTTCCTGGTATTGCTGTCGGAAATTCGAGGGGCCGGAGTACAGGCGTGACACGGACAGAGAAGAAGCTTGGCACTCAAACAAAGAGACGTGTTATCACGTACCTCCCACCACCACTACCACAGCGCACCGTAGCACGAATCGAAAATTCGCTCCAGATCGAGGAACACTACGTCCCCGATAACAACGCGCTCCCCTCTGGGTCCACGCCAGCTGTTCAGCCACCACAAGAGAGCGGTCGCGTATCTCCTCTACCACTCGCCGACTCTGATGATTTGACATTAGTGGATGGAGTGGACGAGCAAGTGGTCACATTTGATACTGGAGAGGTGAAGGCGCGGTATCCCAAAATTCGCAAGCTCATCAAAGAGGTGCGTATCTATCCCTGTTTTGCTTGCAAATGCCCTTGACCTTGCGTGGTAGCCCCTTGTCGCCATATTTGATGCTTAGCTGACCATAATTGTGTGGCTTGTAACAGACTCGCGTTATGCTTCCGGAGCTGCTGGGTCTTCCGAGTTGTGGGGTTGTATGGCGGGACGATGATGTTGCACGAGTGGACGACACCGAGAATAGAGAAATCAAGATAAGCGTTTGGCCTTGCGTTGGATGATTGGCGCGTAGGGCTATCACATCCATTGTGTTGTTAATGTCCGCTATTCGGTTGCAGAACAGACTCGCCTATAAAGAAGAACGGGACGATACTACAGTTTATTTTTATCAGCACTCTGTAGGAGACAATTCGATGGTCCAGAGACGGGAAATCGCTTCTAATACTTATCACACAATTTGAATGAGTATCCATTCGTCTGTGTGACATAATGTCAACCAGGATTTGACCCAGCACCCGATCTCACTTCAGACGATTCTGTCAGCAATACACGGCTGCTTTGACCTACCCGTGCGAGCAAGTACTGATATCATTGATAAAGATGGTTATTCAACTCCTCTAGGGGCAGTCTTCGTCTCGCACCAAGAGGAGTACCTGCATGTATTATCCGACATCCACGCCCTACGGAAATGTGACAATCCCGACGTTAGCTCCGCTCTTATTCCACTATACTGTACCAGAAACACAAGTTCATGACAGTTGTACATTGTATACAAGTTATACTCTGCTCGGTAGCGTAATGAAACTAGAAATGAGAAGTGAATTCGGCTAGAGCTTCTGTATCGTATACGTCAGGAGGTGGTGATCATAAGCCCAGCACCATAAGTACCAGTAACCGTGACACGTGCAGTGTACAAGCATGCCATCAAGTCCATCCATCACCCAAAAGAATCCGATGATGCTTCCCATGGTCGGTATTCTAGGCGTGATTTCAAAACACTTCGCGAAGAGACAGAAACGTAGGAGATGGAGGTGTTGCACGGACAAGGTTAGAATGACGGCGATGGCGACTCCGTTGTGTCCTTTGAGGCTGCAATTTACACCTTCGATAAATGGAGATTGGCTTGCATCTGAATTTCGGGAAGCACTATCATTAATCAAAGTAGACTGACGCTGCTGAAAATGCGTACCTTCGCGATCTGGCGATCGCGTTCACCGATTTCATGTTGCTGGTCGGCGTAGCCTTGTTCCACAAGCTGCAGGGACAAACAGTATGCCCGATCGAACTGATGACGGTGAGCAGCGAGGAGGTGATAATTGATTCACCTACAACAACAAGACCGCGACGTGCAATGCGGAAGGCCGTGTGGATTGACTTTGAAATGACAGCGAATGAATGTTTTGAATTTCTCTGTGAAACATGATTTGGTTGTGTCAGCTTGGACAGCAAATCATGTTTTCTGTACATGTAAGAGTTTCGGATGATATCGATGATGATGGGGTATCGTGTATACTTACACCATCACCGTCGACATCATCCGAATATTATCCGATAGTCAGTTAAAGTGTAGCACGAGAGACTATGCTCTACTGTCTGGGGGAAAATTGTAATGGTCAATCCTTGACAGAATTGACTATTGCAATTTTCCCCCAAAGCCATATGATTTGTTATTTCCGTCACCATCTATGTGATCTGAGAGAGATTAACACTCATAAGTTGCCTAGTGTTCTGTTGGTCAAACCAGAGGCAAGGAAGTCCTTCAGAGGGAGGTTCTACCATGCCCGATCATCGAGGGTAGTTGGTTACAAGAGGGTTGTTGTTGGCTTTGCGATAAGGGGTCACGCGTCACGGGTGCCGGTGATCATCGGTCCGGTTGTTACACGTTACACGTGCTTTCTTCCTTCACTGACGGTCTCCAATTTAGTCGCGGAAGTTGATTGTCTAGTATATAAGACCATCCGAGACGTGTTCGGATGCTCTATGATTTCAGATCCTCGTTCAATCTTGCCGGCTTCGGTGTCTGGTAAACATCTTCGAGAGGAGCATCGACGAAGATCTATCCCATCGACTCCTCATTTTGCAAGCCGCCCTTCAGCGCTCAGCAGATTCCCATTTTCAGTTCCCCTGTTTCATCTAGGAAACGCAATGAAGTTCTGGTGTTGCACTGGTGAACAAGTACCATTAAGACCTACGGCCCTCCGCTTGATCAGGAACCCTAACTAACCAAAGTCAGAGTTTTTGGCTTTCCCGATAAGTGGTGCACCTGTTGACAGCTTCTTGCCCTCCCTCTCGTCCATCGGCACAGTGTAGAACTGGAGAGTGACTTGTCCAATATTGACAGTCCACACTTCGTGCAACGGCGACGATCAAGAAATACCCATGTTTTCTGTATTTCGCCTTAGATGTTTGCTTGAGCAGGAAAGTACATCCAGAACGACGGGTCCTCACATATACATTATCAATCCTCATGCTTTCTTGCACTCCTCCTGCAGCACTGTCGCCAGTGATACTTATTCAATGACGATTAGAACGACATCGCTGTTACTACATCTGAAGGTTGGGTAGGGCCCCACGCATCATACTGTTATCGGGCCTGTTTCTCAGCACATCGAACACCTTTTCTCAGCTGAGGGCGTAGTCAGAGAGAATACTAGTAGCTGTCTGGTTACGAAATGCGGCTGTTAAGTACTACATTTACGACTATCATTACTGTCCCGACTACCAACACGGTGCTCTTCCACTCCTGATTTTTTATCAAAGCCCAACTTGCGCACACAGCTCATGTGTTACGATATTTAAGTTTGGCTACCGGCCAATATTTAATTGTACAAGATCTCCTTTAGAGCACAAACTAAGAAAGACTGTCGTACCAGTCCAAGTATACAACGCGTGAACCATTGCTTAGAGTACACACCACACAAACTCCAGTAGAACGCCGCAACAGTACTATAGCGTATGTAGTGTCCATCATAGGGCTTCGCCTCAAAGGACGATGACCAAGGATTCAAAAAAAAAAGGTATACAACGCATTGTAGTGCCTGAAAACAATCTGGTCCAAGATCGAAGTCACAAGTGACTTATCAGCAAAGCATCAAGAATTTGGGTCTAATCATTTTCACAGACGGTTTCGGCGACACCTGTTGCAAGCGTTCATCTGACAGCCTGCACAACGCTAATGATGTCATATTAGAAGGTGTCAGCGTAAGCAAGGCGACGCAAAATGACTTACGAAGAGGTATAGTGGGAGATACACCTCGCAGCTCTCGCAACGTCCACCACCGCGCCGGAATTTCCAGCTTCCGTGGTCACAGTCATGGTCCACTCTGAGACGATCCATGGTCTCCCTGATCATACGCTGTCTGACAGTGTTCCTATCCGAGTCCAGCGTTGTTGCAATTGGCGTGGGCTGTGGCTGTGGCACTCGTGTGGACCATGCTGAAAGGAATGCTCGCGTTTCAGCACGACGAGTCCTCTGAGCCTCGGAAGGGGGTGCTGCAAGAAGTGCTGGTGCTTGTTCCTGGCGATTAAGAGTCGTGGTATGGGGTAAGACAGGAGGAGGTGCTGGGGTAGGTGCCTGAGGACGACGAGTCGTGTGCAAGACATTGGCAACTGGGGCTGGTCTGGGCGCCGCCACAGGAACTTGCCGAGGAGGAACCGGAGGTATATTGACGACTGGCGCTGGTCTAGGCGGTACCGCAGGTCCCGGTCTAGGTAGATTAATAGGCCGATTCCTAGCAGCGCCAGCAGCTGGCACTGGTTGGCGTGCTGCAGGTGCCTGGTGGAGAGGATTGGCAGGCTGGGCACGACGCTCAGGCGGTAGTTGAGCATCCACGCGACGCTCTGCAGCAGCAAACAGCCTGGCCTCGTCCCACTGCGGGCACCTGCAGCTCTTCCAGAGTGCTTTGCACAAATAGCAAAACTCTGTCCTGCATCTGCAGGTCATGTGGAAACACCCCATGTTAAGCTCGATCATCTGAGCGCAGCCTGGACAGCGCGCCCACCCCGAGGCGCGGCTGAGTGTGAGAACCTGCTCAATCTCTGCATCGGGAGTGCAGAGATGGGTGAACCCTTCGTATCTACCACGACATTTTCCACATGTCGACATGGTACACGTAGGGGATGTGCATTGAAAGACCTTGCTGAAAAACCCCTCGTACAATGGCCCGAGGAAACGGCTGCACGTTGGTGAAACACAATAAACGCGCTTCATGGTCCCAAATTCTTCAGCTTTGAGGGTAAATTCAACGAGGACTGTCTGTGCCAGGTGAGGCCGAACTTGTGGGAGTGGAATGTTCTGGCGACAACATCTAGGAGGGTACAGACTCTCGTCGCGAGTTGCTGATTGGAATAGGTCGGTGACGCAGCCGATATCATAAAAGTGGCCGCAAGGTGCCCGAACTTCTACTCCGAAGATGGGGTCCTGACAGATCACGCAATCGTGGCCAGTAGCCCTAGTTATGATGGATTCAGTGACAGTGTATTAGCATAATAGGTAGTAACACGTCTCACCGAGGAGCTGGCCTAGCCGCAGTGGTGGGCGCTTGACCTGGGTTTGCCAGTGTTGGTGTCTGACCATCCGACACAGGCGCCGAAAACAAGGAGGCAAACCATTGGCCCCATGTTTGCTTTTGTAGCGTCGCGCTGTAATTTTCATCAGATACTCCAGAGGAACGTTACACTTGCAAGCGTACTTTCTCAAGCTAGTCAAGGCGGGTGTTACTGTTGCTGGCCTGCTTATCAGTGTTAGCTTTGAGAGTCCCGTGATATATAGCCTTACCTAGTAGGCACAGGATCAGGCTCTTCAACTTCAGCGAGTCGCTGGGCAAGTTCCCGATCAGCATTGAACTCCGCAAGTTCTCGAGCATTCTGCATCAACAATGCGAAAGCAACTTCGCGGTCAGTGAGTCCCTCTCCTCGGTGCACTCTGTTATCATATAAGGTCTGCAGTCTCTCTACATCAGAGAGTTCCAGTTGGGCAATCATACGGGTAAGATCCTCCTCATAGTTGTCTCTATCTCTTGTACCAGGGACCGGACGTGGTCGTGAGGGACCAGCGATGTTCATGGTGGCAAGAGAAAAAGAGTCAAGTGCAAGCGTGAGAGCCTACAACGACATTCGAGATGAGCGGTGCTAACACGTGCCGGACCTTGGCGTAACGTAGATCACTGAGCGCTATTAACCTACACGTTGTGCAAGAGTACTGCTTATCATCGGCGGTGAACGTATGAACCCCGGATAGTTGCAGTTCTATTTTACTGACCCTCAATATTCAATAGCCCCTAATCCTACATCTGCACAGCCTGTGATTAGCTCAGATCGAATACGTCCTTCAAAATCTCGACAAGCTCTCGATCTTCAGCATCAGCGCTTGTAGGACTAGGGCAGCCTTGCTCGGCTGCAGACCTCTGTGCATACTCACGAGCCTCGTTTATCTTGAGGACGGTGGGCATGCCGAGGCGCTTGCCATCGTCAATAGAGCGACTCGGTTGTTTACACAGAAGAATGTAGGCGGGCAAGAGGAGCGATTTGTCGAGGTTGTACTTATCATAGGTGATAATTCGCTCGACAGGTTTCATGTCGAGCTTTTGCAGCTGCCGGACTGCCAGGTCTCGCACACTTGGAAATTCCCATCGTGTAGCCAGGTCAAGGATGGTGATCCAGTGGTCTATGGGTTGCTCATCGTACATATATTGCCTTCGATCCCAAACACTCAGTCTTCTGAAGAACTTGACTGGGAAAGAGGACTCACGGGTTGTAGAATACCCACAACAGTCGCTCGAACTCACTGATCTTGACATCATCGAGTCGAAACGCTGCCTGATCGGACTGACCATCTTCCTGTGGCCCAGCTGCTCTGAATCCCTCCCGGAAATATTCGGATTCTCTTTCGAAAAAGTACTTGTGTACGCGAAAGACGGTGCCTGCGACCTGTTTGACGGCAGGTATTAGGACCATCACGATGAAACAAAAAGAAAACGTGCATGAATCGACACGCTACCGTCATGCAAGTAATACTTGGGATGGCGTGTTATTCGGGTCATGCCCATATTTTTGATAGTTAAAACTGATTGATAACGATGATGTGTCGGAACTTCTCCCCGGACCCCACTTTTATCCAGTGCCATGGCCGCAGCATACCTTCCGTATTCCATTCACATGTGTGTTATTTAGTAACAAGGTTATGGCAAATGTAACCAAATGTGCAGAAAGCTCTGGATCGCCCAATAAAAGGCTTCTGTTGCAACGTTGAAGATCAAATGAAGATTCATTCAGAAGATAATCGGCTAGAAGTGCGGCGATAGGTCGTACACGAGGCATGGTGGGCTGTGTGCGATGGCAACAGCGTTGTATGAGATACAAACAGCATTAGGGTCCAATATATAAGGATCCACATATCATCCTTGAAAGAAGTAGCACTGATAACTGATCAATCTTCAACCGTCCTCTGCTAGCTATTTTGGTAGGAATCGTGACATACATTTCGCATCGCGGCTGTTTTTCCACCGTCTGAGATGAGTACAAGACCAACAACAACCTCAAGAGAGGTACTCCATTTACAATAATCCTGTCAATATAATGCGTTAGCTGGAATGATTTCCACTTTGAGTGGGGCTTTGATGAGAAAAGTGATTTATGTAGGTGCCCGAATAATTCTCGAGTAGAACGTCGAGTGGCTCCGGGAATCGCTGGCCGCCTACGAAGTAAGACGCCCACTGTTCCACTGGGACGTCTCAGTCGTTATCGAAATCCGTCTGAGAATCTGATCCTACAAATCTCTAGTGGAACATCACTCCAAACAATGCAGGGCAGTACTGACCGATGCTCATCTGAGAATTTAAAAAGGCAGATGGGAAGTTACATCAAAGCGGAAGGCAGGTCCTAATGTTGAAAATCTAGCTGGACGCTTGAGTCTTTGAGAAAGCTCGGCCAGGCAAACTTTCAACTGTCTCAGAGCATGCTAAGTTACTTGACAGCCTCAGACGCGGTTGTAAGTGCCGCAGCGTTGTTCAGCCACGGTGGACCACTTTTTGGGTTGGTGGTTAACGTTAACGTTGAAATTTTAAAGTTGTTCAATTGACACGTTGCAATAAATTACATAATAACCAATGTGCTTTCGCCGTCGGCCAACATCGACCGGAAGCTGGCGAATCTTTGCCCATGCTACGTGCTTGACACATAGTTTAGGATCGTTATGGATGACGATAGTGCTGAGATCGAGCTCGTATGTTCTTCCTCCAGGCGGATTCGCGAAATGTTGACCGTTCTGTTATGATGCAGCTAGAGCAGAACCTCAACAAAACGCACCAGATCTCACAGCGGATGACTTGTGCGTGATTTCCAGCCATGTCCAGCCGTGACTAGTTGACTGTTGACTACACTTCATAATATACTATGACAGCTATCCTGACGAATTTTGACACTCGTCTCGTGAAACTTGAGAAGTCTATCCTACCACTATACAACTCGACACAAAAGCTTAAACAACGGGCTCATAGTTGGTAGTCCATATCGCTTCATAAACAAAGACTCATCTGGTGATACACAGATATTGATCGCGCTCTGCTAAAGATCGACGAGGTTGCTAGTAGTCAAGATGGCATTGCCGTAGAAGAAGGCCTGATTTTACGGGGGTATGTTACAGTTCGGTCAAGGCTTGGTACATAACTGAATCATGAACAGGCCACAACTTGGTCAGCTTGATGCCTACATTGATATTCTTGAACGCCTCAATGCTGCCATTGCATTCAAGTCTTCTGATGCAGATTCAAGGGATATGGTACGATTTAGATTCATTTGTCGTCATTTTACATGCCTCTAATCATCTTTCCAAGGCGCGACTGTTCGAGACTGGTGCGAAGAAGCTTTCCCAGTTGTACACGAAGCTTGTCGCAGAAGGCTCTTCAGGATCTCCACCCGTTTCAGGTCTTGCATTCATGCTCACTGAGTTCCCCCCTTCCTTGATGTCCTCCCTTACACCCCTGGTCACCTTCCTCCGTACTCTGCCCCTTCCATCAACTCATCCCTCTCACCCCGCTGCTTCGGCTATCTTAAATACGCTCAAAGATGCGCAGCGAGGGTATGCGGACATGCGCGGGAATTGGAGTCGTAAAGCGCTTGAAATGCATTCACGGCGGGTTGTAGACCGAGCCGAGACTCTAGATGGCGTGGCTGCTGGAAAGGAGTTCAGCGTCTGGATAGATAGTTTGCTCAAAGTCACCGAGGTGTTTCTTCTAGTTATCATCCCTATTTTGCAAATTCTCAACAGAGCGCGGATTCACAGACCGAATACATTCTCTTCGCCGAACTCGCACCGCTGTCTAGCAACACCCTCATTGCATCGACTTACGATACCCTTCTTACTCCTCTCCTAACCCTCTTCACGGATACCTTGTCATCTCTGACATCCCTCATTAAGCGCTCACTACACAAGTACACGTTCCACGCGCTTTCTGCATTTTCTGCTCTATCGATGTCTCAGAGTCGCTGGGAATCTGTGTTGGCAAGACGTGGACGGGAGGGGAATGAGTTGCGAGATGGGCTTAATGCGATCCGTGGAGTATGCCTCAGGAGCTTTCCCGAATTATTGGCTGATTTGAAGCTTGCCGCTGTCGGCAAGGGGGGCAATGACCTGAGTGTCAGCTTAGCGGACATCACTATATCGGTATGTTAAGACAGTCCTTTGCCTTGTATTCACCCGCACTGAACAAATGTAGACCGTACAGTATTTGAATCGCATACCGGATGTCCAGGACGCTGTCGGGTCTGCGCTGTCTGCGCTCGGGGATGGAAACTGGAGAATGGGTGACGGAAAGCAAGTAGGGAAAACTGCAAAGTCCAACTCTGTAGATGTGAACGAAAAAGTCTTGATTCAGCACTTTGTTTGTGGGTTGTTTTTTCTTTCCATTGTCCGAACATAATTCATTTAATCTGCAGACGACGTCATGAATACTCTAATCGGGAGCCTCACAACTTTGTCACGCACACAACGCCGACCTCCCTTCGGTTCCGTGTTTCTCCTCAACAACATTTCGCATCTTGTGTCTCACCTCGTCTTGCGCCCTACAAATCCCAACACACCTTCCCTGCTGTCTAAGCCCACGACAGACTTCCTCACCTCGTCATGGCGCACTGCAAAGGCAGGTTATTTTGATGCCAACTTCTCACCCCTCATGCAGGCGCTCGCCGACGACACACGAGATAAGACGAGCGGCAGTGGTTGGAAGGCGGCAACGAAGGAGAAGTTTACGCGCTTTTATGACCTGCTTGAAGAGGTTGGAGAACGACATCGGATGGCAAAAGTGTTGGATGAGGATCCAGAGGAGAGGAGCGCCGTTGGGGAAGAGGTAGTGAAGCTGGTTGTTCCATCATTGCAACGGTTCATGCAAAAGCAGAAGGAGAGAGAGTTCAGCAAGAGTGAGCTTCTTGCCCTTGTCGTGCGCAATGAACTAACACTTCACCAGATCCTCAAAAGTGTAAGTCATCCTTTATTTTTGCGCTAATCTACTTCCTTTGACAACTCGTCCTTTAGATATCAAGCTGTCTCCTGAAGAGGTGGAGTCCCGGATCAGGAATTTCTACAACTAGTTGTCCATTCACATTATAATCGGACTTCGTTCTACGTTATTTCCCTCCCTGTCTTGCTGGTACGAGTCGATCATCAAGTAGGGTTTTCTGCTACAAGTTAGGCCCGGCCACACCGATCAGCATTAGAGTTGTACGCCGCATGGTCTAACAAGGAACTCTACGATGCACGAACGTCGAATAGGCTCCATGTTATGCTTGTCCGATGTTCGTGTTACCCAATAGCCTGTAGACTGATCATAATGATCATATGCGCACGCTGACGTGGTTGTATCCCAATTGTAATTACAGGTAACCAATCGGACTAGCTTCTCCCATTGCAGATTATATGCAGACTCTTGAATGCCGATAAAAAGCGTTTTGCCAAGTAGCGCGAGGTCAAGGGCTTTGTATGTTGTGCCTCTGAACATTCAGTCGCGCAGGTCCTGGTCCCAGACAGGATAACGATGGACACAAGAGTTATGCCCTCAGATGGCCCTCATGCACATGGGCGCGCACTCCGAGATGATGTAATCTTACCAGCAAACCAGAAATAATCCTGCCCCACAAACCAGGGGGAACCGGTACTGCCAGCGCTACACTTTCAGCCTCGTTTTAGAAAGTCAACACGTATCCCTTCAATAACTCCAACTTCCTGGAGCCAGGTATCCAGGTCCTCGTAATATTCGCTTCTTATTCTTTCACCAGAACTTCAATTTGATGTTCTTCCCAGAGTCTCCAAGCGCCAAGTTGTAGCGAAATATTTCTTATCAGTTGAATGGAGGTATTGACCGAAGTCTTGGGACAAGCCTGGCGCTTGGAAGATAGATATTCCTGAAGAAGGGAGGATTAGGATGCAGGGCATCGTGTCGATGCTGGCAGCTGCCGCCACTTTGTGATGGCGATGAATGCCATGTATCGACAGAAATTACAGGTCAATAGCGTTTCAAATACGGTGAGCACCCTCTGATGAGAATCCTTCATCACTCATCCCACACAAAAGTACGTAACTGGAGCAGCGATCTTCGAACTTCTAGCTTGTGGTACGTTTAAGTTGTAGCCCTCATGCTCCCTTGGCTAGAATTTATAAATTGTCAGTAATTCCAACCTGACAGTTTGCGCAAGATTTCGCAAGAATGCTGACTGCTCCAATCCGGTAGGGCAACCTAACAAATTGAGCAACACTAGTTTTCGATTGACCATTTCCAGAGTCAGTGTGTACACACGATCGCAAAGCAATGGTATCGGACAGTGACAAAGATGACTAGTTGACTGAGCGACAAGTAACATGCTACAGGGTTCAGATATCGTATGCCTGCCTAGGTCTTGTCGAGCGTTGTTGAAAGTGGAGTAGGGAGCTGTACGGTATGCAGGACCTAGGTGTGTTTTTATCAGGTCTATCGTGTGCATACATACTTATATTTGATCTTCGAGCTACACCGACAGTGTGAGGCTGCGCTATGGACTGATCTGCATGCCCCTCAATGATAGTATTCTATTCTTCTTGTATCCTCGCACGTCTTATCTTAGCCCAATACCCCCTATATTTCCTACGCCAACTCCAATATGCAAAGGGCTGTAAGTAGACATATGTCTTCTTGATGCGCGTTTCAACTCTACAAATCACTGGTAACCCGCGCGTCAGTGTCAACGGCCATACTGCACCGATGTGAAAGCAGAAACACGACTCACGGTGCAGACAAAAAAGGTCTACCATGCAGGTAAGTTATATTATCAAGTCCAGGAAAATGCTGATACTCACGCATTGATTAAAAGTGCACTGCGGGCTGTTGCACCACGAGTCAGAAATGCAAAACTTGGCACAGTGATCGGCGCTATCCGTGTCACTGGTAGCAGGCATGGCAGAGACGGATGATGCCAAAGCAGTCATGACGGCGAGGACAAATGCAGAGGTGAAACGCATTGTTTGTGATTCGTGTGATATGGGATCAGGTAATTCTGAAGGCAGTTGTAGCGAGACGGCGGGCTTTTATATTTTTCTGTTGCGTGGATGTGCCTTCAAACGGATACATATCTACAGTGCCAGCAAGTCTATCGGCAGGTGTGGAAAGGTGTGGAACTGCTGAACATTCACGTTTTCAACCGGCCGTTGACTCGGTACCAAAAGCACCGTGACTGGAGAGATCTGTGTGCAACCGTATGAGTTGAAGATCCTCTTTACATGGTTACAGCCATCTAATATCTGACGTCGCATGACTAGAGAAATTCTGATATGTAGAATGAAGATAATCGTTCCTCACACAGTCTCAGAGTGAACTCTGAATACGTGTCCTTGACTTCGATTATTTCTACTTTTGGCTGGAGACCTGCCAGCTGTCAGCAATCATGATTCATGACCCAGATTCATTTCGACTGTCGGCGTGTGGTTCCAGTGAGATAGATGCCGTGTGCAAGCCTCATCAAAATGTCTTTGTATCAGTCGCCCGAATGAAAACAACGTGTTAGATTTGCACACAGAGTTTGCATGGTTGGTATTCTTTCATTTATGTTCGATGGTAGTCATAACGTCGGTATAATATAGATATATCATGCGTCACAGCAATACCCCTTTCGTCATGCTATACCGAGCTCTCTTGCCAAGATCTGGAGACCCTATATCATTGCATTCATCAAGAGATATATAGACAGACAGAGGAAGGTAGCCCACCAGGTGTTTACTGGAGAAACGCGAGATCCCGAATGGACCAGAAGCAAACCAAAGTGCTGGATGTCCAGAGGGTCGATATGTCTGATTAAATTCTCCCTCTGAGTCAAGGCCGAGCACCACAGGCGGAAGAAGTTGATCGGTAATGTCATTGCCAAGAAGAGCTTTCGCGGCGTTCATGATGGGTTCATTTCCTGTACTAGAACGTGCGTGAGAAGGATCGACGAGAAATTACCAGTCAGACCCCATACGCTAGGACGATAACGTCTGCTGAAAGCTTGGAACCGTCTTCAAACGTGACCCCATCTTTTTCAAAGTAACTGATGTCTCCTTGCTTTATCTGGGCGTATATCGCAACAATCAGACAGCCCTCAGACAATGAATAAAAGTCCTACCTTAACTCTGCCTTCGATTAGCTTACTACAGCTAATGCCAAGCACTGCATAGTGTTTAAAATGTCACTCATCTCAAGAATAAATCCGAACATACTAGTTCCTGACGACTGGCGGATGAACACAAATCCTTCCAGCCCAACCTCGCCACTACCGGGCGAAGGTTCCCAAGTTAAGTTGAATCCAATTTTGCGCAAACCGTCGTGGAGTTCCTTATCGAGCATCTTCGTGTCTTGTATCCCACCTGAATTTTTCAGTTGCAGGAAAAGGGCCTTAGGCATTGAATTATTGCGGAAATCTAGTTCCTCGACAGGGGTGCCATCAGGGAAAGGCGACTTGTAGTAGGTTTTCTCTGCGGTAGTCGAAGACATAACACATGTAGCGCTTCTTTGGACCATTGTTACCTTTCCTTCCTTATGAAATCATGACTTTGATATTGTTCAATCCATACACACCTCAGTAGCACCATGCGCTACGAAATCTTGACATATGTCTGCACTAGCATTGGCCTGACGCTCTCATGAGTGTGCACGTAAGTGTGAGATGTAGACATACGACTTACGGCTCCCACAACGACAATGCGTTTGCCTCGGAATTGCTCTGCATCTTTATGAAAGTCAGAATGATACAAGGCTCCTTGAAATTCATCCATTCCATTCCAAGTAGGAATGTAAGGACTCCCGCTTCCTATGGCAAGTACCAGGTACTTCGGATTAATGAATACTTTCCGGTCTCCGTGCTGGACTTCCACAGTCCATCTTGCGGATGATGAGTTGTACACTGGAGGTGAGGCTATGCTACTCGAGAGCCAGATACACAATTCCTGGTGCACAGCATATGAATCGAGGAAATTAGCAAGTTGCCCCTTAGGAATATAGTTGGGGAAGGTTCTCCTAACATTACTGAGATAGATTATAACTTAGAATAGCGGAAAACACATACGGATATGGACTGTAAAGCACTGTGTATAGATAAGCCCAAGGCCTCTTATAGAAAAAATGGTAAGACGCACTGGAGGTTTGGTATGCGGGACTATGTAGCGTAAGACTTGGGTACCTATGGTTCGTATCTAGTATGACAAAGAATGACGAACTATCGCTGTGTTTGCACATACCGGTGTCGCCAGGAGTCCCCGACACGCGCATTTTTCTCAATCACGAGCGTACGGATGCCCAACCTACCCAGCCGCGCCGCAGACATAAGGCCAGCTTGTCCACCACCAACTTTTACGCTCGTCAACTTTCAAGTCATCATGATTAATGAAAGGAACTGCACTGCACCGATCAAAACAGTGGGGTCCGCCTCTATAGCACGGAATCTTGCGTCAACATCTTCCTCCCAGGTCATATTTCGATCCTCATGTAGGCCGTATTGATCTTCGGAAGACTCCTCGTGCCCGACGAGGTCCTGCATGTTTGTGAAAAGAGTTAAAGCTTTCCACTTCCCATCGGTATCTTGCGTCAGACGGAAGAATCCTCGTCCGAGTGCAGCCGGTTTCGTAATAGTAAATGTGAAAGCACCTTGTACTCCTTGAATGCCTTGTGTACCTGGTAGTTTGAATGGTGAAGGTGCATTTGCGGCGATGCGATCGTCTAGCTTGAAGTCACGAAGACCAGAATGTTCAAGTCGCGTCTTTCCATCAACCACCTCCGAGAGGAATCCGTGTATTTTTTCCAGACCTGATAGCGTCCTAAAATCCCAAGAGAAACATAGAAGATCTAAGAGAGAACACTTGTAAGTACGCCTCCGTTTCTTGGGCAAGCACCGACCTCTGAACCACCCGTCCGAAAGGAAATGGCTCACAAATGACATAGAATCTCCGGTAGACGACGCAACCTCTAAGCTTTTGAGCCAGTCAACAGAGATTGCATAACGGTCCTCTGAAGCCATTTTGGTAAGGCAGGAGATAGTGAACGTGAATTAGCGCAGGTGTGGAGATATAAGCGAAACCTGTGAGTTCATGGTACGTACCCATCAGTCGGACTTCGGGCGGCGGCCCGCCATTATGTCCACTTCGTCATATTTTGCTTCGTCATCGTCCTCGTGCCTCCTGCAGTGTCTCTGATGGGTCTTCCTACGTTTTACACAAGTTCTTGAGGTCTCTCGAGTCCGACGAGCAGTTCGTGATCAGTATCCGGTTAGATATTGTGACAATTATGGCACTATCGCTCACGCACATTCCATTCGCGTCCAGACAAGGACTACTTACGCGACATGCTACGAGCGCATGCATGTGATGCTGAGTGTGTCAATAATCTTATTGTGTTCCTGTTTTTAAAGAGGCCTCGGCGATATTTTTCACATTAGTACATGAGCCTGCGCTCTCATTGAGATTCGGCCCGCGTGTATGTCGTGCTCAGAATGTTCCAACTTATGCATTGGTCCTGGTTGATGTCCAAAAGGTACGGTTGTATTGACTTCGCAATGACTGTTTGCCCGAGCACGTTGCCATGCACGTACTAGAATGCTTTTGATTTGTACGGTCGAGCCATACTGTACCCCAAGGGTTTACAAGATTCATGGTGTAAAACAGATTTGAATTTATGTTTATCCTGTCGATCAGCCTTAGTATCTAACTCGCTGCGCCAGCCCCAGGTTAATTCCTTGGCTAACCTTGAATATTACGGGTACGAGAGGCTTCCACTATCAATCCATAGAGCGTTCTCGGAAGCCTCGGCTTAAGATTTGGTGTTGGTTTCTCGAGCTCGCGCGTCCCAGATTACTCATCATGATGCATCGTTTGGTTCTTGTCTGACATAGCGGGTGCACCGAGAAGACAGAAAAAATCGTTTGAATATCATAAGTGGCGAATGGGGAAAAATTATGTAGCGACAACCCAGAACAAACAGCCAAGAAGAAAGACAAGGAAAAAGTAAAAGAGATAACGGGTCCTGTGTTTCCCGGAGGGTCGTGATGAATCAGTACAGAACGAGAAATTGAAAAATTTCACTCACACTTGTCCATTTTGCATGACAACATTAGCATAGAGGCTTTCTCTTTCCATCTTCTTTCTGAGGATACGAGCCGGAAGTGTATCCTCATTGCGACCTGCAGCGCGAATGATTTCCTTGTCTTCTTGTGTCATCTTATCCCGCAAATAAAACTGATTCCGCCCATCCACCCGAATATACAAATTGAGACGCCTATGCAAAGTAAATGTAAGCTCCGCTTGCTAAAATCGAATGTTAAGGACGGAGAACCTACTCTAGACATTGCGCAGTGCTGATGGGTCCATTGAAAAGCATGCGCGCGAAAGGAATACCCATGAAGAAGGGCTTGTCATTTCTTGCATTATCCATCACAACATCAGGGATGAGCAACGCAGTGGTTACCGAGATCCCTAAGTCCTCTGTATAACCATAGCTAATGAACTCTACAAGTCCTACGGAATATCTGGTGAAACCTGTTGCGTTACACTGTGCCCGAGCCTCGCGCCATATCTGTAGCTGCTGTGGCGTGAGGTGACCTTGCGTGCTTGGGCGCCACGGAGTGAGGGCATTAACTTGCAACATCCCTTGAAGCTTCTTCCCAGCTGCCTCGTCATTGAAATATAATCCAATGAAATCAAAGATATCACTGGGTTCCATTGCAATGTCAACACGTGCCACGAATGGCATGTCAAATCCGATCTGGGGATTGTCAAACAGGTCATAGTCGTAGGCTATAGCAACTTTAAGGAATGCCATGAGCATCGGGTTTGCACTGAACATGTGTATGGATTTGGATATCCCCGAGTGTTCAACTTGGTGGCATGCCGGTTTGTAGGTGGACCTATCATCGAGCCCGTGTAGAGTGAGGACCCAATATATGTCAATTATAGTCAGTATTTTTACCTGTTTTTCTTTCGAGACTGTACACAAGAAGGCACGCAACGCACGTCAGACTTCGGTTTTATCCCAGTCGAAGATCCTACCTTTTTTGAGGGCATCCTAGAAATGGGAGGACGTCCAGGAAATGGTTAGTCTGGGGCGTCTAGGGCTGTGGCTGACTTGTGCGGCGTTTGAACCATATTTCACAATAGGGAAGTTCAAAGTTTAATGCCATCCGAAGTGGTGAATGAATGAATGAATGAATGAATTTTAAATTTAGCCGCATCTACTACGCTCACAAGAGAGGTCTCACGTGACGCCAAAATGGTTGTGCACGTAAAGAGACCATTTACTACGAGAAACAATACTTATATATAGGGATGATCAATTCTAAAATGTCGTTCAACCAATGTCAACTTGACCCGCACCAGTTAAACCCTCGGATCATGAGGGAGATGCTCTACATCTTGTCGTAGAGCATGATGCATATAAACCGTCATTTTGTTCTTGTTCTACTGACATAGCGGATGTACTGAGAAGACAGAAAAAATCATTTGAACATCATAAGCGGCGAATGGGAGAAATTATGTAGCGACAACCCAGACCAAACAGCCAAGAAGAAAGACAAGGAAAAAGTAAAAGCCATAACGGGTCCTGGGTTGCCTGGAGGATCGTGACGAATCAGTACAGAACGAGAAGTTGAAAAAGTTCACTCACACTTGCCCATTTTGCGTGAAAATATTTGCATAGAGGTGTTCTCTTTCCATCTTCTTTCTGAGGATACGAACCAGAAGTGTATCCTCATTGCGACCTGTAGCACAAATGGCTTCCCTGTCTTGTTTTGTCATTTTAGCCCGCAAATACAACTGATTCTGCACATCCGCCCGAATATACAAATTGAGATACCTATGCAACGTAAATGTAAGCTCCGCTTGCTAAAATCCAAGGATAAGGACAGAGAACCCACTCTAGACATGTCATACTACTGGGTGTATAGAACTGCCTGCCTGCGATAGCGATAATATGTATGAACAAGGGCTTGCGATTTCTTGCATCATCCAGCACAACAGCGGGGATGAGCAACTCAGTGGTCACTGAGTTCCCCAAGTCCTCTGTACAGGCCTAGCTAATGAACTCTACGAGTCCCACAGGATCTTTGGCGAAACCTCTTGCGTTATGCCGTGCTCGAGCCTCACGCCACATATGTAGCTGCTCTGGCGTGAGGCGACCTCGCAAGCTTGAGTGCCACGGAGTGACGGCATTGACTTGCAACATCCCTGGAAGGTGTTCTCCAACAGCCATGTGGTTGAAATACAATCCAATGAAATGAAAGATATTGCTGGGTTCCATTGCAATGTCGACACGTGCCACGAATGGCACGTCGAATCCGATCTGAAGATCGTCAAACAGGTCATAGTGGGAGGCGATCTCAATCCCAAGGAATTCCATGAGCAACGGGTTTGCACTGAACATTCGTATGGATTTGAGTACCGCCGGGGACCGTTCAACCGCCGAGGAGGGTGCAACTTGGTGGCATGCCGGTTTGTGGTTGGATCTATCATCGAGCCCGTGTGGAGTGAGGACCCAATATATGTCAATCATAGTCAATACTTTTACCTGTTTTTCTTTTGAGACTGTACACGCAACGCACGTCAGACTTGGGTTTCATCCCAGTCGGAAATCCTACCTTTTTAAATTTTGAGGGCATCCTGGAATTAATCGGGAGGACGTCCAGGAAAAATGGTTAGTCTGGGGCGTCTAGGGCTGTGGCTGACTCGTGCGGTGTTTGAACCATATTTCACAATAGGGAGGGTTCAAAGTTTAATGGCTTCGCCATGCGGCAGAAGGGGTGAATGAATGAATTAAGTTTGGCCGCATTTACATCACTCACACGTGCACAGCGGGGAAATTGACATTTTACCACCTTTGGTCGCCAGTGAAAGGTAATCCAAAATGCTCTGGAACGCTCTAGGCTAGGTCCGGAATTGTCTAGCCAGGTCCTGATCTGCTTTTGATTGAAATCTTGCAAGAGGTAAAACGTTGACAATGAAACCGTGTCGGTCTCACGTGATGCCAAATGGACCATAATTCAATTTCCCACCCTTCCGGCAACTTCTCCTCTGAAGTCGTGTTGGTAAAGCAGGAGATAGTGAACGAAACTGGTGAGTTCATGGTATCATGTTATCGATCGGACTTCTTACTTGGTTCATTTGCGTTACCTCAGTCCGAACACCCTGTGTCACAACGAAGTTTGTCACTAATACAGATTAAAGATATCCGGGATTCCATCACCTAGCTATAACCAGACACACTCTAGAATTTTCTCAAAGTCATTTGCACAAGAAACAGTCAAAATCTCCTCCGTGATCTGCCTCCTCCAGTGGTTGCGCACAGTGTCCATTCCAGGGCGACGAAATCGCTTCAAGAGGAAGCATATATAGCTTTCTCCCCGTTTCAATATTCCTTTGTCAGCGTCATCATGATCATGGTAGTTGATAATCCCAATCACCCATTCTGTCGTAGATGCCGGTGGGAAGGAATGTGATTGTACGTCCAGTTTCTTGAGCGGTGATACCCAGCGGCGACCTGCGGGTCTGGAAAGGAACGTCGACTGCCCTTGGTTCTGGTCAACAGAGGCAGGAAGCATGAGCAGTCTGACTTGCACGCCACGCTTTGTGATTGAGAAGTCAGAATCGCCACAACCCTCTCCCCACCACGAGATCTGGCGATTCTTGAGCATATCCAGCGCCGTGTCGTTCGTCGTGCGGTAACAGTTAGGCTCCGTTGGACAACCGGAAAGCCCGCCAGCCCACACAAGAATTTGCCATTCCTTGCAGTTCTGAATCAGTTCAACCATGAACCTTTGGAACGCTCGATCTCCTTCTCCATATGCGATTGTCATACTGATGTCAAAAATACCAACGAGGGAGTAGGCAACATCCTCAATGCGGGTCGTCTTCCTGCTGGCAGCCCAGGTCATCTTCTCCCAGGCACGGTTTGGTCCGGGGCGAAAGTTGCACAGGTCATTCAGAGGGATGTTGGTAACTCGAGAAAGAGCAGAGATGACCACCGCGTCGTCCTTGTCATTTTCATTATCCGTCAGGGATGTCCATCCCGGACCATAAAACTTCATCCTGAGGGGTGCAAGGAGCTCCTGCAACGTCCAACCACGAAAAAACCACTCATCAATCCCTAGCGTCTCTAATGAATCCGATTGAGCCAGATGCACGATGCATATATACGCATTGCGGTACCATCGGTACATCGAACGTATGGCTTCATCGAGCTCCGAGCTGCTTTCCTTATTGATGCAGCATGTGTCAGACCATGCGAGACGGCAACCATAGAGCTCCTTCGCCTTTATGCAGAACCTGTCCAGCTTCTCGTAACCTGCTCCTTCGCGCCTTTCCAACTTTAAGTCTTGAAATGTTGGCTCCGACTTTCCCCATCTGTGTGATAGGATGGCATATTTGAGCATGTCGGGGACCAACCTCGACTCTATAGCGGATTTTCTTGACCATCCTTTATGCTTCGATATGTCCTCCTCTGTGATCTTCTCTGGTTCCAGTATGGTAAGAAGTTCTTCCCGTGAGACCAATTTCATCTTTGGGATGTAAATCAGATGTGACGGAACCTGATCAAAAACACGTCGTCTGAACTCGTTCATCACATCAGGAATGTCACAGGAACTATGCTGATATCTAAGTGAGCTTGTGCACGAACATAGATTCGATAAATGAACTTACCTCGGAGACTGTAGCTTCCGTGGTCTGCAGTATTCCGGGTACGCAACTCGAGGACTCTTCTTGCACAACGGCTAGGATCTGATCTGCAGAAGGGCGATCCGCAGGCCGAAGCGAGAAGCATCGCCGGAGGAAGGATAGATCATGATCACTGATTCCTTCTGGGAATGGCGGCACTTGGCTGTCACGCAAACGAGCCTTTACAGTGTTATCTGGAGCTTTCTGCCAAGGCTCCTGTCCAGAAAGAACCTAAAAAAAGTAATTAAATACGGTGATGCCATTGTCGATGAAGGATATCAGTACATGTATCATGTTGCAACCGAAAGACCACACATCACTTTGGGACGTCGGAAGTCCGCTGGAGCTGTTGATCATTAACTCGGGAGCTGTCCAGGGAACATCACCCAGACGGGTCTCGTAAGATTCTGATTCCGCGATCTCATCGAGCATTGTGGAAAGCCCGCTACCCTTTACGAAGGCACGACCATTCGAGTCTACCAAGATGTTATGCTGATGTTGGCACATTGGAGATCAGTGTTCACCTGTCGAATTTTCGATGAGAACTTACACCGCTTAGATTTCCATGCACCACTGCGCAAGAATGCACTAGTAAAAAATCAGTGAGAATGCCCACTATCGTAGTCAAGTAGACATACAGTACTGCAGTGCTGAGGCAATATCTTGCAACTAACCAACTTTGGTTTTAGACATGGTGAAATCATAACATAAATCACTCACCAGGCGAAAACGCTCATGGCGCGTCAGGATGTTGTGATGTCTAGTTAATAACTGAATCAAGTTTCCATTGCCGATCCAAGGTGATACAAGGCCAGGTAAAGGGCCATATCCGTGAACGAGCCCAAGCAAAGGCAAAACATGTTCGCTTTGAAGTCGCCCCCATACTTTGATTTCTTGTCTCCATTCCTCGCTTTTAATGCTGAGTGAGGCACGGTCAGAGTCATGCTGAACCTTGACGACCTGAACCGCAACCTGGTAGTGTTTAGAATTATCAGCTGGCGTCAATTGTCGACTAGGAGGGACCTACTGGAGAAGATTCAGAAGGCGAGTTCCAGCTGCACTTGAAGATTGTCGCATAGCCGCCCACTGCAGCTGGTGTGTCCGAGTCTTTGATTATCTGATCAGTGAGATCAGGGATGCAACTAAAGCACAGATTCAGCAAGACGAAGGCTACAATTCCCAAGAAAATCCGCACATAGGAGTGTCGAATACTGACGACATTACTTCTTGCAAGTTGGATGGCTACTGGTAAGGTGTGACTCGGGGTCAAGCGTCAAATATGTGTACCTTGGTGCTTGGCAGTAACCAAACTTTATCTCCCACCGTCTCCATATTCTTGGCATGATTGGGCGCTTGTACCTCTAACCCTCGTGCTCTTTGACGTCTACGTGTAGAATGTGAGCGCGCTAAACACACATTTAACTCCGCTACTGACATCGAGCCTCGTTCAACACCTACCTCCATGACGGGATCGATTTCTATGCCATTCATCGATCACACATGTTGAGTTTGAGGTCCTCTGCAGCAATCTTTGAGTCTATCGAGTGTTTGATCATGTCAAATAGGTACTTCGCAACGCAGATCAAACGCCCGTTGAGATCAGTCACAATTGAGATTGAAATATAGGAAGAATGAAAATATTGACCGTTGGTGAGTATGTGGCATCGTTTTCGCGGCAGCTGATATCAAGTCAACTTGTTTTCTACCAATAGTATACAGGTATTGAATAAGATTGTGCTGGCGACTGACACATGTCAATGGCAGCCTATTCAAGAGGTGTCGTACAAGAGACTCCGATCAGAAAGGTACGAGGATCCTTCGTTGTCTTAGTACAGAACGAGAAGTTGAAAAAGCTCACACTCACATTGGACTATTTCACGTGTCATTTCCATGACACCAGCATAGAGGTGTTCTCTTTTCATCTTCTCTTTGAGGATACGAGCCGGAAGTGTATCCTCATTACGACCTGCAGCGCGAATGGCTTCCTTGTCTTGTTCTGTCATCTCAGACCGCAAACGTAGCTGATTCTGCTTATCCGCTCGAATATGCAAATTAATATACCTGTGCAATGTAAATGTAAGAACCTCCGCTCGCTAAGGATGAGGACGGAGAACATACTCTAGACATGTCACAGTGTTCATGGGTTTGTTGAACTGCGTGCCTGTGACAGCAGAGACACCTGTGAAGGGCTCGCGTTTCCTTGCAATATTAAGGACACCAGCGGGGATGTGCAACTCAGCAGTCACCGAGTTCCCTGAGTCCTCTGCACAACTACAGCTAATGAACTCTACGAGTCCTACGGGGTCTTTGGCGAAACCTTGTGCATTATACTTTGCTCGAGCCTCGCGCCATATCTGTAGCCGCTTCGGCGTAAGGGGACCTTGCGTGCCTGAGTGCCACGGAGTAATGGCATTGACTTGCAACATCCCTTGAAGCTTCTCTCCGACAGCCTGGTCATTGAAATATAAACCAGCAAAGTCAAGAACGTCACTAGGTTCCATTGCAATGTCAACACGCGCCATGAATGGCACATCGAATCCGATCCGGGGATTGTCGAACAGGCCACAGTCAAAGACGATACCGACTTTGAGGAACCCCATGAGCAATGGGTTTACACTGAACATTTGTATGAATTTGAGTACCCCCGAGGAGCGTTCGACTTCGTGACATGCCGGTTTGTGGGTGGACCTATTGGCATCAGCCCGTGTAGAGTGAGGACCCAATATGTTTAATCATAGGTAGAACTCTTACCAATTTTTCTTTTGGCACTGTACACAAGAAGGCACACAACGTACGTCAGCCCTTCATACTTCAGTTTCATATCAGTCGGAAATCCTACCTCTTTTGAGCAGTACCAGACGCTCTTACACTAAAAGCAGATTGCAACATTCGATTAACGGCTGCAACAGTATTCAGATATCTAACCACCACCTTTGCGCATTTCAAAGGCTTCTCCAATTTCGTTTGACATTGCGTACATTGTACACTGGAGCTCTTCTGGCTTGCTTTGAGAGATTTAGTGGAAGCTGCTAGGGCGCGGAAATAATCGTCCCTCTCTGGATGAATCGCATGTTCGATATAGACGGTCTGTGGAGTCGAGGAGAGGTTGTTCGTGTTAGCACTCATGTTCTCGCGAATGCGATGGGTAGGTGTTAAGCGCTAATAGCAGTGAGGTTCACCGGCGCAAAGTGAACGACGGATCACGAGCATCCTACTTGGAGCTAGGCGCACCGGTGGCCCATCAGGTCTTAGATCATAATGTTAGGCCAGCTATCACCATTTTGGATGTGTCGAGCGTAGCGCTCAGGTGCGAGAATTCTGAGACTAACTGGAAGTGTGGTGCCGAGAAACTCCGACGGGCTACGTCTCGGCACCTGTACAATTCATGGTGGACGTAATTAATCTCTGACAAAGTTCGGACTCATACCGCCTCTCTTGCCTGCACATTCCATCTTAATTATCACGATACTTGCAGACACATCACACACACACACCATGCCGGTCACTACTCTTCAATTAGATCATATCATACATGATTTGGGCCTTGTCAAGGAGCGCGCAACAGCGCAGGATTCCAAAATTGAAGCGGTGTGTCTCAACATTACGCCAATATGAGTAACTGAATATTGTTTCAGGCGAACAGAGAGCTGGATGAGAACAAGGTGGTCAAACAGGAGGTCAACATTCTCAGGGAAGAGAACAAGGTACTCAAACAGGATGTCGTTCTCCAGAAGAAGAACAATGAGCTCGAGGAGGAAATTAAGGAGCTCAAGGAGGATGTTAAGACAGTGAGTGCATATTACTATAGGATCTCGGTTCAAATATTGACAGCTTTGCTGTAGAACTGCACCAACATCCTGAAACTAGAGCGCCGCACGCTAGTTAACGAGGCCCGCGACAAATTAAGGGACGAATTCTCATTCACGCAAGATCAGCTCAACCCATTCAAATACCCAGGGGAACCAGGCGAGAAGTTGAAAGCAGCCGCGAAGTTTGTCCTTAGTCACCTCCCACCGACCGAGAAACCAAAACTGTCGTTGAACGCCGTCAAGACCATTCTCAACAAATCGCAGAATAGTGTCCGCGAGCTGGGCAACAAACTCGCACACACCGACGTGACCATCGCGGCCCTGGAAGACCAGAATTTACAAGACAGCCAGCGCAACTCTTTTGGAAGTGGATGTATGATATTGACTCGGACGTGTGAGTACCTACCGGCACCAAGTCCCCGACTGCTATTTTACTTCTGTATAGATGTACCACTACTAGAGCAATCACGCAAGTGTCCATTGTGCTACCAGTTGATCGGTGAATATGTTATACTAATCATATACGCGTCACAGTTCGACTATATTTGCCCCCACCACGCTCCTCGTCACCACAGTTATTGCCAGCCGAGGAATCTCGTGTACGAGCTGCCCGACGGGCACATATAAATCGCTACTTGACCGCAGGGATTGTCATGCCTCGGACGCTGACGAACTTGAACGAGCAATCGCCAGAAGACGTTGAGTGTACCAAAGCCATCTTTATGCAAAGGTATGTGCTTCTACTTGCATTTACACACGTCTCATCTCGCCCAGCATGCCGCGTCTAACTAATTCGCCCGGTATCGTCGCAGTCCAGCCTAGTTTGCGGCATCTCCAGAGATGATATGTCGAGTCACCATCTTTCTCCGTCATGAACTGCGCGTTTGGCAAAATCTTGATATTGAGGTACGTGTCGCACCGCGTTTCTATGCTGACGGGTTCGACGGGTACGAGTACAATGTAAGATAGTCGTACCCTTGAGCATACCGCGACCCTTGACCGCGGGTTGGCGGTGTTTGGCGGGTATGACTTACTGAATCAGGAACTTTGACAGCCGTGCTATGATTCTTCGTACCACCTCTCTGAGAGCTTGAGGAACGCCATACTTACTTTTGTCATGTCTTTTTTCGGCCCGTGAATCATTCTTAATATTTTATCAAATTCACACTTTGTTACAGAGAAGTTCGGGTCACTACCGAGTCGTCTCTCCTTCAAGTTGACTCTTGAAGCTCCCACAACATGACATTAGACTTTCTCTCTGCCCCAGGCATGCCACCCTTCAATCCTCTTTCGACCGATCAGACTCGCTTGTGTGCTACTCTGCGCCTTACTCGCACCGCAAACATAGTATGCTCTAGTTCCTCACGTTTATTATTTCTCTTGTGAAATCAATAGACATAGTACGAGCTGAATCTGCTGTCAAACTTCTCTCCGAGTTCCTAGACTTAGATACTCCTTGTATCGAGGGCCAGAGGCACCCAAACGCCGAACATTTTGCACATGGTCAGTATAGTTTCTTTTCGTTCATATGTAATTCTGTTCTTGGACGTGCTCTAAGTGTCTGCAGCAAATTAACACGATTCCTTCGCATTTATCCGTTGAAAAATCTCGAACGGCAAGCACTCTTTTACTGTAGTGTCTAACACGCCGACCACTCTGCTTGTCATAGATTTGTGGCTCATTGACCATTTTATGGCAGATCGACTAGCGGTTGCAACTGGCAGTCGCCAGGGGAGACATCATCAACGGGGATGCAACTAAAGCACAGATGTGTACCTTGGTGCTTGGCAGTAACCGAAAGTTATCTCCCACCGTCTCCGAATTCTTGAAATGAGTGGGCGCTTGTACTTCTGACCCTCGTGCTCTTTGGCGTCTACGTGTAGAATGTGAGCGCGCTAAATACACACTTAACTCTGCTACTGACATCGAGCATCGTCGAACACCTCCATGACGGGATCGATTTCTATGCCATTGATCGATCACACGTGTTGAGTTTGAGGTCCTCTGCAGCGATCTTTGAGTCTATCGAGTGTTTGGTCATGTCAAATAGGCACTTCGCAACGTGGATTCAACGCCCGTTGAGATCAGAGTAACAATTGAGATTAAAATATAGGAAAAATGAAAATATTGACCGTTGGCGAGTATGTGGCATCGTCTGATTACTATTTCGCGGCAGCTGATATCAAGTCAACTTTTTTCCTACTAATAGTACACAGGTATTGGACAAGATTGTGCTGGCGACTGATTATCGCTCGCACATGTCAATGGCAGCCCATTTCAAGAGGTGTCGTACAAGAGACTCCGATCAGAAAGGTACGAAGATCCTTCGTTGTTTTAGTACAGAACGAGAAGTTGAAAAAGCTCACACTCACATTTGACTGTTTCACGTGTCATTTCCATGATACCAGCATAGATGTGTTCTCTTTCCATCTTCTTTTTGAGGATACAAGCTGGAAATGTATTCTCATTACGACCTGCAGCGCGAATGGCTTCCTTGTCTTGTTCTGTCATCTCAGCCCGCAAACGTAGCTGATTCTGCTTATCCATTCGAATATGCACATTGATATACCTGTGCAATGTAAATGTAAGAAGCTCCGCTTGCTAGAATCCAAGAATGAGGAGGAGAACATACTCTAGACATGTCACAGTGTTCATGGGTTTGCTGAACTTTGTGTCTGTGATAGCAGAGACAAATATGAAGGGCTCGCGTTGCCTTGCAATGTCAAGGATACCAGCCGGGATGTGCAACTCAGCAGTCACCGAGTTCCCTAAGTCTTCTGCACAACTACAGCTAATGAACTCTACGAGTCCTACGGGATCTTTGGTAAGACCGTCTGCGTTATACTTTGCTCGAGCCTCACGCCACAGCTGTAGCCGCTTCGGCGTAAGGGGACTTTGTGTGCTTGGGTGCCACGGAGTGACGCCATTGACTTGCAACATCCCTTGAAGCTTGTCTCCAACGGCCTTGTCGTTGAAATACAATCTAATAAAGTCAAGGACGTCACTAGGTTCCATTGCAATGTCAACACGTGCCATGAATGGCACATCGAATCCGATCCGGGGATTGTCGAACAGGCCACAGTCAAAGATGATACCGACTTTGAGGAGCCCCATGAGCAACGGGTTTACACCGAACATTTGTATGAATTTGAATACCCCCGAGGAGCGTTCGACTTCGTGGCATGCCGGTTTGTGGGTGGACCTATCATCGAGCCCGTGTGGAGTGAGCACCAAACATGTTTAATCATAGGTAGAACTCTTACCAATTTTTCTTTTGGCACTGTACACAAGAAGGCACGCAGCCCTTCAGACTTCAGACTCATATCAGTCGGAAATCCTACCTCTTTTGAGCAATACCAGACGCCCTTACACTAAAAGCAGATTGCAACACTCGATTAACGGCTGCAACAGTATTCAAATATTCGACCACCACCTTTGCGCATTTCAAAGGCTTCTCCAATTTCGTTTGACATTGCGTACATTGTACGCCGAAGTCCTTCTGGCTTGCTTTGAGAGATTTAGTGGAAGCTGCTACAGCGCGGAAGGCATTGCCACTCTCTGGATGAACCACATGTCTGATATAAATGGTCTGTGGAGTCGAGGAGAGGTTGTTCGTGTTAGCACTCATGTTCTCGCGAATGCGATGGGTGGGAGTTGAGCGAACGTTGAGCGCTAACTAGTAGCAGTGAGGTTTACCGGCGCAAAGTGAACGGCGAATCACGAGTGTCCTACTTGGAGCTTGGCGTAACGGTGGCCCATCAGGCTTCGAAGCCTCAAGGCCTCAGGTCCTAGATAACAAAATATTAATGTTAGGCCAGCTATAACCATTGGTCCATTTTGGATGTATCAAGCGTAGCGCTCAGGTGCGAGAATTCCGAGTCTAGCAAATTCACACGATTCAGCCTTCGTTGAAAAGGTTTATGTAATTTAAGGACCCATCATTTATGTCGAACGAGGCGAGCACTCTTTTACTGTAATGTCTAACACGCTGACCGCTCTCTGCTCGTCGTAGATTTTTGTTGGTTGACCATTTTATGGCAGATTGACCAGCGGTTGCAACTGGCAGTCGCCAGGGGAGACATCATCAACGCAAGAGGTGTATCCTGCGCATCCATTGCAAAAACGATAACGATTCATTTCACCAAAGTCTCTACGCCCGGTCCGCTTCTCTCGTTGTACAATGAGGATCGGAGGCATGTGCAGGCTGGTACAGGCGCTCCATTTTTGCAAAAGAGGGTACTGTGCGATCTCGGTGTCGATGCCAGATTCTTGTCTTCTCCCAGTATTGGTGATGAGGGAGTCTGTTAGATTTCTCCCACGACATTTCTCCCTCTTTGTGCTGGGGTGCGACACTCCTGCTCAACAACTTCCGAGACAATAAGTGTATTGCAGGGAGGCAAAACGGTTACGGGCCACTTTTTGACACATGTCCTCGCTCGTGTGAAGAGAAGTGTTTTCTGTAACGTTACCCAGAAGAACATCGAGATCGGAACGGAGTACTTGGCTGGTCCCGGTCAACACCCAACTTCCCATCTACAGTATCGCGTCCAAATTACCGGTGTTACTTCCCCCGATCCAAAGCGAATACAAACTTCTCGCCGTGGTACGTAGTCCCTCGGCTAGAATTCACGAATTTTAGGAATCCCACCCTGACAGTGTGAGTTTGCACAACATTTCGCAATAAAGCTGATTGCTCACAATCTAGCAGGGAAACCTAACAGGAAAACAGTATTGAACAGCACCGTTTTCGATTGACCATTCCCAAAGTCGATTGCAAGGCATTGGACAGTGACAAAGATGACTGAGCGGCATGTAATATACTGCAGACATCACAAGAACACTGCGTATATATCGTTAGGATGTATAATTTTGCAACATTCACTGTTTACAGAAGCTACCGTTATTGCCTCCCAACGTTGAAATATAATGTTGTTCCAGTGTACTCATGCGATGACGGACTTGATGCCAGTTGGAGTACAGGAGAGCCAAGAGTGATATTATGTCTTGATTTCCTCTGCCTTGTTTCATTGGAACTCCCACCAGTACAAGAGCAACGGTAAGGTGTGATACATATGGGTAGAGCAGGAAGTGAGACGCGACTGCATGCATGATGTCTTCCATCGCAGCACGCCGTAGTGGATCTGAGAGTCCTGCTGGTGCTAGTGATCATCGATATCAATTATGATATATAGTAATTCTAACTGCAATATCGATATCTCCGGGAGCGACTCGGAGTCCTGTGCCTGGCTCCCCACTGGCACTGGTTCATCGAAACATATACATATGTATGTTTCATGAACACGAGTCCCGTAACTCCGCGTTGCAAGTCATGCGCTTGCGAAAGCTTCATCATGTCATGACAGTAACACAGAAAAGGTTTATTTTTGCCGCTCACGGAGCTTCCTTTGACCCGAATGATGGCACGATCAATTCTCGAGCGCTAAACGACACTCTTGAAGCCTCAGGCCTCAGGGCCTGACTTCTTCATTGCACGATTTTCAGCTTTAAGCTTCAAAGCTTCAAGACTCGCAGCATGTGGTTGAACAGTGTTCGAGACTTCATCCTCAATTATTCCTGGCTATCAACACCTATCATTGCGGCAATTGGATGGTGCCAGACCTGGGTTATCGCTTCTATTTTTCTCTCCATGGGAAAATCCAACGAGGTTGTTGAGGCCATTGAAGAGTCACGACTGCAGAGTTCCTTCGTGAGATACTATAACGAAGCCAGAGAAGATCCAGGTCACTCGGAAACGTCCACTTGTAATTATGTTGCAGAGCAAAGGTATACGGGTAAGTGGTTGCATCTATGGAGTTCCGGTTCGAGGCGTTCAAACTGATAGTGCCCTATTGAACTCAGGTCTAGCAAAGCGTACGGTACTTGCTGCATGGCTTGCAGACCGTTCCACTGCTACTCCCAAAAAGGCCGTCGGCGTGATGTCGATGGACCCTGGACTCAGCACGCAACTTTTTGACCTCTATCACTCCGTCTGCAATGCAGGCTACCTTGCATACCTGTCATTCCTTATTCAAATTACCGGCTCTCTCTACGGTATCGTGACAGTCTCGATCATTTGGGCAGATGATGCACGTCTCAGAGAGGAAGCTTATGGCGTTCAACTACAGCAACAACTTGCCGCACTCACTATCAACCGCGGGATGTGGTCTATTGCAGCTCTTGGAGCATTCTTCCCGTGGGCACCTCTTCACGCTCTCTATGTGACGACGGGTATTGCTGTTGCACTGGAATTCCTCTTCGCTGTCAGGGGATTCCTCATTGGCTGGCATATGAGCCTGCTTCCTGGTATCCTCCGTTTCTTTGTTGTCTTTTCGTGGTTGCTTCCTAGCGCAGAGGCGCTGACACTAATATTTGGTATGTTTTTGAGCTTCTCGTTGGTCAGTTCTGCATTCAAACGTATCTCCCACAGGTCTTATCGCAATGAAAATGGAGGTTTCATTCATCTCCGCCAAGGTGATCATCTTTGGACTCCCGGCACTGTGGTTAATGATCGGGCCGTTGCTTATCATCGGAGCATCGTTGGGATCGCACTTTGGCATGTTGAATTGTCTTGTTGCCAATTCTAGCTTGTGCGCCACAGCTTGAGCAAACAGGCGTGCAGTCAGGCAGATATCGGAAGGAGCATGTGTCTTGCCGTTTCCTGTCCTGCTTTACGTCCTGGTATGATTTTCCTTGCCATCTGCGTATATGTTTCTCACCTGTATTGTGCAAGGTTTTATCATCGAAGTCCGTGATATTCATGCGACACTTCTGCTTTCAATTATTCAAGCACTCGATTTGCGAGAGGTCACAGTCATATCATACCCCCTTTACATAAAGCACGTCAACTAACCAAATAGAGTGCAATGATATGATAACAAAATTCTCCTCGAATTGGCTGTTTGTTTTAAGGGGTTGTATTGCAACCGGTGTATACCAGGTCCCTGTGGCACCTGGTCTATTGATAGGATATCCGATCCTTGGGGATGGATTCTTGCACGTTACATGTTGTGACCAAGGGCGAGTGCGCCATGAAGTCCTTTGATGCAAAACCCGCAAGTTTACAGGCAACTGCTTTGACGCTGGCCGGTTACGTGTTTCGCAGCGGACATATTTCAAACTTCATCGTGCCATGCTACCACAGTATGAATATTTCCATCTTGATTCTTCAGGTCGAACGTCAAATGGTTTGTAAACCAGGGTCAACAACAAAAGAAGGTCACCACCAAGATCAGCTCATCTGACTCAATATTGACCTATCAAATTATCACCAAACTCTCGTCTGGTCTCTCATTTCCATATATCGGGCGTAGTATCTACTAACACATAATCTCTTCCATTTTATTTCCACTTTCACGACACTATGTAGTATCAGCCGCACATGGCTACCACCTGCACATTCCATGGTTGAGTCGGTGTTCAAAATGCGTTGAGGTATCAACATGAGAGCAAATATCATTAGAAATATGATGGTTGCATCGCTTTGCCTGACGGTGACTTAGCCATCATCGATTTTACCTTTGGAGCTAATACAGCCGCCGTCGAGGATGGCATTTATTTCATGCATGCTCGCGCTGATTTAAATCACACTGTTCGCCACCCGGTACACCAAAGTCAGTTGCAAGGTAGAGAGCCACGAGCAGTGCCGTGCTGTTCGGAAGGGTGATATCATGTCTTCGTTGTTTGATATTCGGAAGTCGTCGGGTTTGAGTCGGAGTGTCAAAGTCACTCGCGCCACTCTGGGTGACCTTATAGTAAATTAGTAAACAAAGTGACATGCACTCACCTGCTTGACCTCCTGTTAACTAGGGTGCGGCGTTCAAGTTTCAGAATGAACGGTGAACGGTGGACCCTGGTTAATGTTGACAACCAACAACATTATTTGCCTCCACCTCGCTCCTCGTCACCACAATTATTGCCAACGGGGGTACGAGTTGCCCGACGGGCACATAGGAATCGCTACTGGGGCCACCTCCAGTAGCCGCAGGGATCGTCACGACGCTGATGAACTTGAACGAGCAATCGCAAGAAGACGTTGGGTGCACGAAAGCCATCTTTATGCAAAGGCATGTGCTTCTTCTTACATCTAAAGGTGTGTCTCATCTCGCCCAGCATGTCGCGTCTAACTCATTCACCCGGTATCGTCCTTGTCCCAGTTTGTGGCATCTCCAGATATGATATGTCGAGCCATCATGTTTCTCCGTCGTGTTGAACTGCACGTCTGGCGAACTTTGATATTGAGGTACGTGTATTGTAGTCGCTTGTGTGCTACTCTGCGCCTTACTCGCATCACTGACATATGTTCTAGCTCCTCACGACCATTTATCTCATGAAATCAATAGGCATACGAGCTGAATCTGCCGTCAAACTTCTCTCCGAGTTCCTAGACCTACTGGATACTCCTTATATCGAAGGGCAGACACACCCGAACGCCGAACATTTTGCACATGGTCAGAAGTTTCTTATCATCTATATGTAACTCTGTTCTGTATTTTTCATGGACTTGGTCTTAGAGATATACTGTTATATGCGGAGAGGCCGTGATCTATCGATTTATGACAACTTGGTGGAGGTGTGACACTTTCTCTGAACGAACTCGGGGATCCGCACTGAATTTGGGCAGTATGATACCTTCCCAGATCCTCCGCCCCACGAGCAGGAAAGAGAGAATCTGTGGTGTTATGATTCCCGTTCTCAATCTTGGTTGCCTCATCACCGTCATCACCGGTTCTGATCTCGATCCCCGTTATCTCGACCTCCTTCCCCAACCCTGCGTTATGAGCACAGAAGAACTCCTCCCGCAACTTACCTCCAAGAAAGCTCTCTAGACCATCTCTCCCAAGATCGCAGGAACCATCGACGAACTCACAGTGCAGTCGGCAAGTGACGAGATCTCAGATATGCCTGATATCTTGAATGGCCGACATAGTCACCTTGACAACACTCAGGAGCAGCTGACGAAGCTTACAAAAGCAAAAGCAAAAGAACCAGAAGGTCATAATACACCTCTTCGGGGCAAGAGTGAACATTCCTCGAGTAGCACACCACCACGCATTTCAGGAGAATTTGTGCCGAACGCTGTTATCGAATCCAAAGAAACAGTGGGATCATATACCCCCAGAAATCGGAAGTTCAATACGCCTGTCTTAGACCCTTCCTTGTTCCATAACCAACATCGACGAGACGGTCACGGTGCCTATCCCAGGTACTTGAAGTCATGCCACAAGCTAGCTGTCACTGGTACCACATTCGCGTTATTTTGTTATCCAAGTCGTCCTTCACGCGCACGCTCCAAGATAGGCACGATTTAGCAATGGATGCTTTCGTCTACATGCCTAATATCTATGAACTTGCCACGATCGATTTGAAAGGGTAGCAGAGGTTATCTATTGCAACGTTCAAACTGGCTTAACCGTGATCAGTTCTCGGGACGTGCACTAAGAGGGGTGGGCACATCAGTGCCGATGTCACCCTGCTTTGCACCCAGTACTTCTATCAACTCCTTCCGACCAAATATATGAGCTGCCTCTATTGCGGTGGGTTTGCCTATTCTCGGATCTGCGTCATCTTCGACCAGAACACGCACAACCTCATCGTGCGACTTGAACACAGCGCCCGCAATCATAGATTGACCAAGATCGTTAAGTCTGTTTGGATCTGCTTTCCGTTGCAGTTCCACGTGGCCTGCGTATGCTGCGAGCATCAATAATGTGTTTCCTACATGAATGTGTCGTACGTCATTCAGGGGGATGGGACATATGTCACCGATGACTCGGCCGCAGCTTTCTCATTTGCCATAAGGTTGACTGGCAAGCCCGCGTCAACTGCTTGAAGGAGCTCTGTATATCCCCCCGCGCAGCATCAAACATTCGGTGTGCAAATTCGACGGTCCCAGCTGGCAAAGTGTTGGTATTGGACTGTGTGGGAGCTGCGACATGATCGGGCACTTGCGGGGATGATTCAGTTGCCTAGCAGCTCGCCTCAGATTTTACAGATCTGATAGTAGGAAGAAGGTAAATGTGACTGACCATCGACAGATTAGGTTCAACCAGTGCGTCCATTGCTCTGAAGAGATGCTCGAGTCAAGCATGGCAGTATTACTTATAATAAGCTGTAGCGCCTAACACGGTGATCAGTACAGTAGTGACTGACGACGGCGCTGCTACTAATAGGCTGGTGATCACCGTGAGTGTGTAGCCTGAATTCAAAAAATAGCAGGCTCACTGCAGACAAGATTCGTTCAGATATCTTCAAAGAAGCAGACCACACACCTATCAACGGACACGATAAGCACCAGACTATTTAGCCATGCTCACGGCGCCCGGAGTTTCTACTGGATCTGAAGCTCATTTGCATGTGCCCAATGCAATGTAATATCTCTATCGAAACGGGAATGGTTGGAAATGCAAGAGTACGCATGATAGCCCTCCATCATCATTTCGTCGAGGTGCGGCTACTCAATAAGCCACTGCATTCCACGGATTACTTTTACATTCAATCCTTATCGCTCGAGCTGGACAGTGAATTACAGGAAATTTCCCTTGAGATTCAATTACACAACTACGTTCAATGGATGCCAAGGACTGACTAGATCTGTCAAAAAAACAGTTCTGGATCTCAGAGCTGATCTTTTTGCGCACGTTCAACTGTATACTGCGTTGTCACGCGTGAAAATTTGACGAGATACACACTGTTTATTCGTGTCAACGAACAAAGAAAAAGATAGTGCCAATATCGCGTACAATGGAGCAACGAGTGAGTGAGAAAAAAGTCGCTGCGCTCGCAGGGTCACTGCAGGTTCAAATGATAAAGCGATGAGTGAGAGAGAGGGATGAGAGAGCGGCAATTCAAGCGAGCGTTCTGTGATTACAAAGAGAATTGTCGATGCCTGCCGGCAAGTCATAATACAATGACCATGATCAATTGAATATGCTCCTGCTGGTTCTGCCAAAAATTCTGCTATCTGACAGCAATAATAATTCTGCCAAATTGATCAGAATCGTGCCCATGAGTATATGCAGGATATAAAAGCTGGCCACCATCCTACAGTATTTCTCCATCCTCAGAGATACCATTCGAGTTCCATATCACTTGCCACAAACAATGCGTTTCTCCTACCTCACCGTTGTTGTTGCATTGACAGCATCCATGTTTGTCAGTGCATGTTTTAACCAGACACAAGCCTGCATAACAGATGAAGATTGCTGCAATATCTTGGTTTGTGATGATGATGACGTGAGTCGCCGTGCAACCAGGATTCAACCACATAACTCACCTGCGCGCCTTAGAATGGAGGCTTGATCTGCCAGTCGGATTGAAGATTAAACCAGCAGCCTGAACGGCATATAGAGACGGTGAGTCGTATTTCTACTTTCATTTGGTATCATGGTTGATGGTGCAATGCCTAGCTCGAAGCCAATCAGTACAGTTGTTTTGGGGGGAAAATTCGTACTGCTCGAGCAATATAGATGTTTGAATTTATCTGAAATGATCAATCGTGCCTATTCTTGCTTGTGGTCCACTAAAGCTTGAGTTTGAAAGGCTGTCGAAACGAATGACCATTGTTGTTAATGATTAATGTCAGGAGGCCGCATGAAGATGTAATGCACTGCGCAACTTGAATCCCTTCGTCTATCATGGGCCTCGAAGGCTAGCATTTGAATAAAGACACATCTTTGAGGTGGTCTTCATAAACATCTCTTGAAAGATCGCGAGGGTTTTTCGACTGTACCCTAGATAATCGACGTGGCCTTACTCAAGTTAAATTCATAAAAAGACGGACTCACCTATAGATCATGTGAACTTGCTGTGAACTGCGGCACACCTGAGAAAATAGGTATATATGCTTATAATTAGTCCTTAGTGAGCCTTAGCGCTCGACTCATCACCAAATCCATCTTCCACCGCCTTTCTGAGAACATGAGCACCGACTCTGGCTCCTCCTCTACAGTTCCAAAGGGTGTCCATATGATTCATGCGATATATCCAATGATCAGCCTTATCATTCTCTCGCATAGAAACCAGCTCCAAAGAGCTCCAATCGCTTTGGGACAAATTGTAGTGTCCAGCCTCTGGTGAACTTGAACAACTCTGACGGTCTGTGCAAGATATGCAATACAGATCGACAAATTGCGGTACCACTTGAACCTGGATCACAGTAAGTCATCAAACTCAGAGCTACTAGTTTTGTCGATGCACTTTGGTAGGAGCCAGCCGCTGTTCATAATAGTTTGGCAGGAGATCGATAAACGATTTTTAATTTTTAATTGACTGACCTGGCAGTGACTACGCTACTCCCAGAATGTTCGTTATGTAATCATGTAACACGTGTCAAGTTGAACTTGGATCTTTGTGCATTTCTGTCAGGCATGATTCGGTTTGTGGCAATTATTCTGATAGGCTGAACTCGGGTTGACTTGATAACTAGCAGGAAACTTTGCTTGGTGATCGATACTACGAGCAAGATTATGACGGAAAGACGTCTAGAACCAACTTGAATAGTATGGGCGGCCTGGGCCATCATGTAAGTAAGAACTTGCTATTACGAACAGGGCACCCTGGGGTCCCTTATGGCAATCCATGTGGCACTGATGTCGGAATTTCTAATATTCTCCCACCAGACCTGAAATGACACGCGTCTGCCATGAGGGAGCACTTCGTGCACCTTAATTCATCGCCGAATTCATCTCTCACCACCTTTGCGAGAACATGAGTACTGGCTCAGGCGACCCCTCTGCAACACCAAAGGTTGTTCGTACAGTGGTACATGTGACACATCCAGACCGGGACACTTTTTTCCATGCTACAGCAGTTTCGAGCGAATTCCTCAAAGCGAATCAGAAGTATGTCGGCGTAAAATGTACGCAGTGCCAAACGAGATTGGACAAACCTCTGAAATGCGCAAAGGTGATACATTATTCGTACTGTTGCAGATGTTCATTGAATGCCACAAACCACCTTTAGTGTAAGAGTGTCTGGTATTGCTCGAAAGAGGTAATACCTGTGAACGAAAGAAAAAATATGAAGGGCTGACATCGAATGACTTCTTATGTAGTGCCAAAAGAAAAATTGGTGAGAGCGCTGCCCGATTAACATGACCCATGGGACCTCACTCTACATTGGACTCGGCGATAGGTCCAAGCACAAACCAACATGCCATGAAGATGAACGCTCCTCTGGGCTACTCAAACTTGTACAAATGATCATCATAAACCCAGTGATTTTGGGGTACCTCAAACTCGGTGTCACCTTTGTCTGTGGCCTGCTCGACGATCCCCGAATCGGATTCGATACGCCGTTTATGGCACGTGTTGAAATTGCTATTGAGCCAAGTGACATTCTTGACTTTGCTGGATTGTATTTCAACGACAGAACTACTGGCGAGAAGCTTCAAGGAATGGTACAACTCAATGCAATTACTGCGTGGAACCACAGTATGCAAACTCCACTTACGCCAAAGCGACTCAGCATGTGGCATGAAGCTCGAGCAAGGCTTAACGCAGAGGGTTTCGCCAAAGATCCTGTTGGACTCATAGAGTTTTTCGGACGTAGTCCTACATACGACATAGGGAACTCAATGACCGCTGAATTCCACATCCCCGCTATGATGCTTGCCGTCGCAAGGGGAGGTAAACCCTTCGAATACGTCTCTGCTATTACGGGCGCTCTAATCAAGCAACCCCTGAGCGCTGTAGCAAGTCTAGAGTAGGTTCTCTGTTCTGTTTCTCTAAGCAATGGATCCGCTTACAATCACTTTAAATAGGCGTGTCAACTTGCATATTCGGGCTGATAGGCAGAATCAGTTGGGTTTGCGGACTGAGATGACAGAACAAGACAAGGAAGCTATTCGTGCTGCAGGCCGCAATGAGGACGCACATCCCTCTCGTATTCTCAAAGAGAAGATGCGAAGAGAACGCCTTTATGCTGAATTTGTGTAAATGTGAGTGTACATTGGCAATTTCTCTTTCTGAATTTTGTACCAAATGATGGGAAATACTGATACAAGTCATCAGTAGGCATTCTCTCCTCCGCCTGCGACTAGTGATCTTTCAAGTTACCCTTGGACTATGCTTCACAACGGGGTGCGAGCCTGGAGCTTACCACGTGATAAAGGCGTTCTGCTCACGCGCCTCGAATTGGACGCCACGCCTTGTTTACGTATTATTTGGTCTCCTGCCAACGCTAGCGCTCATCGATCATCCCTGCGTCATCCATGTTGTTGCTTCTTCCTTCTAACCGTATTGTCAATCATACGCTCTTCCACGCTACCGACTGTTTGTTAGTGTTGCCGTTGAAGTGACAGCCTTTCACGGGGCCTTACTACTCAGGTTGAATTTTGTATCTTGTAACTCTCTGATCGAGGTCTTGTGTATGATGATGTTCTTCTTTATCACATAATTCGACGCGGCTTTACTCAGGTTAGAGTTCATAAGAAGACGGGAGTCGCCTGTGGATCATGTGAACTGAGGCACAGCCGACTGCTGAGAAAATAGGTACGCTCATAATCAATCCTTCGTGAGCTTTAGCGCTCAACTCGCCACCGCATCCACCTCCCACCGTCTTTCCGAGAACATGGAGACTGACTCTGGCACCTCCCCTGCAGCTTCAAAGGGTGTCCGCGTGGAACATACGATATATCCAGAGCGGGACAATCTTTTTCATTCTATGGCAGTTTCGAGCGAAGTCCTCAAAGAGAATAAGAAGTATTTCGGCGCACAATGTACGCAATGTGGGACAGAAATGAAGAAACTTTTGAAATGCGCAAAGGTGATGATCGATTATCTGGTTTATGCCACTGTTGCAGGCGTTCATCGAATGCCTTTAGTGTAAGAGCGTCTGGTATTGCTCGAAGGAGGTATGACTTGCAACTGGGACATAGAAATATGAAGAACTGACGTCGCGTGTCTTCTTGTGTAGTGTCAAAAGAAAAATTGGTGAAAATGCAGCCTATGATTGACACAGACTGGGATCTCACTCCACATTGAACTCGATGATAGGTCCACCCATAAGCCGACATGCCATGCAGATGAGCGCTCCTCTGGGCTCTACAAACTCGTCCGAATGTTCAGTGTAAATTCAGTGCTCATGGGGTATCTCAAGTGCGGGATCGTCTTCGAGTGCGGCCTACTTGACAATCCTCGGATCGGATTTGACACGCCGTTCTTGGCGCGCGTTGAAATCGCCATCGAGCCAAGTGATGTTGTTAAATTTGTTGGATTGTATGTGAACGACCCGAGTGTAGAGGAAAAGGTTGAAGGGATGTTACAAGCCAATGCTATCACTCCGTGGCCGAGCCCAAGCATGCAAGCTCCGCTTACACCAAAGCGACTCAACACATGGCGTGAAGCTCGAGCATGGTATAATGCAGAGGGTTTCGCCGAAGATCCTGTTGGACTCGCAGAGTTCATCGGTCATAGGTGTACTGCCGACTCAGCGAACTCAATGACCGTCGAGTTGCACATCCCGAAGACGACTCTTTTCGTCGCGATGACACGCGCCCCCTTCACGTCTGTCTCTGCTATTACGGGCATTCAGACCAAGAAACCCTTAAGTGCTGCGTCGTACCTAGAGTCTCTTATATTGCACTTCAGTACCTTATGATTACCGTGCACAGGTTCATCAACTCGCATATTCGGGCGGATAAACAAAATCAGTTGTTTTTACAGACTGAGATGACAGAGGAAGACAAGGAAGTTATCCGTGCTGCAGGTCGCAACGAGGACACGTTTTCCGTTCGTATTCTCAAAGAGAAGATGGAGAGAGAACAAATTTATGCTGGTTTCTGCAATCGATAAGATCAGCAGTTACCTAGGGCCTGTGAGTGTCCACATTTACGACGATTTCCCGAAAGTCTTTCTGAATTTGCACGAATAGAAGAAAAATACTAATACGAGTCATTACGCAAGTTAGCCTTGTACCATTAAATGCTTAGTACCGGTGCCTTACTGAGGTTGGATAAGCTTAAGCTTGAAATTGGCCGCGTAATTAATTCATATAATTGTCAGCGCAATCGTGGTCCTGGGGTATTAATTACGATGAGTGGATGAGTAGTAAGAATACCGTCTTTGGACTAGGTCAAAGAGACCTGCTATTGCGTAGTTGCAGAAGGACCACCACTAATGTGGAGCAGCTGCATGAGGATTGTTGTGTTGATCTAGCCTGTCGATCTTGGTGCTCTAAACCTTCTTAGCGAGCTCGACTGTGCTGGACTTTGTGCTGCGGCTGCGTGACAGGCAGAAAGGTACGAGATTTATTTTTATCCTTCCGAGTGGGAGGTTAGCGCAATATTGCTCAATACAAATTGAGCGATACCTGCGATTGGAGGCTAGTTTGCAAAACTTTGATACGACTACAAAGTTTCACATGACTAATCACATCTGTCGCGCCTAGCCACGATAACGGGGATTGCAATTGATCGTAGCCTGCAGGATGGACAATGGTGAGTCACTTGGAGAGTACTACCCACAGCTTCACGGAGGCGACATATCTCCGAACCTCGTGGGACTCATAGAACAAGACCGTGTAATCCTGATACATGCATGATTTCAAGTGAAGCTGATAATTCTGCGTCGTTTGTGATGCTGCGACAGCGGAATAACCGAGAGCGCGGTTATGGGAGGAAGGCCCCATGGGGGGACTCATCGACATTTTGTGGGGTACACAGTTGAGTCAAAGAGCGTTCATTTGACTGGTGCTATTAGTCATCCGTACGATAAGTTGAGGTACGCGAGCGAGGCGAGTTGGCTGTCCGTGATTATGAGAATTAAATCAGTGAAACACACAGTCCTTGTGAATAGGGCTGTGCGTACAGCAGCGTTAATCGATGGAAAGACGTAGAATTGCGACGAGTTCGGATTTAGTCAGCTTACGCAGTATAGTGCCGAATCGGCACCGGGTAATTCCGTGGTGTACTAGTAACACGCCTCCTCAACGAAGGGAGATAACACCACTCGACCACATCGACCAATATGTTGACCGATTCGATAACACCCTCATTCTCAACAGTAGACGACTTTTTCAACCTCGACGTACTTAACTCAGCTCCTTCAGCTTTTACAGCTTCATCTTCATCTTCATCACCACGAAGTCCTTTCACTTTCTCAACTACAAATGGCGCAGACGACGATTTCTTCGCCCAATTTTTAGACACTGATGAGTTAACAAAGGGTCCATCCCTATCATCACTCTCAGTCCCTTCATATGACTTTTTTGGTGCACCTGAAGCTACTGCCAGTACAAGTGGCTCGAGTCCTGAGAGCATCGACGCAAACACTCCCATGTTCGCAATAGATCCACAACTAGTCGGAACTCCTGCTACTTCAAACGACCATTCAGATCAAGACTCTAACTCTGACCAAGAATTAGAGCTAGAGCTAGAGCCAGAGCTCGCTCCACCCAAACGTTCTCGCCGCGGTGCTGTCACTTCTGGTGGCATAAAGAAGTCGTATCCTCCTTCTGAGAAGGACTTGAACTCGGGCGCGGGAAAATCAAAGTCCTCAAAGGATTCTGCCCCCCTCAAGATCCTTGAACCCGAAGACTGGCGCCCAAGTCCTGAAGAATACAAGAAGATGAGCAGCAGAGAGAAACGCCAGCTCCGAAACAAGATCAGCGCACGAAACTTCCGAGTAAGGCGAAAGGGTCAGTATTCCTTCTATATCCCTTCCCTTTCTTACTTACACCTCAAAACAGAATACATCACAACTCTTGAAGGTGACATCGCAGAACGGGACCGCTTAATCGACGCAATCCGCTCAGAACTCGGCAGCTCCCGCTCAGAAAACAGTGCTCTCCGTCAAGAAATATCGGCCCTCAAGCGCTGCCTCCTCGAATCTCGTCATGCTCCCGACCTCCCACCCCCAGCAGAACTCCAAACAGGCGCACCCCTCTCCCCACCCGGCACACCTGTGTCCGTCCCATCAACAACTCCGCTCATCACCCCCAACACCCAAAAGGACCTCCCTACGTCTCCACGTCTGGGTGCAAGGCCGTTTTGGGGTGGATTTGGTGGTATGGGCGTTACACCTGTACATACGACCCTCATCCCACCCGTCGGGGTCAAAGCCGTCCTTCAGGAGAACATTAATCCTGCATTACACCGCCCAAGTTCAATCGTCGAGAAGACGAACAGCCAACTCAATGGCCTTGGTATGGGCATGGGAATGGGCATAGGCGCATTCGATGCCTTTGCGGATACGAATCCATTCACACTTAAGACCCTCGATGCATATCGGATGCAATTATGGGGGAAGATGGCTGCGCAGCATGCCCATGCCAACGGGAACCCAAATGGGATGGGGTATACACCGCATGGATTGGCATCGGGCCTCAAACCTGCGTATTTCGCATCACCGAAATCGCAACCACAAGGACTCGCTGGGAAGAACGCATATCCTTCGCCGCCTCCGTCCCCTACATTCAAATCAGCGCCGGTACCTACGAGGGAACAAGCTGCGCTTGCTGCTATTGCGTCGCAGACCTTACTTGGGAAGCTTGGAAGCGCGTTTTGGGATGCATTTTCTGGGTCTGGGTCTGCTGCAGGTTCCGGTATAAGTGGAAGTGGAAGTGTGATGAGAAAGGAGTGGGATGCAGAAAAAGTACGCAAGGTCCTCGAAGGTCGGGCAGTCGTCCGAGTCGTTGATCTCGATGAGCCCGTTCCCAACAAACCCTCTTCCTTAATGGTACCTTTGAGTACGGTGGAAAGGAAGCCGTCATTACCTTTGGCGGAGAAGACACAGCCGAGTGGGACTGGGACTGGACCGAGTGCGTGTGCGTACAAGACGAACGTGTGCGATATTTTGGAGGAGAGTATGAGGAGCTTGACAATTTCGAAGAAGTAGAAGCAGGCAGGTCTGGCTTCTGTCCTCGCCCTCCTTTATGTCCCCTCCTGGCTCCATCGTCCGCCATGCTTTACTCCCTGCCAACACGGTTTGCTTCCCTTTCCTTTTGTGTCGACAGCATCACATTCAAATACTTTCCTCGTTCTTCATAATCTAATCCAACCCCCGCTCCGCCTCCGCTCATTCGTCCTGCGTCTTCTGTGGCTTGATCATCTGATGATCATTTTCCTGCCGCTGTTATCGAATTTTGCTTCAACGGCTATTTCCGAACGTTTCGAAATCATCCCGAATTGAATTGTGTCATCTTTAAATGATCCAACGAATTGTTCGCCTCCCTAGGTCTGTTTCAGTTTATATATTTGCCGTGTGGGGATGCTCGTTGGATCACGGTCGTTATCTTCCCTCCTACCCCTTTTCTCATATCCGTTTTGCGCTCTCCTTATTCTCCTATCGCACTCCCTTGTAACTCGCCTTGTTCCGATCGTACCGTGCATCCCACCACCACCGCGTCATACTTACCCCGTCCAAATAGTAGTCTTTCATATAGCTTGTTTGTTGTTCGTTTTTGTACGTATGAGATGTGAATGAAATTGGAATATTATTATAATTGAATCTCGCTACAATATGAGTTGCTTGGAGTCAAGTGTTACTGCTTGGAATATCGGGGGTAGCTATTGTGCGTTTTATCCTCATCCCGCCAGGCTGGCTTGTTGAGATCATGGCACCGTGACGATGCATTATGACCGTGCGTAGAAGATGACTGTCAATAAACGTAATGTGGAGGCAGATAATGTACGCTTTATTTTGATGGAGTCCTATGCCACTCATATAGGCTGCATATTACATAATAACTGTCGACACTGGCAGGCGGTCGTTGAACGTTCAGTGAATCGCAGAGGATGGGCTTTGTATATTCCCCAACCCTGGCCCGGGTGCTTCCGAGTCGGACATCGACGTCGGACGGCACCACATCAACCTAAGCTCGCTGTTGATGACAGCGAGCTCGATTGTTTACCGGATATTCAGCTTGTTTCTGAAGTCATGCCTGAAGAACAAAGCTGCATACATATGAGAACATGATGAACATACGTGGGACACGCATCTATTTCGGGGCGGGCAGTGGGCACATATTTATGATTTCAGGGCGGGGCGGGCAACCGTGACTGCAGTGCACACATTTAGTTTTGGGGGGCACACCGAGCCTGATTCTTTCACAGGGACCTAAATCTACAACCACTCGCAATGAGTGAAGATCATAGGCCAGATATTGATCCTCCTCCAGGAACTTCCAGATCCAATGAGGTAAATGTTGCTGAAAGCTCGGTACGTGCGTGGTCTCTTGAAATCAATCACCGTCCTTACCAATTATCCGTCCAGAACCAGTTCCTGCGGAAGTTGAAGAATGGATTAACCAAAAAACTTCCTGTGCGTAGGTGTGAATACTGTTTGTCCTGAATACGGCTAAGATTGTACAGAAACGCTTCAAGCGAACACGCAACCGCACCACTGCGGTCCACAGCGTTGAGATTGAAGGGGCTTCATCGAGTCAGCTAGTCGAGGTAAGTGCTCGAACTTGCTATCCCAGTCCTTCGGTTTTCTTAGAGGTACTCAGGACACGTTGCATCTCCATCCTTCCAACGACAACAAGCATCCCACCACATCTGAGATTCCCAGCCACTCCGTGAACCAGGGGCTGTCCGGAGAGTCTGCTTCACAGGTATTTTCATCAACTGGTTTGACTTGCTTCTCTAATTTCGGCGGTCCCACAGATTCAGGCTACTTCTGGCGCGCAAGGAGGACCTGATACCCAATTAGTTGACGCCGAACTTCAGGGTGCCTATGATGGTACACAAAACATGCAATCACTCGGGAAACATGCGACTTCTATGGCATCCGCCGTTTACAATGCCCCAGCGGACCTTACAGCCACGGATAATTTTGAAACAACGTATCTCCAACCCCTCAAGATTGTCGATGCTGTCCTCGAGAAGATCGCAAACGTATGGGTCATTCTTGTTAATTAATTAGGGAACTAATCAAGTTATATAGGTACATCCGTACGCAAAGATGGCGCTGGGAGTGCTATCTGCTGCATCCAAAGTATGTTTGGTTTCTCCCAGAGTCCAGTTTCCTACTCAGAAGTTCTAATTCCACGAAGATTATAATTGCTCAGGCACAGCGCGACCAATCGATTTTGAGTCTTCTCGAGAGATTGGCTGAGGTTTACCGCTTCATGACTCAAGACGACAGTCTTGAAAAAATTGAATCGATGCGCGGTATCGTCGGAAAGATCGTTCACCAGACTCTTGAGTGCGCCCGTTTCATCAGGGACTATTCGGAGACGAAGAGCTTTTGTGAGTCACCAAGCTATCGCACTTTGCACATGAATCTTATACTATGTCATAGGGAAGAGACTCGGGAAAAACATTATCTCGGAAACTGATAACATGATAAAACAGTACAGCGACACTTTGGACAGCCTCATGCAACAATTCCGGGACCAAGTCGATCGAGACGTGGCCGTCTTCGTCCAACGTACGAGTAAGGATTCTGGTAACGCTTCTGTCTTTACATTGACTCACCCCGTTTTAGGCGAAACCCTGGACCTTAGTGATATCGCTTATGCGAAAGGCGCAGGAGTAGATACCACGAAACAGTGCCTCACGGGGACGCGCACTGAGATTCTTTCCCAGATCACAGACTGGATCAATGGCAGCGGAGATGCTGCTAAACGGGTGCTGTGGCTATCTGGCCCTGTGGGCAAGGGCAAATCAGCAATCGCCCACACAATTGCCAACTGGTTCAAGGAATCGGGAGGCCTTGGTTCATGCTTTTGTTTCGATCGGCACAGAGAAGCAGATCGTCGCCATGAAAAGATTTTCTCCACCATCGCGCGGGATCTCGCTGACCGTGATTCGGGGATGAAGCGAGCGTTAGCGGATGCGGTCAAGGATGCAAACTCGCTCAAGAACACGACAGACATCATCCAGCAGTGGCGCGACCTTCTCATGAAACCGCTAAAGAATTTCTCTGCGTCAACCGTAGGGCTCGTCTTGATCGTGATCGAAGCACTAGATGAGAGCGGTGGAGAGGAGACGCGGCGCAACCTGCTCCGGATACTCGCCGGTAGACTTCAGGACAAAGGACTTCCCCAAATCACAGAACTTCCATCGAACTTTCGGATTCTCGTTACCTCTCGCCCACTTCATGACATCGAAGATGCATTTCACGGCGCTCAGCATATTCTACGGTTGTCCATGGACGATATTCCAGCAGCAGTGGCAAAGCGTGACATCCACACGTTCATATCTGAGGAGCTGAAGGGGCTACCAGATTTTCGCGAGAAAGAGTTCACAAATCTAGCTGCGAAAGCCGATGGACTTTTCGAGTGGGCGCGTCTTGCTTGCGAATACATCAAACATACCCCTCCGGGCGTACACCAAATGCCTCGCTTCAATGCTCTCGTGAACCGCAGGGCCGGAAAGCAGAAGAGCCTGTTGTACGATGTATCTGGTCATTTTGAAAGAAATCATGAAAAGGGATGAATATGACGACGACGAGTACGAAGAAGCACTGGCAGGGTTTCGTTCCGTGATGGGACAGATACTCGGCACAGCCGAACCACTCCCTCTCAATTCCCTGAATATCATGCGGAACTACTTTCCATACGAAAACAAGCACGAGAACATGGAAATTATTAAACGCATGGGATCCCTCCTAAGCGGCACCACCAACTCATGCACACCCATCCGACCCCTTCACGCATCTTTCCACGACTTCCTTACAGACAAGACATCCAGCGGTGACTTTTTCGTCGAGGTGTCGAACGTACAACGCGACCTTGCATTCGCATCGCTACGAGTGATGGAACATGGCCTTCGCTTCAATATTTGTGATTTGAGGTCATCGTACCTCCCTAATTCCCAAGACGCAGGGCTGCCTCAACGAGTCAAAACATCCATCCCCCCACATCTCTCCTATTCCTGTCGATACTGGGCCGAGCATGTTCGAACAACTGACTTTGACGATAAACTCGCAAAGGAAATGCGATCATTCTTCGACGACGAGCGACTGATGTTCTGGGTTGAAGCACTCGGACTTCTCAACGCATTTAGCAGTGCAGTTACTGTGCTTCCATTCGTTGCCAAGTGGCTGAAAGTGAGCACACGCCTACGAGGTAGTGTCGGACCAATAACTCATAAATCAATACAGGGCTGTTCTGGATACAAAGATCTGCAGTCCAACACGATGGATGTACAAAGATTCATTCAAGTGTTTGGCGGTATGATTTTGTACAGCACGATGCATCTGTATTTATCAGCGCTCCCATTCTCACCCATCAACTCCACCATAGCTACCAAATATACGGCAAGGTTTCCGAATAACCTTCATCTGGCATCTGGCCGTGATTTGAACTGGGCGGTTGTCCAGATTGTGATTAATGGGCACACTGCCCCGGTTTCGTCAGTCTTGTTCTCACCGGATGGTACTCGCATCGCATCTGGTTCATGGGATAAGACTGCGGGTGTGGGATGCAGCGACAGGACAGCCATTGGGTGGGGCCTTGGAGGGGCACACTGGAGTAGTTTGGTCAGTCTCGTTCTCACCGGATGGTACTCGCATCGTGTCTGGTTCATCGGATAACACTGTGCGGGTGTGGGATGCAGCGACAGGACAGCCATTGGGTGAGGCCTTGGAGGGGCACACTGGAGTAGTTTGGTCAGTCTCATTTTCACCGGATGGTACTCGCATCGCGTCTGGTTCATTGGATAAGACTGTGCGGGTGTGGGATGCAGCAACAGGACAGCCATTGGGTGAGGCCTTGGAGGGGCACACTGCCCCGGTTTCGTCAGTCTCGTTCTCACCGGATGGTACTCGCATCGTGTCTGGTTCATGGGATAAGACTGTGCGGGTGTGGGATGCAGGGACGGGACAGCCATTGGGTGAGCCCTTGGAGGGGCACACTGGAGCAGTTTGGTCAGTCTCGTTCTCACCGGATGGTACTCGCATCGCGTCTGGTTCATGGGATAACACTGTGCGGGTGTGGGATGCAGTGACTAGACAATCATTGGGTGAACCCTTGGAGGGGCACACTGGAGAGGTTTTGTCAGTCTCGTTCTCACCGGATGGTACTTGCATCGCGTCTGGTTCGCGGGATAACACCGTGCGGGTGTGGGATGCAGGAAACGTGCAACCATTCCCCCAGTCCGGAGACTCAGATTCCTCTGCATTTTCGCTGCATCGAAGTACCTCATCTCTCCCCCACGAAAGCCGCATCATACCCACCAACACTTGTCACGCTCGCCTCATTTCCTTTTCTTCTAGCCTGGAACATGCTCTGCCCAACCCTGCCGACCTGCTCGAACCCACCTCACATCATGATTCTAATTCAACCCCTTTCTTGCTGCAGCCTGATGGGTGGGTGATGGGACCCAATTATCAACTCCTCTTCTGGGTGCCTCCAGCTTCCCGATATCCATTTTATTCTCCTGGCACTGCAATGGTGATCCCGAGAGGAGGCGTCGAGCTTGATTTGAGCCGCATGGCACATGGGACGCGCTGGTCGAGTTGCCAAGATGCGTGAGTCCTTGGCCTTTGCCATTCGTACTTGTAGTTGCTAACATCAATTCTGTTAGCTCCACGTAACGATGATTTTAAGGTTGCAATATTCAGTGTACTGTGTACCACTTAATTCTTTGATTACTTGTCAGTGTTATACCTAGCATCGAGCTTGAATTTACAGTTGTCCGGCTGTCAGAAGCCATCAATATTTCAGTTTTCAACTACACTAGATATCCAGGACCAATCGGGTCCCGAAGCTCATGATATCCTTCGCATCCCGTATGATGAATGCAAGGGCGCCGAATGCATTGGAGATAATAAAGCATTTGTAACGCCTCTGCTTGTCAGAGTACCTGATCTCCCCGAGATGGAATTTTCTGATAGAAATGATTCACTGACCATGAAAGAGCAAATGCGATCATACCCGTGAATAACCATTGAGGAATGCAAAACAACAGCGTTACGGTCGTGTTATATTCCAGTGTCACACACAGCGTTGGGAAGTAACTTAAGTGAAGAAAGACTACTCTACTGCCTAGAACATGGCCGCGACCGAAAACTACCACATCTTCCAGTCAGAAACAGCATCTCGTAGTCTTATCACGGTCGTCTGCTTCCCAAGCTCGTCAGCCTTACCATAGCCATCTTTAACAAGGAGAGAGAGAACGAATGCTCTTTCCTCTGGGGTGAACCACCTGATGTTGTGCGGGAAATCAGAAAATATGAACATCGCGCAAACCGCGACCAAGATTGTGATACTGCCTTCAATGTAAAATCACCATCTACAAATCATTCAGTTTGCATTCAGTTATGGAAATGATCGTCACCTGCCTCCATGCAGCTTGACCAAATTTGTCCTGCATGCCGCGGAGTATAGCAGATGCAAACAAGGATTCGAATGCAGAGCTGAAGATACTTCCACAAGAAGCGAGAGCTAGTCTCGAGGCGACCTCGTCTCGCTTGTACCGTTTAGATACAAGAAATAAGAAATACAATTCCGGGGAAGAAGGGAGCTTCGGCAAAGCCAAGAAAGAAGCAGGCAACAATAATTCCGGTATAACTTATCAGAGACCGGATCTGAACGATGCAAGACAAGGAAGTGTACTTCCCTATGATCCTTGAGCATGATTGGCAGCCATCTTCATGAACGGTCAGTGTCGACAAACCTGACAATACTGATATTGTAAACATACAGCACGGAATGATGACACAAGGCCTCTTCAGCCAGTGCAGGAACATGTTCCTGAAGAAAAGTTACGTTCAGCTGTCTCGATGAAGGATCAAACTTACCCTAACACTTGCATAATGATGTATCCGACAAACAGGACAGACAAAATTGTGGCGTATTCCTCCCCATGCAGGTGTAAGTCTTTCTCAAAACCTTGTAACCGAGCGTTGTTGTAGACGCCATAAGATTCATACGAGTACAACGGTATGTGACACACCTAATGTGGGCATCGTTAAGGGTGGGAAAACGTAACATGTAGGCCTGTGGTAATACTCGTGCGTAAAGTCAACTAATGAGAGTCTGGTTACTTTAGCAGTTGGGTGTTGCCAAATGAGAATTTTAATAGACTGTGGATTCAGATCTCGCCACTGCAAATTCTGCTATTGACATCGTGACCATCGTCGGTCCCACTTCACGGCTGTCAGCTTTCCAAAGATCAAGTTGCATGCGTGTTGCAAGCAACCCCTGGAAGAGAATCTGTGCGCTGTGTAGTCGTCAGTGCAAGCTCGATCCAATGATTATCATCCTCACATTTCCATGATACCAGTAGGCCATGTCGCAATCGGAATAAGCGAGATCCCAACAATATTAAAAATGTTCAGAGCTTTTTCGAATGTTATTCGTTTCATTAGGAATGGAGTATGCCACGTACCCACGCTGGCTCCGAAATACACGATATTGTTCCGCACTAACGATTTGAGCAGCTGTCCTGAAGCGGCGCGGTATTGGCTTAGAACCCGATACATGCTCATCCCAAACAATCCTTTAATTTCATGACAGCAGGATAAGCTGTTAGTTCAACGTGGTGCTCGAGGAAATGCTACGGACCTATTTCCAGACTAATCAACGCCACAAAGCTAGTAAGGAGCCATGATGCGCCTGGGTTAGCTGGTCCATAACATGCATCTGTATAATAGTGAGCGAGCAAATGATAAAATGAGGGTTTTGACCTGCCGGCAGGGAGAGCACCAGTGTAGATTTGGAGGGAGCTGATACCTATGACACACGTAGTCTGGCCGCGCCGTCAACAGTGGTAAGGCTGAATAGCTCGAGATTTTACCAGATACGCAGCTAAGAGACAGAAAAGGACTCGTTTACTGCAGCCCCACAGAGCATAGGTTCGCAAAATAAAAATAACTAGACTTCTGTTTAGTGGCCCATTGACAAACCAGCATGAAGCAGCGTACATTCGACACAAGCCATCTGCAGAAAAGAGATCCCTATGCTGCATGTGAGAGATGGCTTCCACCAGTCACAGATTTGACGTACAGATGCTTGAGCGACATAACACCAAGCACAACTAAACAACGATTAGCGAAGGAGAAAATTGGGTTGCGATTCAATACATTGGCGTCGATATAATCTTCCCCGACGACTTCATCTAGAGTGAGGTATGATAAGCTGTCTTTCCTTTTGTTACACACGAAGATCTCAAGGTCTTACACATTCGCAGAGCCCCGATAATGAAAGGAAGGTAGCGACACAAGATAAAGATAGTCTTGACGGAGGTGAACCTTGACCTCACGATATAGTCGATCTGTCAGATTGAGATTTGAGAGGCTCGGGGGAAAGTGTTTCTCCTACCTCCTCATCCAGATGGGTGACAACATCATAGAGCTAAACAGTCATTCTTTGGAATCACAAACATACGACAGAAAAAGTCAACCGACCACGATCGTGAGTGACAACACTAAACAATATGTTAGTTCAAATAGTCGCAAGGCGCAACTAAGCTACAAACTCACATAGGATGTACTAATTCCAGTCTAAATTGAGTAAGAGATCTGTACAGGGAGGAGGTAACTTACGCCAGCAGTATTATTGATCATATGAAGACTTCTGGCCGTGCGTAGAAGATGACCGTCAATAAACGTAGTGTGGGGGCAGATAATGTACGCTTTATTTTGATGGAATCCTATATAGGCTGCCTAACAACTGTCGACAGGCGGCCGATGGACGGCCGAATAATAGTTTAGAACGTTCAGTGAATCGCAGATGATGGGCTGTGTATATTCCCCAACCCTGAACTTGTGCATCGCGTGCCGCCATGTCATGAAAAATGTCTGTCAATACATTGACAGACATAGAGAATGCTTAGAGTAGATGTGTGTGCCCATCAGGGCTTTGCGTGTCAAATGCTGCACGATGAGTGGATTTACTTGTGATCCGACGACAGATGCTGTGAGTGGTTCATTGTTGTAAATGAAATCATCCCTTTGGCGGACTTCCCTTTAGTAGCATACCTTTCCCTTGATAAATTTGAAACCTTATTTGTGCAAATGAGGTCGTGAGTTGTAGACCAGAGAATTCAGAAAGGAGCGCAGGACTGACCTTGAACACCGTGGTCCGTGGATTGTGACGAGACGCACCTTAACGATTGTTCAGGGTAATCATGACTCGAGATGACAGTCGAGGTCCAGCTTGACTCAGCAGGCTAATGAGCATCATTATATTTTTCGTAATAGAAAGACGAGATGACTGATCTGGTGGCAGGAGGTTGAACTGGCTGGCCCTGCTTCGGACATCGGCGCCGGACCTGACTCTTACATAATCTGAACTCTTCACTGCTCCCAGTTCGACACCTTGATACACTTAACTTCTGCAGAACTCAAAAAACATGGTGAGATTATCCCAACGTGCATGTTACCTTACACTGAAATGCATTCAGGGAGGTGGTGCTAGATATCCGTACCCAAAGCATGTGTGGTCCCCCGCTGGTATGTCCAAGCGGCTAGTTCCGAGCTACTCAACCTGACGATGCCTCAGGTGGTTGGTGGGCCCGTCCTGCGAATTGGCGGAGTAACACTGTCATAACGTTTGCTGGTATGTTTGCCATTGCATACGGAGTCTGGACTGTCAGCGCAGACCGTGAGGTGCGGAACTTGATCTCTCGTTTCTTGCAGTCGTGCTTATTCCGTGTTGCTTGAGCAGATTAGACACGTTCAACCCGACCGACCGATCCCGTCCATGATGGTAAGTTCTTCCACCTCGTGCGCTCCTGGTTTTTCTCACCATTTTGTAGTGGGCAAAACAGTACAAGGACCAGTCACGGGAGAACTGAGACAGGTAGCTGGGTGTATGCTTAAATAACACGGAATCGTCTTGTCCCAGTCAGTTATATCCTTCATCATATATCAATATTTTGCCACCTCTGCACGAGTCTCAATTTTGGGACTGTTGACTGAATTGGTTAGGGAGAGCATGAGATATTTCAGAGTAATGCTGAAAGGGTAGGTTCCCCGTATCCCAGATCCAGAACTTGTTCAGAATGCCATTGTACATATCGACACATGCCATAATCGTTATGATGTTACTAGTACGAGTGGAAGATATGCCAGATTATATATAACGTCCCTATGTACCTATAACGAATAACCCAATCAACCGACGTGAGCAATACTTCATAATTCAGCTTCGTCGGGCCCAAAAGGATCCCAGTCACTTGGTTTTTCTTCCGCTGCAGGATCGTCGTCATCGTCGTCGTCCTCAAACTCATCGGCCTCTTCTTCCTTCTTGTCGTCCGCGCCGTCCCAGTCACTCGGAGTTTTCTTCACCTTCTTCGCCAACTCGAGCATTCGTTTGTTTGCGTAATCAACACGACGCTTCCTTGACGGCGAGGCGGGGAATGGAGTAATAGCTGAAGAGGCAGAGGATGAATAGGTAAGGGAGAACATCGATGAAGACAGTGATGAGGGAGACGAAAAACCGATGGAGGAGCACATGGGAAGAGTCAACGATGACTGCGAAAATTTGTGAGTATATTTGCATGTCAAGGCACAGAAAGGAACATACGATATCAGGGTCAACTTCCCCTTCTGCATCAACATCCAGAACCCCTTCCCCTACACCACGTTCTATACGATCCTGCTCTTCCTCAGCCTTCAAGAATCTTTCAAACGCCAATATCCCATTCCACCGGGTTACTTCGATACCAGTAAGGATAATGGAAGACGTTGCCGAAGGTGGTGCAAATAGGTCTATGGAACCCCATGCCATGAAGAGGAAAGGCTTATTGCCAACGCCCTTGCGACCTGGTATCTTCTTCGTGTTTAATGTTATGTGAATTTGGGTCGTAGAGTCGTGATGCTATTCGTGAACATAAGATCTGTCCAAGAGCATAACAAGACGAAAGACGTACATATATAATACCTTTCTCAATGTCCCCGCCCGGAGCCCAGAGCTGCGAAAGCTGGAAGTCCTCTTCCGCTTCCCACCGCCAAATGTCATCTTCGCCATCTTCAGCGTCAAGCAAGCTGCCCTCTGAGCCATTGCCAGGATAATGGTACGGGTCTCTCGAGGTAGATGCTTTGACTGTGGTCATTCCGCTTTTTATCTCCCCAGAACGCGAAATCTCTATGTCTTTTTGCACCTCAAACAAGTGTCCTGGCTCCAAATCGAAGCCCAGAGCTGGTTGTTTACCCTTGGACGAAGAGGGCACTGGGCGCCTTGCATGTAGTGGGATGCTGGCGTGCCGTGCGGCACGTCGAAAACGGTATGATCCGCCCATCTCGCTTTCCTTCGCTGGCTGGAAGACAAACTTGATAAGCTTCCGCAGGTGACCGAGTGTGTAGGTCAGAGGGACTTGAACAACTCTGTAGACCCCATCTTTATTTGTGTGGCTTCTGCCGTCACCATCCGGGCGGATAAGCTGGAAGCGAAGCGGCAAGTGTTTCGCATACGAAGAAGGGCGGGGAAGTGTGGTGCTCGTTGTTAGCCGCCGGGCACGACCAAATGGGTTGGTTGGAGAGTCAGAGGGCACTTTCCAGTTTATGAGACTACAAGGGGTTCTGGGTGTTGTATACAATGAAGAAGCTGATGTAAACGGCGACGACGGCGGTAACGACTGCGATAGTTGTCGACGTTTTGGACCACGGGGTGATGCTGAAGGGCTTTCATACACGTCTAACGGTCGTTTAGAGACCATCATTCTCCGCGGAATCAGAGTGATTGGGCAAGTTTGAGGGGCTGGAAGAAGTCGTCGCTTTGATCAATCAAGACCGGAACAATATTTGTCCACGCTTGTCAAACGCGTCGCGTAATTTTCATCAACAGCAACACGATCACGTGATCGACGCGTTTCTAAAAGATCTTTCTCCAACTTACTATTTCACGTTAGTCCCAATGCTCCTCTTCCAATTCACCCGATGCACTGTGAATGCATTCGCAGAAAACAGGACCGCCTCTGAGGAGATACTAGGGTATCACCGAGCCTCTGTCCAACGAGATTCAACTAGCAAAACACGAAAACCTTAACTTTCAAATTCGGTAGCGGCGGGCGCGGCGGCGTACTAGTACCAGCCAAGAAATCTGCTTTAACGATACTTGGTCCAGCTGTGTTCTATATCAATATTATTGGCCTCGCTGTCAACAATGATCCAGTAGTCACTGCACCTACGAATGGCAGAAACTTTGAAGCTTGCAGGCTACCGTGTACTGTCAGGATATCTATCTTTATTTTTATACTTCTATGAGTTACATATTCCGATGTGTATATCCGCTGGCCCTGGCCCGGGGCTTCTGCCGGATGATGGCTATGTTCTCGCTGGGAAGTTCTGTCATTCACGTCGTATCATCCACTCTGATCAACTATTTGGCCAAACCAATCAGTAGAGTCGCTGATCCGGTGCATCGCTAGGTAAACTGGAGATTGATCCTGGTGGAGCAGCCTGATTTTCTCTTGTGATCATCCGTGGTACCGTCAATATTGACGACGAAGTACGCGACTTACTTGTGTTGCATCGTTGAGATCCAGTCTCTGATAGCTTGACCCAAGTGATACTGGGATTGTCGTCGGCTTCGTTCTTGGCTTTGCCGAAACTCCCTTCTTCCCCAGAATTGTGTTTCTTGTATCTAAACGGTACAAGCCAGACGAGGTCGCCTCGAGACTAACTCTCGTTTCTTGTGGAAGTTTTCTCAGCTTTGCATTCGGATCCCTGTTTGCATCTGCTATACTCCGCGACATGCAGGACAAATTTGGTCAAGCTGCATGGAGGCAGGTGACGATCGTTTCTATAACTGAATGGTTTGTAGATGGTTGTTTTACATTGAAGGCTGTATCACCATCTCGGTCGCGGTTTGCGCGATGTTCATACTTCCTGGTTTCCGGCAAAACACCAGGTGGTTCACCCCAGAGGAAAGAGCAATTATTATCTCTCGCCTTGCAGAAGACGGCTATGGTAAGACTGACAGTTTGGGAAGCAGACGACCATGAAAGGACTACGAGATGCCGTGTCTGACCGGAAGATGTGGTGGTTTTCGGTCGCGGCAATTTTCCAGGCAGTAGAGTAGTCTTTGTTCACTTACTTCCCAACACCGTGCGTGACACTGTTGCTTCGATCTTTACGATGGACAAGGTTCCCCGCTATATGTCACTGTGAGTGGTATCGCCGGTCGTGGGTCGTCACGCTTGTGCTCATAGACGTACAGGTTCCTGATGGCTCAAGTTATCGCTGGATACTTGGTGCTCTTAGGTTGGATCAGCAACACTTTCTTCAGGGAACCTACGAAGCGCCCCATGGCCTCTAATGAGCGCACTGGGCCAGACAGGCAATGTTGTTGGATCGTCAGCGACTTTGTCAACGATCTCTTGCTCTCGCTGACTATTCACGAGTGCGCTTTTCGCATAGGTATGTATGGTCGTCAAACTGAAGCACGACATACCATTGTTCCTATGCCATCTGCATCCCTGCACTTGGAGTGTTGTAATAGTATGTATTTGTATTTGAGGTATTTAGATAAGCGCATTGTGAGGAACAAACGGGATGCGGAGGATATCAATAAGAAATTTGGGACTTCATTGATTCTAGATATGTGGTGTAGTTGAAAAGTGAAATATCGATGGCGTCTGACAGCCAGACAACTGTACTAAATTCAAGCTCGACGCCAAATATAACACTGACAAGGAATCAAAGAATTAAGGGGTACACTGAATATTGCAACCATAAAATCATCGTTATGCGGAGCTAATAGGATTGACGTTAGCAACTACGAGTATGAATGGCAAATGCTAGAAACTCACGCATCTCTGCAACTCGACCAGCGCATCCCATGTGCCATACGGCTCAAATCAAGCTCAACGCCTCCTCTCGGGACTACCATGACAGTGCCAGGGAAATAAAATGGACATCGGGAAGCCGGAGGTACCCAGAAGAGGAGTTGATAATTGGGTCCCATCACCCATCCATCAGGCTGCAGCAAGAAAGGGGTTGAATTAAAATCATGATGTGAAGTGGGTTCAAGCAAGCCAGCGGGGTTGAGCAGAGTATGTTTCAGGTTGGAAGAAAAGGAAATGAGGCGAGTGTTACAAGTGCTGGTTGGTATAATGCTGCATTCTTGGGTGGGAGATGAGGTGCTTCGATGCAGCGGAAATGGGGAGGGATCTGAGTTTCTGGACTGGAGGGATGGGGATGGTTGCACGTTTACTGCATCCCACACCCACACAGTATTATCCGATGAACCAGACGTGATGCGAGTGCCATCCGGTGAGAATGAGACTGAGTTGACTGCTCCAGTGTGCCCCTCCAAAGGCTCACTGTTACGCTGACCGTCGGTCGGTGTGTGCGAACTTGGATAGGTCTTCTCAGCGACGGCTCGAGTGAGCCTACTGAAGCTGAGGGTGGTTCTCGACTTGACGGAACGTCAAGGGTTCCTCCGGTGATCTCGGTAAGACGGTGCTCGTCGAGATACAGGGCTAGCGGATACGGCTAAGAAGCGGGGAGCGACTTAGAAGTGCAGTCTAGACAACTAAGCTGGAAGACTTAGTTGAACAGGTTTCTGGGTTAGACCAAGTAGATTAAAGTAAAGTCTAAGTACAATAATCTGTCTACTTATATGTGCTACATGTAAGTGTTCAAGCTCAGTCTGTAATCAATAGTATATCTAGGATCTATGATAACAAGACATGAGGGTCAGATAAGGTACATGAGGCTTAACCTTTGATCAAGCATGCAGCGCCAAGTGCAACTGCGCATCTACATGAGGCGCCTAGAGGCGCTCCGGATCTTCATGAAGTGACATGCGGTATGCATGCGCTGATCTAGGGTGACCATGAGGTGTACAGCCTCCATGGATCAGGTACAAGGCCGTCTAGGCCAGGGGTGGTGTCACAGCAGTCCAGACCGCTGTCTTTCTAAGTGCAGGCAGCGTGCCGCCGCATCGGGAGTCTAGCAGAGCGGGGGCTGGTGCTGGTAGAGCGGGGGCTCCTGTAGGTGTTACAGATGCCTGTAACACTCACCCAATGGCTGTCCCATCGCTGCATCCCACACCTGCATGGTGTTATCATCTGAACCAGACGCGATGCGAGTACCATCTGGTGAGAATGAGACTGACCAAACCCATCCAGTGTGCCCCTCCAACGCCTCACCCAATGGCTGTCTTGTCGCTGCATCCCACACCTGCAGAGTCTTATCCGATGAACCAGACACGATGCGAGTACCATCCGGTGAGAACGAGACTGACAAAACTGCTCCAGTGTGCCCCTCCAAGGGCTCACCCAATGACTGTCCCGTCGCTGCATCCCACACCTGCACAGTGTTATCCAATGAACCAGACACGATGCGAGTACCATCCGGTGAGAATAAGACTGAGTAAACCGCTCCAGTGTGCCCCTCCAAGGGCTCACCTAATGGTTGTCCGGTTGCTGCATCCCACACCCGCACAGTGTTATCGTCCAAACCAGACGCGATGCGAGTACCATCCGGTGAGAACGAGACTGAGGAGACCCCTCTAGTGTGTCCCTCCAAGGGCTCACCCAATGGCTGACCTGTCGCTGCATCCCACACACGCACAGTCATATCCAATGAACCAGACACGATGCGAGTACCATCCGGTGAGAATGAGACTGAAAAAACTGCTGCAGTGTGCCCCTCCAAGGGCTGACCTACTGGCTGTCCCATTGCTGCATCCCACACCCGCACAGTCTTATCTGATGAACCAGACACAATGCGAGTACTATCTGGAGAGAACGAGACTGACAAAACCGGGGCAGTGTACCCCTCCAAGGCCTCGCACAATGGTTGTCCTGTCGCTGCATCCCACACCTGCACAGTGTTATCCTCTGAACCAGACGCGATGCGAGTACCATCTGGTGAGAACAAGACAAACCAAACTCCTCCAGTGTGCCCCTCCAAGGGCTCACCCAATGGCTGTCCTGTCGCTGCATCCCACACCCGCACAGTTGTATCCCATGAACCAGACGCGATGCGAGTACCATCCGGTGAGAATGAAACTGACAAAACCTCTCCAGTGTGCCCCCTCAATTTAACCAATGGCTGTCTAGTCACTGCACCCCACACCCACACAGTGCTATCCTCCGAACCAGATGCGATGCGAGTACTATCGGGTGAGAACGAGACTGACAAAACTGCTCCAGTGTGCCCCTCCAACGCCTCACCCAATGGCTGTCTTGTCGCTGCATCCCACACCTGCACAGTTGTATCCCATGAACCAGACGCGATGCGAGTACCATCCGGTGAGAATGAAACTGACAAAACCTCTCCAGTGTGCCCCCTCAATTTAACCAATGGCTGTCTAGTCACTGCACCCCACACCCACACAGTGCTATCCTCCGAACCAGATGCGATGCGAGTACTATCGGGTGAGAACGAGACTGACCAAACCCATCCAGTGTGCCCCTCCAAGGGCTCGCCCAATGGCTGTCCCGTCGCTGCATCCCACACCCGCACAGTCTTATCGTCCGAACCAGACGCGATGCGAGTACCATCCGGTGAGAACGAGACTGACCGAACCAGGGCAGGGTGTCCATTGATTACAATCTGGACAACCGCCCAGTTCAAATCACGGCCAGATGCCAGATGAAGGTTATTCAGAAACCTTGGCGTAAATTTGGTAGCCATGATGGACTTGATGGGCGAGAATGGGAGCGCTGATAAATACAGATGCGGCGTGCTGTACAAAATCATACCGCCAAACACTTGAATGAATCTTTGTACATCCATCGCGTTGGACTGCAATTCTTCATATCCAGAACGACCCTGTATTTATTTATCAGTTGTTCGTCCGACACTCCCTCGTAGATCTTTGCTCACTTTCAGCCACTTGGCAATGAATGGAAGCACAGTAACTGCACTGCTAAATGCGTTGAGAAGTCCGAGTGCTTCAACCCAGAACATCAGTCGCTCGTTGTCGAAGAGTGATCTTATTTCCTTTGCGAGCTGATCGTCAAAATCCGTTGTTCGAACATGCTCGGCCCAGTATCGACAAGAGTAGGAGAGATGTGGGGGGATGGATGTTTTGACTTGTTGAGGCAGCCCTGCGTCTTGGGAATTAGGGAGGTACGACGACTTCAAATCACAGATATTGAAGCGAAGCCCATGTTCCATCACTCGTAGTGATGTGAATGCAAGGTCGCATTGTATGTTGGACACCTCGACAAAAAAGTCTCCGCTGGATGTCTTGTCTGTCAGGAAGTCATGGAAAGATGCGTGAAGCGGTCGGATGGGAATGCATGAGTGGGTGGTCCCGCTGAGGAGGGATCCCATGTGTTTAATAATGTCCATGTTGTCATGCTTGTTTTCGTCTGGAAAGTAGCTCCGCATGATATTGAGGGAATTAAAAGGAAGTGGTTCGGCTGTGCCGAGTATCTGTCCCATCACGGAACGAAACCCTGTCAGTGCTTCTTCGTACTCGTCGTCGTCATATTCATCCCTTGTCATGATTTCTTTCAAAATCACTAGATACATATCGTACAACAGGTTCTTCTGCTTTCCGGCCCTGCAGTTCACGAGAGCATTGAACCGAAGCATTTGGTGTACACCTGGAGGTGTGTGTTTGATGTATTCGCAAGCAAGACGCGCCCACTCAAAAAGTCCATCGGCTTTCGCAGCCAGATTTGTGAACTCTTTGTCGCGAAAATCCGGTAGCTCCTTTAGCTCCTCAGATATGAACGTGTGGATGTCGCGCTCTGCCGTTGCTGCTAGAATCTCGTCCATGGACAACCGTAGAATATGCTCAGCGCCCTGAAATGCATCTTCGATGTCATGAAGTGGGCGAGAGGTGACGAGAATCCGAAAGTTCGATGGAAGTTCTGTGATTTGGGGAAGTCCTTTGTCCTGAAGTCTACCGGCGAGTATCCGGAGCAGGTTGCGCCGCGTCTCCTCTCCACCGCTCTCATCTAGTGCTCCGATCACAATCAAGACAAGCCCTACGCTTGACGCAGAGAACTTCTTTAGCGGTTTCATGAGAAGATCGCGCCACTGCTGGATTATGTCTGTTGTGTTCTTGAGCGAGTTTGCATCCTTGACCGCATCCGCTAACGCTCGTTTCATCCCCGAATCACGGTCAGCGAGATCCCGCGCGATGGTGGAGAAAATCTTTTCATGGCGACGATCTGCTTCTCTGTGCCGATCGAAACAAAAGCATGAACCAAGGCCTCCCGATTCCTTGAACCAATTGGCGATCGTGTGGGCGATGGCTGATTTGCCCTTGCCCGCGGGGCCAGATAGCCACAGCACCCATTTAGCAGCATCTCCGCTGCCATTGATCCAGTCCGTGATCTGGGAAAGAATCTCCGTGCGCGTCCCTGGTAAGCACTGTTTCATGGTATCTAGTCCTGCGCCCTTCGCATAAGCGATATCCCTGAGATCCAGGGTGTCGCCTGAAACGGTGTGAGTGAATGTAAAGACAGAACTGTGTCAGTCCTTACCCGTGCATTGGACGAAGACGGCCATGTCCCAATTGACTTGGTCCCGGAATTGTTGCATGAGGCCGTCCAAAGCGTCGCTGTACTGTTTGATCGTGTCATCAGTTTCCGAGATGACGTTTTTCCCGAGTCTCTTCCCTATAATATGGTATAAGATTCTTGTACAAGGTACAATAGCTTGGTGACTCACAAAAGCTCTTCGTCTCCGAGTAGTCCCTGATGAAACGGGCGCACTCAAGAGTCTGGTGAACGATCTTTTCCACGATACCACGCATCGATTCAATTTTTTCAAGACTGTATTTCTCGAGAAGACTAATAATCGATTGGTCGCGCTGTGCCTGCGCAATTATAATCTTTATGGAATTAGAACTTCTGAGTAGGAAACTGTACTTTGGGAGAAACCAAACATACTTTAGATGCAGCAGATAGCACCCCCAGCGCCATTTTCGCGTATGGATGTACCTATACAACTTGATTAGTTCGGTTCCAATCAACAGGAATAGCCCATACGTCTGAGATCTTCTCAAGGACAGCATCGATAATCTTGAGGGGTTGGAGATACGTCTTCTCAAAACCATCTGCGGCAGTAAGATCCGCTGGGGCATTGTCGACGGCAGATGCCGTAGAAGTCGCATGTTTCCCAAGTGATCGCATGTTTTGTGTACCATCGCAGGCACCCTGAAGTTCGACGTCAACTAAGTGGGGATCAGGTCTTCCTGGCTTGCCAGAAGAAGCAGCCTGAACCTGTGGTACCAGCGAGAATTAGCGAAGAAAATCAGAATATTTGATGGAAATACCTGCGAAGCAGACTCTCCGGACAGCCCTTGGTTCACGGAGTCACTGGGAATCTCAGATGTGGTGGGATGCTTGTTGTCATTGGAAGGATGGAGATGCAATGTGTCCTGAGCACCTCTAAGAAAACCAAAAGACTGGGATAGCAAGTTCGAACACTTACCTCGACTTGCTGACTCGATGAAGTCCCTTCATTTTCGACGTCGTGGACCGCAGTGGTGCGGTTGCGTGTTTGCTTGGAGCGTTTCTGTACAATCTTAGCCGTATTCCGAACAAAAAGTATTCACATTTACGCACAGGAAGCTTTTTGGTTAACCCATTCTTCAATTTCCACAGGAACTGACAAGATCCTCTATGAGGTTGGTTCTGGATGAATAATGCATAAGGACGACGATAGGCTTCAAGAGATCACGTACCGAGCTTTCAGTAACATTTACCTGATTGGATCCTAGAGTTCCTGGAGAAGGTTCGATATCTGGCCTAGGATTTTCACTCATGGCGAGTGGTCGTGGATTTATATGGTTATGAAAGAAACGGTGGGGCACACTGAGAAGTAGTGTGAGCGTGAAAAGGGAGTTGGCGTCTCACTCTTTGGCAGACCCCAAAGAACGTTCGGACCAGTACGTTGACTTTGAGCGCTTGAGCGCTAACCATCATGTTCAGCCACACAATTTCCATTGCGGGCGGGTAGACTCGTGCTAACCAGTCTTTATGTTTGAGAGTCTTTACTGCTGGCACTCGACTTGTCCGTGGTAGTATAAGCCAGGTTGGTCACGAGCTTACTAGCAGGTGGGCGGGCCCATAGCAGCAGGTCGTCATGGTTTAATAATGTCTGTCCAGGTTATATATTTACTGCTCCACCACCGCCAGAAAACTCCAGGTACTAACCCTACTTCACCACATGCAAGATATTCACTAGCACTACCCATCTGAATGTGGGGCCATCTCATGCTTTTTCTCTGCTGCGCATCTCCTCGACATGCCGATGCCAATGCACAATCAGCACAGCTGCAGTAAGCCAAGTCCAGGTCCAGGCGTCATCATCGCAGACTTAGCCTGCTGCCCGCTCGTCATCTATGATACCCCCTGCTCCTCCTACTAGTCCTACCATGCCAAGTGCAGCAAGTGCGTGGCTAGTGATGTGCGGGCCCGGCTCGGCCTGAAAGCCCCGGCTTGGGCTCGGCTTTTGGGGGCTTGGGCTTTGCAAAACCTCAGGCCGAGCCGTGGGCCAAAGCCAGGCCAAAGCCACGGCTCGGCTTGGGCTCAACGACGGCTTTCAAAAACAAAATGACTCAAAATTCAATATAAGTAGCGCTCGAGTCCTACAGTACTTCGTCGTCGTCCGCTGAATCAACATCAGACTCTTCCTCCTCCAAAATCAGTGTATCCCACCCCTCATCATCTGCTGGCTCAACTTCTAACCCGCCAGTCCCATGTTCGGAATCTTCACTTTCTTCTGTAAGGGATGAGGGACCAGGCTCCCGGAATATAAGTTCGTTACGAAGAGAACACTTTACGCATTGTAGAGCCTCGATGATGTCTCCTTTCAGCCGATTACGCCGCTTGGTGATCGTGATGCCTCCTTGCGAGAAAGCTCGCTCGCTCGAGACAGATGCTGCCATAATGGATAAGTAATCCCTTGCCAGCGAAGCCCACACTGGATACCTTAGGGCATTGATCTTAAAACAATAGTCAGCATCGAGTGAGTAGCGAGTGAAAGTGACTTACACCCCACCACTGAATAGTGGTCATACCTGCCGAGGGAGCGGCCTCAATGGTTTCGATATAGCTTGTGAACTCAGCCCTCCATGGTTTCGATGGATCCCCGATGGACGTGGCACCTGGTTCTGCCTTGGAGTCGTCTTCGGAGTCACTCTGAACTTCCCGAATGAGTTTCTTGAGGCCGCCAACCTTACTTTTCGTAGTTGCAGGCTGCAACAATGCAAGTGACTGATTGAGCTCGTTGTAGCGTTGTTCGAAGACGTTCTCGGCACAAGCAAGCACATCATCGAGCAAATTTGATGGCCAGTGCTTTTTGAAGTATGCGAGTTTGGCTGTCGGATCAAGTACTAGTATGGTAGAGTATGTTAGAGTCAGAATGATTGGAATAGAAAATGACGAACACATGGCAATAACATAGGCAGCAGTGTCTGTAGTTTTCTCATAATATTCATCTAGCTTCTCTGCTGCTGCCTTGAGTGCGCCGGCAAACCGAATATACTTGGGCCTTTCCGCTCGTGAAAACCATGATTTGTGAAGCGTCTCCAGTGCAGGAATTGCAAGATGGAGAGTTGATCCTCAATCGGATGAGAAAGCTTGCTGTGCCACGTCGGCATATGAAAGAAGGTCCATGAACTGGCCAACCCGTGTCCACTCCGCAGATGTCAATTGCAGAAAGTCGGTTTTGGCACGCTTCGATAAATTTTGCTCTTGGCGTCCCATTTCATACACAAACGTATCGACATGCTGTAATGGCAAGTCAGAGTAAGAACAAAAAGGTGTGGTGGTGTATCATACCTGCTTGTTGCAATCGGCACAATTAAGCACAATGTAAGTCGAAGACCAGCGGACCTTCATATCAATTAGTAGTTGTATTGGCAAAGAGACACCTGCTTTCGTCTGAACAGTTCTATATAGCTCTTTCCATTTCGCCGAGGAACGTTCTTTGACACAGATACTGCGGACCAGACCAATCTCGTCACGATTGACCCTCTGAGCTAGATCCGGTTTGTGAGCATGCGGGTTATGGGGGTCGTAGTGGGGTGCCTTGCTATAGGTACTGATGAGTCGTTGCGTGCCGAGATTAATAACATGCGCTAAACAACTGTCAGGGTTGTTAGCAGTTCCATCAACCAAATCGAAAAGACTTACTTTATCTTGCGTTGACGCCACCAGAAATCTTTGTGGTACTTCGCCTCGTACAACTTCGAGAATTCCTGCAGCATGGTACTATTGTTTGCTGCATTGTCACATGTGACGTGGCCGATCTAGGTTGAGATATAAGCACAGTCATTGAGGAGGTGGAATTTTTACTGACTTTGTGTGCGACACCGACACGATCAAGCACCTTGAATAATGCACCCCCTAGGCGCTGGCCATTATGGGCATTATTGAGCCGAGTAAAGCCAAGTAATGCATTCCCAGGTACCCATTGCATTAGATCATTTTCTTCGATCCAGTGTCCAGTGACAGCAAAATAACCATCCGAGTTATCGGCCTGCCACGCATCACATGTGATATTGATTGCACCTCTGACGGATTGGCTCTAAAATCGTGTCAGATAAGAGCAGATACTGTGAAGAATGGTACATACATTCAATTTCTTCTTGAGTTTGGTCAAATGGTTCTTGAAAACACGTATGATTTCAGCACGCATGGCCTTTCGGCCTGGAATCTTGACACCCTGTGTAGCACGCGAGGCAACATCTATCATTTCTTTGAACTTAGGGTGCTCAAGAGCCTGTATGGGCTAAATTCTGTTAGTTTACAGCTGACAATATCAATATGAATGAGTCTTACCTGATCTGTGGCGACAAGCCACTCAATTGCAGCTTTTCTAAAATTCTGGTGGGTGTAAGGGATGGCGCACTCCGACAATTTGTGCTCAGTCAAGTGCGCATCAATCATTTGCTGTGCTTGTGCGGCTTTCTTTTTCTTGGCTGCGATGTCACCCGGCAATTTAGATGTGAAGGCGTTGGCCTTGGCCCATGTATGGTATTTTCCCTATGGACATTTAGATCTAGTACATCAACAAATAAATAAATGAGAACATACAGCAAATTTGGCTTCTGCATGACGGCAGAGGGTTGACGTCTCATTTACAATGGTACATTGAGCCCTAAAATATGTAGTGTTAGTGATGTAAAGACATATGCAAATGATGTGACAACGTACGGACAAACTTTGCACTTTCGATGTTTTTTTACCTTGCCGTTAGTGTGAGTGCACTCCAATGGTTGACTGAAGAATTGGTCGATGTCGCGAGTTTTATCCTCGCGTGTGGGAGATTCATCGATGATGGGCTGGACATCAATATCTGCAAGAATACCGTCTTCATCAACATCTTCTTGAGCTTTAGCAGCTTTCTTGCGACGGACTCGTTTGCCTGACGACGCTAGGTCAGGAAGGTACATTATCTTGCAGATAGACTTACACTTTGGATTCGTCCGTGCATCTTCGCGTTCGTCATCACCGGATATCTCATCTTCATTGATTTCTTCAACACATGCCCTTTTGCTGGTGGTTTCAGGTGCGGTGGTGTCGACATTCGGTGCAGGAGCAGACAGGATGGGTGCTTGTGGTGGTTCAGTGGCCGGAGGATGGGTGTCATCGGTGGTGCGCTTCAATGCCTCTGCAGCACGAAAGGCATTGATGGCTCTTGTTTGAGAAGGGAGAGCTGCCTTCTCGGAGTGCTCCAGGAGTGCAGCGGTCGGTTTGACTTTGCGCACTGGACGCACTACACGTGGCTCATTGTCACTGTCTGTATGGACCATTCCGACCATTAGATTTTTTCAAGTTAGAGCAAGGGTAGCGACGTACCAGTACCATAGCCATGAATACCTTTTATCCCACTACAAAGGATCAAGATCGTGATGAAAAAGTATACTTCGAACACAAAGCAACATGAGATAGAGTAACATCGACGGTGCGAAGCACAAAGATGGGCAACTCACCTGGGTTTCTGACATATGAAGTGTTTGTTGGATTTGCGGAAGAGACTAGAGTAGTAATGGTTAGACAGATTTAGATATAGTAAATAAACTCGTACCTGATGTCCGGATGTCCACGGAAGTCTGTAACAGACGATTCGACTCCCTAAAGTAAGGACGCATGGATGTCGATGATGGATGCGCAGGGACTAAAGCCACGGCCTGAGCTGCCGGCTCAGGCTTCTCAACACGTCAAGCCGGGCCCTGGGCCATGGTCAGGCCCTGACTTGGGCCCGGCTCGGCTCAGCCTAATCAGGCTCAGCTTGGGCCAGCCCACGGCCTGAAGCCGGGCCGTGCACATCACTACGCGTGGCCTCGACCTCCATCACTGCAAGCTCGCCTCGTGCTGTTTCTTTGTTGTCTTTGCATGGTTTGCAGTTGACTTCTCCCTGGTAACTGATGGAGGTCCTGGGATGCCCGGGCCCCGGAGGGATGTGGCGAATCTTCATATAATCCGAAGTCCTGTGTAACATTTGACTATGCAACTTAAGCTCAGCCATCTTGTGAGATCCTGATTAAGATTGATGATCGGTGATCAGCTGTTACAAGGGGTGACTGATATAGCACATATGACGTACATATAGATACCGGACCCGAGGCACGAGCGTTGGACTGCTTTCGCGGTATTGCATGTAAACTAGTACCGTTCCCTGTGTGATATGAATCATCTGCAACAAATGCAACACAGTGCTGCATTGTGTCAAAATAACTCAAACTATCCTCGCACGACGATACGCGATACTGAGCATCGTATATTCACCCGCATGTCTTGTCGAGATCATGCGAGG